TATGAAGTGTAACCATGATCTTGAGAGCTACGATAAGCAGGTAAAAGTTGAAGTAAACGATCTTAGGTGTATTAAAACTACAACCCATTGAAATCAGCCGACGTTTAACTTTAGCATGATTCAGCTGTAATCGACTCTCAATGAGACATAAACGTATTTAAAGAAATTTAATGCTTGGCACTTGCAATGCTATAGTTCCTATGATTTTGTTTACACTTCTTTCCGTTTAGTCATCATGTAAACGACCGCAATTTAGCACAGTAAATATTTGTTTTGTGTGTGGTTTATTAGGCCATTTGTTATGAAACCGGTTTGTATACGTAATAACAAACGCGTTGCATTATTTTAACTTTCTCAAATTACTGAATTACTGTGTGTTTGTGAATCTTAAGAGTATACAAAGTCATACAGGCAGTCGAAAATTATTTCAAAGAGTTAAGTTGTGGAGGTTTGTGTGTCGTAGCTTTTGCTATTTACCACATTTATTAAGTTGCGAGTCCTCGAAAGTGTATCGCGAATCGCGACATGTAAATCTGCCCACCAGAAAGTAAAATCTTTGTAATTCAATAGTTCGTGGTAAATTTGTAATATCATCATAAACGTGAGCAAGTTATTTTTTAAACTCTCCATAGTCTGAAGGGTTCATTCCAAGTGTAAAGTATAATGAAGTAAGTTAACTGACTAACTGACTGTAAAAAACATAATGCTGACGACAGCTTCATTTTCAAAAAGATAGAAGATCATTTACGTTGACTTTACTGATGATAACTTGCTTATAGCTATGCTTCATGTTGTATCAATAAATTATGTTTATCATACAGTATTTCCAATGACTAACATAATTACATTATAATGTAAAATATTCTCTGCTGCTTAAAAAGTTGAGCTTGAGTTAACTTATGTTATGTCCATGGTGGTAGCGAATCAAAAGAGGGGTTTTGATACAATCTACGGAGTCAGACAACAATGGTAAGTATATACCACCAAGGTTTACACCAGCAATTGGTTCATCATAGTCACCACGATGAAAATCGTCACATATTACCAGAATTTGTCTTCGAAGAAAATACACCTAAGATCGTTTACTTAAACTTTTACCTGCTTATCGTAACTCTCAAGATCATGGTTACACGTCATACAATTTGTAGCACAGAGGTGTAAATTTATGCAACTTCGTATCGGTTGTGCTGGGAATATTAAATTTAGAAGTGGACTATAAAAGAACATTTCCATCTTCCTCCACTAATTAGGACATATCTAGCCAACACTTCTCGACGGACATTCACGGGGGAGTACAAGCAAAGAAGCATCTAAGTGACAATAGAGCATACAAGTGACAACCCATATTTTAAAACAAGGACAAACAGAATTACACCAACATTTAGATCATTGCCGACTTTCAATTTAATAGAATGAATGTCATTTAATATCCTCGACCCCACACATTCTTGACGTAGTTCCTCGTTGCCATCTTAACCGAAATTTTTTGAGAGGAAGATGGGCAATTTTTACGTCAACACTTCGACATATTTTCCGCTATTTCTAGTCAGAAATGGGAAGTATGTATTATTATCAGGATTATTATGCAATGTTGGTGCAATCTCGATCGTGATTGGCTGACGTAATTCTTTATGCAAAAATTGTAATCAAAAAAGCTTTTGTTTTATAGTTCATTCCTCGCGATGTATCGCGCTTTGCCAATCGCGACATGTTATTTTGCCCCTCAGCAAGTAAACTCTTTTCAATCTTGGTACTTCCTCAATAGTTCGTGGTAAATTTGTAATAGCATCATAAACTTGAGCACGTTACATTTTGCAACTCTACATAATCGGAAGGATTCATTCCAAGTAAAAAGTATAGTAAAGTAAAATTAGACAGAAATCGTGGCCAGAGATTTGCCAGGCGGAAAGCGAATTTTCAATATGAACATAATAGCCCAACATAAGACTTTTTACAACAAAATTGTTACAAGAAGAAATAAAAACGTTATTAATAAATCCTTCTCTATTTTATTATTGTGATGGTTTTTTTAAAAGTCTCATGTTGGGCTATTATGTTCATATTGTCCTTTCAAATATTTTAAATAAACGCTACAAAAACGTTGGGCTATTATGTTCATATTGGCTACATGTGTCTTATCTTGGTGCTTGCGAAATATATTAACGTACATTGAGGCTGAGGACTACAATCTGTCTAATTTTACCTTACTATACTTTACACATGGAATGAACCTTTCAGACTATGGAGAGTTGCATAAATGTGCTCAAGTTTATGATGCTATTACTAATACCGAACTAAGGAATACCTAAGATAAAAGTTTACTTTCTGTGGTGCAAATTAACATGTCGCGATTCAACACGATACATCAATAAATAGCAAAAGCTTTTTTGTTTACAATTTTCACATAAAAAATTACGTCAGCCAATCACGCTCGAGATTGCAACTCTCCATAGTCTGAAGAATATTCCTACTCTTCCTTCAGGTATGTAATATATGCCAAATAAGGTAATAGTTCAGGATGTAATATTTATGCCAAATAAGGTAATAGTTCATAATAGTTCAGGAATGTAATACTTATGCCAAATAAGGCAAGTAAATAATGCCGGCAGAAGACAGCAAATTCCAGCCGCGTTGTTTCTCTTTTGCAAGAGGCTACGAAACTGATTGCTGCAGCTGAAGATTTTGATGCTGGAGAAAATTCCAGCCTCGATAGAAGAGCACAAGTCTTTTTCTTCCTCGTCAAATGTAGCACATTCACATACACAATCGTATTCATCTGCATTGATAATGCAATCGTCGAGAGTAAACAGCTCACAACGCATTTTCGCAATTTCCGAAACCTTTCTTCTCCATACCGAGACAGAAGAAAAAGTGATAACTTATTCCATAAGTTAGTTTATGTATTTGTGTCATGTGTTTCATTGCTAATTTTTCATATTTGCCATGTGTTTTAACTGTAAACTTGATGTATCTGTCAACAATATCAGGGAGCATCAAGAAAGCTGCTGTGATGATGATGAATTGTATGTACTATTATTTTATGTTAAAAATTTTAGCCTTGTCATTTAAAGTTATTGCTTACAAACAATTTATAAATGCAACTAACTACCGTTGTGTTTCTTCAACTTGAATAAATGGTGGTCTTGCATTAACATTTCTTAACATAACAGTAGTGGGAAAATATACTTTCATTTTAAAATGCTTTTAAGCAAAGCCTATTGGTAGTATTTTGTTGTTTAAGCAATTTGCAGAAATTTCCAACCAACAGCTGTTGGTTACAAATTATATATGTGAAGCGTATGTAAAGCTAACCATAAACATTTGAGTTAGAATTACAAAGCTACTAATTTATTTAAATTTTCTGATTTCATCAATAAATAAAATTGTACTTTTGGAAAGTGCAACTATTTACGATTTAGCTTAGTCGTTCAGTATATAATCTTTAAGTTTCGTTCGAATTATATCAGAAACTTGGCAGAGAATGGTTGAGGCTGAGGACTACAATCTGTCTAATTTTACTTTACTATACTTTACACTTGGAATGAACCCTTCAGACTATGGAGAGTTGCAGAATATAGCGTGCTCAAATTTATGATGCTATTACAAATTTATCACGAACTATTGAGGAAGTACCAAGATTGAAAAGAGTTTACTTTCTGGTGTGCAAATTAACATGTCGCGATTTGCAAAGCGCGATACATCGCGAGGTAAATAGCAAAAGCTTTTTTGTTTACAATTTTCACATAAAAAATTCGTCAGCCAATCACGATCGAGATTGCACCAACATTGCTTAATAATCGCTGATAATAATACATATTTCCCATTTCTGACTGGGAAAAGCCGAAAATATGTCGAAGTGTAGACGTAGAAATTGCCCATCTTTCTCTCAATAAATTTCGGTTGACGATTTACGAAAAGATGGCAACGAGGAATACGTCAAGAATGTGTGGGGTCAAGGACATTAAATGACATTCATTCTATTAATTTGAAAGTCGGCAATGATCTAATGTTGGTGTAATTCTGTTTGTCCTTGTCTTAAAATATGGGTTTTCACTTATATGCTCTATTGTCACTTGGATACTTTTTTGCTTTTACTCCCCGTGAATGTCCGTCGAGAAGTGTTGGCTATGATATGTCGTAATTTAGAAGAGGAAGATCGAAATGTTCTTTTATAGTCCACTTCTAAATTTAATATTCCCAGCACAACCGATAGGAAGTTGCATGTATTTACACCTCTGTGCTCCAAATTGTATGACGTGTAACCATGATCTTGAGAGTTACGATAAGCAGGTAAAATTTAAGTAAACAATCTTAGGTGTATCAAAACTACAACTATTGAAATCAGCCGACGTTTAACTTTTGCATGATTCAGCTGTAATCGACTCTCAATGAGACATAAACGTATATGAAAGGAATTTAATGCTTGGCACTTGCAATGTTATAGTTCCTATGATTTTGTTTACACTTCTTTCCGTTTAGTCTTCATGTAAGCGACCGCAATTTAGCACAGTAAATATTTGTTTTGTTTGTGGTTTATTAGACCATTTGTTATCAAACCGGTTTGTAAATGTAATAACAAACGCGTTGCATTATTTTAACTTTCTCAATTTACTGAATTACTGTGTATTTGAAAATCTTAAGAGTATACAAAGTTATACAGGCAGTCGAAATTTATTTCAAAGAGTTAATTTGTGGAGATTTGTGTGTCGTAGCTTTTGCTATTTACCACAATTATTACGCTGCGAGTCATCAAAAGTGTATCGCGAATCGCGACATGTTAATCTGCACCCCAGAAAGTAAAATCTTTGTAATTCAATAGTTCGTGGTAAATTTGTAATATCATCATAAACGTGAGAACGTTATTTTTTGCAACTCTCCATAATCTGAAGGGTTCATTCCAAGTGTAAAGTATAGTGAAGTAAGTTAACTGACTGACTGTAAAAAACATAATGCTGACGACAGCTTCATTTTCAAAAAGATAGAAGATCATTTACGTTGACTTTAGTGATGATAACTTGCTCATAGCTATACTTCATGTTGTATCAATAAAATATGTTTATCATACAGTATTTCCAATGACTAACATAATTGATCAAATTACATTATAATGTAAAATATTCTCTGCTGCTTGAAAAGTTGAGCTTAAGTTAACTTATTACAAATTATGCTCATTACACGCCAAACGAATACAGAGACATGACGTCAGTAAGCGTTCAACATGAGCCCGCAGTACGTTTATTGCAATTACGTTTATGTCTCATTAAGGCTATCCACATGCACACATTGCGTACTTATTTTAGCCACAAGTATCACAGGCTTGCTTTTTCGCAAAAAGTATTTCCATTATACACCCATTTTCATCAGTGTAATTCAACTTTAAACAGTTCAAATATTCCCGCAGTAATCGATCAGAGTAATTCCTTTCCTCTGGTAACAAAAAACGGACTTTCATAGGCTGACCATCATGTTTCATTAATGGTACTCTCTCATTATTTTCTGCCATCACAAATTCTGTAAACTGTCCATGGTGGTAGCCAACCAGAAGAGGGGTATTGATACAATCCACCGAATCAGATAACAGTGGTAAGTATATGCCATCAAGGTTTACACCAGCAATTGGTTCATCATAGTCACCACGATCAAAATCGTCACATATTACAAGAATGGGTCTTCGAAGAACGTTAGCTAAGGCAAATATATGAATCCCCTCAAGACAGTAAAAACTGTTTTGTGTAGTTGATTTTGTTGTTGTTGGAAGAGCGACTGTTTGCTTCCAGTCTTTGTTCCACAGCTCGACACCAAAATCCATTGGCGTACCAGCATTTTGATCGTCCAACTGCCTTTCGACTTCCAACTGCCAGCGTTGTCGATACATGCCTAAAATGAAGTTTAAATGAATAAGGACTTATTTGTTCTTCGCGTGTTCCTGATCACACAGCCGAGTTCCTTACCTGTCACATCTTTGGTAAGAATTTGACAGATTGTTTTTATCAGACAAGCACAAGCGAAAATAAGTGAGCTACAAATTGTTTCCATAGTTTAATGCGTTTAACTTATTCTTTCTATCAAAGTTTTTCTCAAGCGTTGTGGTCTGTACTTACATCTACAAGTTCTTTCCTCTTCTCTAGCGTTGTGGTCTGTAGTTATGTTTATAGGTTGTTATATTTACGTGGGCGATCTTTTTGTTATGTTTTGTTATGTTTTAGATATTTTTGTTGGTATACTTTTTGCGTGGGTGTTTTTGTGGTGTTATTTTCACTGAATTGCGTACAGGAAGGCATGTATCGACTTCGTACAAACCACAATATATCTTGCGTTGGAGATGGCAGATCGCAACTCTTGGCTGCATGTCGCTAATCTTGGTGTTTGTGGAATTAACAACCCTTCAATGAGGCTGAGAAACATTATCGGACAAACTCTTATTAAAGATCGAACAGGTTTGAAATGTTGCTCGCTTGACCTTGTGTCCAGAACAGAATTATCTGGTAACTGCTAACAACTTCATTTTAGGCACTTATCAAAAACGTTGGCAGTCCGACTTGGAGGATGAGAATGGTGGAAGTCCAATGGATATTGGCATTGAGCAATGGAGCGAAGACTGGAAGAAAACAGTCGCTCTTCCAACAACAACAAAATCAACTACACACAACAGTTTTTACTGTCTTGAGGGGATTCATTTATTTGCCTTGGCTAATTTTCTTCGAAGACCAATTCTGGTAATATGTGACGATTTTCATCGTGGTGACTATGATGAACCAATTGCTGGTGTAAACCTTGGTGGCATATACTTACCATTGTTATCTGACTCCGTGGATTGTATCAAAACTCCTCTTTTGATTCGCTACCACCATGGACACTTTACAGAATTTGTGATGGCAGAAAATAACGAGAGAGTATCTTTAATGAAATATGATGGTCAGCTTATGAAACTCCGTTGTTTGTTACCAGAGGAAAGCAATTTCTCAGATCGATTACTGCGGGAATACTTGAACTGTTTAAAGTTGAATTACACTGATGAAAATGGGTGTATAACGGAAATACTTTTTGCGAAAATGCAAGCCTGTTATACTTGCGGCTAAAATATAAGATAACTTAACCTCAACTTTTTAAGTAGCAAAGAATATAAGACGTTATATCATAATGTATTTGATCATTTATGTAAATCATTTGAAGTATTGTATAATGACATAACTTATATAAGTTAACTTAAGCTCAACCTCTTAACTAGTCATTATACATACCTTATTTATATTAACTATTTATACATACATTAATTATGCTAACTTTATTATACAAGGTTCTATTCTTTGCATTCAAAGTGAATTAGATGAATTGTGTAAATTCAGTCAAAAGACTCAGATCTTTGTCTTTCTCTACTGTCCGTACGCTCTCTCTCAAATTGCATATCCACGACGAAATTAGAATTTTACAGTCAGTTAACTTACTTCACTATATTTTACACTTGGAATGAACCCTTCAGAATATGGAGAGTTGCAATTTTAAAAATAACGTGCTCACGTTTATGATGATATTACAAATTTATCACGAACTATCGAATTACAAAGATTTTACTTTCTGTGGTGCAGATTAACGTGTCGCGATTCGCGATACACTTTTGATGACTCGCAACGTAATAATTGTGGTAAATAGCAAAAGCTACGACACACAAATCTCCACAACTTAACTCTTTAAAATAAATTTCGACTGCCTGTAAACTTTGTATACTCTTAAGATTTTCAAATACACAGTAATTCTGTTCGTTGAGAAAGTTAAAATAATGCAACGCGTTTGTTATTACATATACAAACCGGTTTGATAACAAATGGCCTAATAAACCACACACAAAACAAGTATTTACTGTGCTAAATTGCGGTCGTTTACATGATGACTAAACGGAAAGAAGTGTAAACAAAATCATAGGAACTATAACATTGCAAGTGCCAAGCATTAAATTCCTTTTAAATACGTTTATGTCTTATTGAGAGTCGATTACAGCTGAATCATGCGAAAGTTAAACGTCGGCTGATTTCAATGGTTGTAGTTTTGATACACCTAAGATCGTTTACTTAAATTTTTACCTGCTTATCGTAGCTCTCAAGATTATGGTTACACTTCATACAATTTGGAGCACAGAGGTGTAAATGTATGCAACTTCCTATCAGTTGTGCTGGGAATATTAAATTTAGAAGTGGACTATAAAAGAACATTTCCATCTTCCTCCACTAATTACGACATATCATAGCCAACACTTCTCGACGGACATTCACGGGGAGTAAAAGCAAAAAAGCATCCAAGTGACAATAGAGCATACAAGTGACAACCCATATTTTAAAACAAGGACAAATAGAATTATACTAACATTTAGATCATTGCCGACTTTCAATTTAATAGAATGAATGTCATTTAATGTCCTCGACCCCACATATTCTTGACGTAGTTCCTCATCGCCATCTTTTCGTAAATCGTCAATCGAAATTTTTTGAGAGGATGGGCAATTTCTACGTCTACACTTCGACATATTTTCGGCTATTCCCAGTCAGAAATAGGAAATATGTGTTATTATCAGCGATTATCGAGCAATGTTGGTGCAATCTCGATCGTGATTGGCTGACGTAATTCTGTATGTGACAATTGTAAACAAAAAAGCTTTTGTTTTATAGTTCATACCTCACGATGTATCGCGCTTTGCCAATCGCGACATGTTAATTTGCACCCCAGAAAGTAAACTCTTTTCAATCTTGGTACTTCCTCGATAGTTCGTGGTAAATTTGTAATAGCATCATAAACTTGAACATGTTACATTTTGCAACTCTCCATAGTCTGAAGGGTTCATACCAAGTGTAAAGTATAGTAATGTAAAATTAGACAGAAATCGTGGCCAGAGTTTGCCAGGCGGAAAGCGAATTTTCAACATGAACATAATAGCCCAACATAAGACTTTTAAAAAAGCCATCACAATAATAAAATAGAGAAGGATTTATTAATAACGTTTTTATTTCTTCTTGTAACAATTTGTGTTGACATTGTCCATAGGCGCTAGAGGATCGCAATCTGCGATTAGCAACCTTAAACCATAGGAATCTTGGTATTATCGAGCGCTTCTTACACGTTATAAGGAACTCCAGGTGGAGTCTGGCTTTTCCAAGCTTGAGTTCAAGACGCTGGAATTTCCTGAACGCTTCGAGTGCTTCGTTTTTGTAGCGTTTATTTAAAATCGTGGCCAGAGATTTGCCAGGCGGAAAGCGAATTTTCAATATGAAAATAATAGCCCAGCATAAGACTTTTACAACAAAATTGTTACAAATTGTTACAAGAAGAAATAAAAACGTTATTAATAAATCCTTCTCTATTTTATTATTGTGATGGCTCAAGATAGTGTCGACGCAAACAATCTTCAGTGGTGAGAGAGGAAGGCCACGGATTGAAATTTCGTTTGAACAGCTTCAATTTTTATTGGAGAAAAAATATAAAGTCGCAGAGATTGCTGAATTATTTGGTACAAGTAAATGAACTGTAGAAAGGAAAATGCATGAATGTGGATTATCAGCTGCAAACTGTTACTCAGCTTTTACACGAACAAGACGAGGTGATATCGAACATTCAGAAAGACTTTCCGAACGTTGGCTCGAAAGCAATGACAGACCTTTTGCGATCCAGAGGTGTATTTGTCCAAAAAACACGCATTCGTCAATCGATGCGCAGAGTTGATCCAGAAGAAACACTTTTACGAGCTCTTAAAATGCGTGTACTTTCTCGAAGGCGTTATTGTGTCGCTAGGCCTCTTTCATTAGGGAGCTTTAGCAAGAGTACGACTACGACGAGTACGAAGTTTGACCGTGTAAGAGAATGGCAAGAGGAAGTTTGTTGTAGTTGTCGCTTCGTCAAAATTTAGTTTTAGCTCTAAACAACAGAACGAGCCTTTTTATTTTGTAAAACACCGAAGTTTGCGAAGCAGCTACGGCTCTATTTGTCAATAATGATATCAATGAATCGGTAATACTGATTTTGCGAGAATATAGGACTCTTTAGACTGAAAAATCTTCACTATTTCAAGTTTAATGTACGATATATTTGTACTATTTTATTGTTTGTTTACCTTTCACTTTGCGTACGAAATACATGAAAGTTTTGCAGGTCATATTTTCCTTTTTAATGTACATCTGCGCTCGAAAATGGGTTCTAAATTAAAGCCTGGATGCTAGTACTGTCAACTAATCTCTTACGGAATGAAGAAATATATCTACTTTCTTTGCTTAAAAAAGACATCATAGTCACGACTACGAATTTTTTACAAAACATCGTACACAAATTGATGACGGCTACAGGTTGTTGTTGTTGTCGCAACAATGTTTTCGCGCCAAAATGACGTAATCGTACTCGTAGTCGTACTCGTAGGCTTTGCTAAAGCTCGCTAATACTTCTATAGTTCCATAACGACTCCGGGTCCCTGTTATGATAAGCCTATGATATATTTTAAAATTTGCAATTCAAAGTGTATCTAAAAGAACTATTTGCATAATTGTATTTATAGTGGAAACATGGATTGCATTGTCAATGTAGAAGTTCCTGTTGATAGTAATGTGCGTTTTGTGGTAGCTGTTTTTGTTTGTTATTAGGAGCTTTTAATGGTTATTGATATTGGGGTGTTTTGCAAGTGTTGTAACGAAGGACTGAGGGCTTAGCACTGAAATAGCACCTTTGATTATGGAGCCATTACGATAAATTGAGTATTTGTAATCGTTAAAATTATATATGAAGAAAAATTATCAGTTAAGTGCAAAAATTTGATGAATGTACGAAGTGCATATCGACATTTATGAGTAAGTGAATATATTACTTTATTACTAAGCCAATACAATTCTGTTGATATCAAGACTCAACAAACTGTGCTAATTTAAACATTACAACGACAATATTTCTAGTTCGTTGAAACAAAATTTGTTAAAAAACTGTTTGTTAAATTTGTTAAAACACGCAAACTGTCTATTCTGACAAAAGCATTTCCTTCTTCTTCAAACATTTATGACAAAGACCCTGATCTTCTTCTGTACCAAAACATCCACAACCTTTAGTTACACATGGTATTAACTTTGATGGTCGCCTTTTTGCTGGGGATGAAGGCGCAGAAATACTTTGTCTCCCAACAATTGGCTAAAGATAAAAAGAAACTGTCCTATAGATGGTATTGCAAAGTTGGTAAATGATTTTTAGCAAAAATGAATACAATTTATTGATTTCTAGAGATTGTGTGAGAAATTTCTTTGTTTAGTTAATTCAACAAATATTTACCTGATAATATTGGGGTTCATTTACATAATGAAGCCTGTGCAAGTCATGATTTGTATTCTTTTGCTGTTGTGCTATTTGCCAGTTCCTTCTAGCTCGTTCCTGTTCAGCTTTGATCTTCTTTTCAGACTCTAAGTCATACTCAAGTTGCAATGCCTTTGCGTAACATTGTGAACACAAGTTATCATTCTCTGAGATGCCGAAGAATTGACATTCTTCAGTCAGACATTTTGTCTTGACTGCTTCCACATTCGATGTTGATTTTTGCCTGGATAAGTGAAGATAGTGTTGATAACATAGTTGACTTTTGTTGGTCACAGCCATTTTGTCACAGTTAAAGAAAGTGCAAGTCTTATTTTCCATATTTGGTCCATTTAATTGTGAATTTGGCAAAACATAGCTAGAATTTGAACAAGATACAGCTGGTTGTGTGAACACACTTGCATGAACCTGCTCAAAAGTTTTATCATCTTCTGTTCCATTGTTGATAGTCCTTTCAATTGTGTTGTAGTTTATTGTTGATGAGAATGGTTCTACATGATTTTTTGTTATTTGGTGAATATTATATATTTCTTTGTAGCAATCATAACACAGGCCATGTAAGTTAACATTTGCTCTGTTCACACAGTTATTATAACATCTATCATTAGGTGGTGCTGATGGGGTAACCATGTGAGGCCCCTCCTCCAATAATGCATGCAATTTGGTGAAACAGGTAGAACATAGGCCTTCATAATCTGGGTTGGCAGTGTAACCACAGCCAGGAGAAGTACAAATACGGATGTTGTCTGTGTTTCTACATTGATGACAATAATTGCTATCGATACTGGCAATGTTTCTGCAGTTAATTTTTGCACATGGATTATGCTCCTTACTATTTTTAAAATGGTCTTCATGTTTTGTTGAATATGATGTGATTGTACTTTGATCATTAAGTGATAGCTGTTTCATTGCCAATGTTTCCAAGTATATATGTTCCATTGATTTGAAATATCGTTTTAACATTCTATCAAGATGTGGATCTTGTTCAAAAGCTTCCATTTTAGCTACAAGTATTTCCATTATACACCCATTTTCATCAGTGTAATCTAACTTTAAACAGTTCAAATATTCCCTTAGTAATCGATCTGAGTAATTGCTTTCCTCTGGTAACAAAGAATGAAGTTTCATAGGCTGGCCGTCATATTTAGTTAATGGTACTCCCATCACCAATTTGTGATTATCCAATGCATGCCCTCTCTCATTATTTTCTGCCATCACAAGTGCTGTAAAGTGTCCATGGTGATAGCCAATCAGAAGAGGGGTTTTGATACAATCCACAGAGTCTGACAACAGTGGTAAGTATATGCCACCAAGGTTCACACCAGCAATTGGTTCATCATAGTCACCACGATGAAAATTGTCACATATTACCAGAATTGGTCTTCGAAGAACATTAGCTAAGGCAAATATATGAATCTCCTCTAGAGAGTGGAAGCTATGGTTTTTGATTGATTTTGCTGTTGATGCTAGAGCGACTGTTTTCTTCCAGTCTTCGCTCCATTGCTCAATGCCAATATCCATTAGACTTCCACCATTCTGACCCTCCAACTGCCTTTCCACTTCCGACTGCCAGCGTTTTCGATACACTCCTGTAATAAAGATCAAATGAGAATTAAATATACATTATTAAAGCCACAAGCTAAAAGCGAGCAACATTTTCAAACCTGTTTGATCTTCAATAAGAACTTGATAAACAGTTTTTCTCAGCGTTAATCTTCGGTCATGAATACCCCACATACCAAGTGAAGCCGCGTGCATCAAACAATTTCCATCGCCCAAGGTGTTTATAGGAATAAACTTTGGGAAAATTTTACACCAGTTGAGCGACCTGTTGTTTTCCAACTCATTTTCAAGAGCAATGTTTACTAAAGCTGTGAAAATATATTCGCAAAGATCTTTATTCAAGCGAGAAAAAGCCGGGAATAGGAAAGTGTATCGCGGTGATGTTAATAGGAATCGATGTCTGTCTTGATCTGCAGGGATAGTGACATCCCTATCAATTGAGTCACGAATAATTTCCGAAGTTGCAACGTCTATTGAAGAAATACTTCTTTGCAGTTCCATTGCGACTGGGATCCCTGTTATCAAAAGCATGTAAATTATTTATTAGAAATTACTTAAATTTGCAATTCAAAGTGTATCAAAAATCGTATCTTGAAAAACGGATTGCAATTTGTAACAAAACATCTGCCATCGGAAAATACGTCAATTCGTTTAAATCACATGATCAAAATGTTTTACCAAGAAAAGTTTCACTCTTACCTTTGATGTTGCGTGCGGTTGTGCTTTCCTTTGAAAAATACAATGGGCGTTCTGACAAGTAAACTTCCCTGCCTTGATATAACAAATCTTTTCTTTTTGATCTGCTGTTTCTTCTTTAGCACTATGATTTGCTAAAATGAGAATGCTACTATCAATTTATACAACACAACAACAATACAGGAACATTCAAGGTTACGGTTCGTTAACTTATGATTCCCCGTAAATAGTGTTCTGTTTATAACATCATACAGGATTTAGGGGAAATCCCTTTTAATACGTAATGTCTTATACATGTAACAAGTGGGGATTCGGACAGACCAAAAATGGTCAAAACAATGTTAGATTAGGGATTACAACTAAGTTCTTGTTTGTTTGAAACAGCTGTTTTAGTTTCCATTAGTACAATCAAGCTCACAAATACGTTTAGATTGTTTCAGGTTATTTTCTCGAATTCGAAATTACAAATTTGTCATGTGAACTTTTCTGTGGTCGATCGACCACCAGTTATGTTTTGTCAGCGTGATTGTGTGAATAACCAGAAGCGAGAAGATTATGTCTTATTGTGAAATATGCTTCGGATAATTTTCGACATAACAAAGCCAGTTCGTCTGCATATGTATTCTTATACTTTACAACAAAAATTTCGTTAGTCTCAACGAAAGGCACTTAAATAAAAAAGACGATTTACGATTTTCATACAACTTACCTCGGAATGATATCAATGGCACTCCTAATTCCTAAATGCGTGGTATTTTAGCCTTTCCTGAACAGCACTCCATAATTCGTGCATTTATTCACAATTTTACTTCGACAACAATGACAGAGCAAAGGAACTTAAGTTTACATGGTAACTGCTCCCTGTTACGATACATTTTATCTTCAACATGTAAAATTAAGTTCATTAATGATAGTGAAAAAATGTCATCTATATCAAATTAGAAAATTATTTATCGGACAATTGAATTTTGATACTGAAACTCTTTGTAAAGTTGATTTCCTGCATGTTTTAGTCGATTATTTTCATTTCCAGCGTGGATTAATCGAAAGTTGAAAATGACATATACATTAATTTGTCGATATATATGTCAGAACATAGAAAAAGCGTCAGTCACTTTGTCGAAACAACCAAAATATTGTCGAACATAAAAGTTAAAATAGGTTCGTCACTGGTAATTGCTCTATAGACATTTGGCCAACGTGTTATTTTTGGCTCTAATTGTACATGGATTTGAATAACTATTCTATAAAATTGCAAATTTCTCGATGGAAGATTCTATTCTGGAAGAAATTTATGGAATGTGTAAATTAAAATATCGCCTGAAGGAATTCTGTTTATAAAAAAATACAGTTTTGCAGCAAACGATAAGAAATTGTTGACTCCGTTCACACGAAGCTAGAATACCAGGAGAGTTTCATATTTCATACAACGCTCTAAGAGTTTCCTTCCGTTTCGTTGTTGTCATTGCGTTCACATGACACAATTAAAAGCCGGTTTCAAGTTGCTATTGTATTTCAATCCAACCCGGTTATATGCTCATGAAAAACATGTGACTTGGACGTGATTAGAACTCGCACCTTCGGGGTTTTTGTTCGCCGCTCTACCTGTTTAGCTACCAAGCCCACCGGCATTGAAGATGAGTCAAATCACTTTTTTTAAACTGCGTATGGATGAGAGATCCTCGCCACTATAGCAGTTTACTGGATGGCACCGCGTTTCGACTTTATTCCAAAGCCATCATCAGAGAATATATACATAATATATTAAGTTGCTATTGAGTATTGCATTGTTTTTACCAGAATAGAAGTTACATGTTTGTAAATGTAGATCGTTTAGGTTGGTATAGTCCTGAGAAGGACTGTTTTTGTTGTTGTTGACTGACGTTTTGACAACCTTAGCGGTAGTCATCTTCGGAATCAAATGAGGAGTAAACGTCAGGTTAGCCGTATTTGTTATCTGGTTCTTACGTCATTATATTGTGTGAAATACAAGTGTGAAATTTTTACTGATCATGTTTATCGCTGAGTTTGAATCTTCTAGCCTGTCATTTCAACAAACCCAAACCGGTGAGAGCAACTTTCCCGCAAGATTTCCATCATACCTGACGTATATGAAAATCAGTATTTTGGCTTGGCAGGCAGGGGGTGGGTGGGGGGGTAGCAGGTGGTATAACATGCCATTGACCAATAATAAAAAATACATTGAATGTAAACTAGGAACTAAACTTAAAACAGGAATATTATCATTCCTTTGTTAGTATTTTGAAGGTTGGTGGTATTGTGCTTTGCATCGATCTAAAATTAAGTTTATTCAATGTTATGCTTTGTAATAATTTGAATTACCGCTGAACGCAATCACGGGCGAACCTTGTGAAATTTTGTTGTAAAGTCCTTTCAAACGAGATGGCTGAAAATCGCAGAGGGAAGGTTGCGATTATAGGGAGGTTAGTTTCTTCAACTGTAGACTGAAGACCGCTTATTTCGTTATGCCAGGCATATCTGGCTGTTCATTGTTCACTTAATGGAAAAACAATTGATTTCTAAAGATACGTATTAATTATAACAAGGTCGTGGATTGATTGCTTCTGGTTTTAAATGAACACATTACCATATATGATACTACAAATATATTTGTTGAAAACTCGAAAACCGAGTAGACTGATGGCCAACCTTGCTTTTAGCTTCTTGTTTCATAAATATATTTAAGAACATCACATGAGCAATATTATGCAAATGTTGAGGAAATAAGGAAATTAAGGCAAAGAAAACTACCAACTAGCAGCAATAGTCGATTCAGATATGAGATTTGTTCTCCAAATTACATAGTAAATTGTGAAACAGGAAATCCAGGGTTTTGTCACCAATGGAATAATTTTCTCATCCTGGAGCCTGTTGCTCAAAGCCTGGATAGTGTCATCCATTAGATAGCAAAAATTTTCAAACTTGTAAAAAATGTGTTTATATTTTTCTTTAATCTTTGAAATAATATTTTATTTCAGTGATTGCACAGTTCAAATAGTATAATTTTCTCCTATAGGAGATTTTATGAACATTCAGAAAAATTTGCCATCCAGTGGATAATGCTATCCAGGCTTCGTGCAACCGGCCCTTGGTTAATTGAATTTAATTATAATACAAATTGACATTCAACTGCACTTCAGTACTTCATGTAAGTTTTTTTTATTCCTTAGTGGTATGATTGGAAAATCCTGGTCTGTGGTAAGTTAAATAGTTCAACATTATTTTGGTTTTGAAAAATCACTTTTATTGTTAGTTTGACTTTTGTTTTTATCCTTCCAGTTGTTTTGTCGTGCAGGCTACGAAGTCTATCTTTACGACATTGATGAGAAACAAGTGGATAGTGGATTATCTGGAATTCTTGAATCCTTGAAGGAATTCGAAAGCAAAGGGCTGCTAAAGAATTCATTCATAAAGTCTGCAGATGATGCATTTAAGTTAGTTCATGGCTGTCTTGATCTAGCGAAGACAGTTGATGGAGCAATATATGTTCAAGTAGGTTTGATATTGAAGTGATTCTTTTCACGGATGGATTTAGGGAAGGTAGCGAAGTGTGCAGGTCCACTCTAGACTTGGCTAGAATCCCATACAAATACCCTAAAATCACTTACTGAAATTAAATCCAAACTACTGACTGACTGACATCTTATAAAAACTAGGACACCCTCCTTCCCCTCCCCCCTTAAGAACTTCATCCTGAATCTGTCCCTGATTCTTTTGATAGGATAGAGATAGATTATATGTTTGTTGTTTGTTGAATGATTATCTTGTTACTATACCTGAGTACATCACAGCAATGTGATATTTTTATCTATGATATTAAAATATGAAAGAAACTAGAACTGTGTTTTGTAATATCATCATAGTCTACAGTTGGTCTTAAAGTTCAGTTAGTAGAACTTTGGATACAATGATTATCTTGTTACTATACCTGAGTACATCACAATAACGTGATGTTATTATCTATGATATTAAAATATGAAAGAAACTAGAACTGTGTTTTGAAATGTCATCATAGTCTACAGTTGATCTTGTAGTTTAGTTGGTAGAACATTGAAGACAACAAGGCGAAAATTACAGTTTTGAATCTCTAGTTGCAATTTTCAAGTTATTTCTGTAGACCCTTCACCCAATAATTTTCTAAAATTATTAGAAAAACTTAAATGCAACGTTTTCTCATTTGAAAGATAGTTTGGATTTTCACCCCTCCCCAATCGTAATCGTTTTGCTTCGTTATGTGACGTACTTTATTCATGAAATTACTTCAACTTTGCAGGAAAATGCGCCCGAGAATGTAAATATCAAAAAGAAGGTTTTTGAAAATCTCGACAATGTGATCAAAGATGACCAGACAATTCTCGCAAGTTCATCTTCTTGTATTGTACCATCACGCTTTTCAGAACATCTCAATCATCGTAAACAATGCGTCGTTGCACATCCGGTAAGATACGTAAACAATGTTTCGTTGCACATCCGGAAAAATTAGTAAACAATGCGTCGTTGCACATCCGGTGAGATACGTACTTAGTCATGTTTCTGTTCAGGTTGATCACAATGGCATAAAAATCATACAGATTTTTCATTGTACTTTGTGTTGTTTTAACTCAAAGTAAGTCATGAACTCTTCACGTGATCAGGGACACACAGCCTGAAATGGATGCATGTTTTAATTCGTTGCCAACTTTTGTAGCATCTGTATTTGATGGAAAAAGCGCAAAATTTATAAGCAAACTAATGATTTTATTCTTCTATTAGTTTCTGGTTCGACGTTTTATACATATTTCACTAAAGTTGTGGGGAGTCGTCCCCCCCCCCCTGATGAGTGCCTCTGAGTGTGATCTTTTCTGGAGTGCGATCTTTTTTGAAGAATGATCGGCTATGTATACTAAGAAGGCATTTTAGGTTCAAATCTATGATTATCGAATTACTTACCTCACCTGAAAGGTGAGGTAAGTGTAAATTGTTGTGTGCATCTTGGCAATGCAAATGTTATTGATATTTTTTGAGGGTGATTAAATAACCGCTCTACGTGAAAGTTGTCACAGTGGAATTAGTTGATAAGTAAGAATCGTGCAATTAGTTGATCGGTTGAACTAACCATTTTGAACAACTAACACCAATTTCTCAGTGCAATGACAAAGTAGTACGAAAACGTTTTCATGCACTACCAGTCCACTACACTACTCTCACGATAAGCAACTACGTATAATTTGTAGTCCCCGAAAGGACGGCGCCACAATATTGAACCTGGGGCGAGCTACGACTTATATTTTTTAAATTTACTGCGTCATAGTTGGTCTCAAGTTAGGCTAAAATGTATAAATGTTGGCAAAAACTTTATACTGAGGAAAAGGTGTGGCTCAACACCCCACCCCCCTTTAAGGGCCTAGTCCCCCTTCAGGGCCTGTGCCTGCCTTATTACCTGAAATTCTCTTATTATTTACTGTATGTAAAATAGCATCGCCAGAATTCTATTTCAACAAAGTTCTTTACCCTAGGTAAACCCACCTCACTTTGTCCCACTTGTTGAGATTGTCCCCGCTCCATGGACGGATCCTGATGTTGTCTCAAGAACTCGTTCATTGATGAAAGATATTGGTCAGTCACCAGTGACTTTAAACAAGGAAGTGGATGGATTTTTGCTCAACAGAATACAATATGCAATTATAATGGAGGGATGGAGACTCGTCGAGGTAAATGCCCCCTCTTCTTCAAAATTCCCTTCAAGATAAACGTAGACGAACCCCTCCCCACCCCCCGTTATTTTGAAATACAGTCGTAGCTTTGGTAGTTTAGAGATGCCATGTAGTACATTTTCCACAGTTTATGTTTTTAATGATGAACTTCATTAATCAACTTCACATTTTTCTACATGTTGTCCTATATGGATAACATATGTAAGTTGAAGTATTCGTTGCCTTGTCAGCGTGTCAAGAAATCATCATACAGTCAAACTCGATGTGATGGAGGCCCGTTTTGATTGAATGAAATATGAAGTTTGTAGCGAATATTTCACCTTGCAAAGCAGTGTTAAACCCGTAGCGGAAAAGTAATGTGAACATAACAAAGCTGTAAATTGTTTTGACATTTCAAACACAGTTCTAGTTTCTTTCATATTTTTATATCATAGATAATAACATCACGTTGTTGTGATATACTAAGGTATAGTAACAAGATAATCATTGTCTTCAATGTTCTACAAAGTGAACTACAAGATCAACTGTGGACAATGATTATATTTGAAGTCACAGTTCTAGTTTATTTCATAACTTAATATCATAACTTAATATGTCTTTGGTTCTTTAACAATGAAATTGAATCAATGCAGTTATGTTTCAATTTACTTTGAAAGGATGGACTTTGTTCTCCGGAAGATGTTGATACAGTGATGAGCAAGGGACTGGGTCTGAGATATTCGTTTATGGGACCATTTGAAACCATGCATCTAAATGCCCCTAAAGGTTTGTGACATTTATATTGAACGTGAATATCTTAGGAAAGTGAGAACATGAATATCTTAGGAAACAGAGAACATGAATACCTTAGGACACAGAGAACATGAATATCTTAGGAAACATTGAACATGAATATCTTAATAAACAGAGAACATGAATACCTTAGGAAACAGAGAACATGACTATCTTTGGAAACATTGAACGTGAATATCTTAGGAAAGTGAGAACATGAATATCTTAGGAAACAGAGAACATGAATATCTTAGGAAACAGAGAACATGAATATCTTAGGAAACAGAGAACATGAATATCTTAGAAAACATTGAACATGAATATCTTAGGAATCAGAGAACATTAATATCGTAGGAAACAGGGAACATGAATATCTTAAGAAACAGAGAACATGAATATCTTAGGAAACATTGAACATGAATATCTTAAGAAACAGAGAACATGAATATCTTAGGAAACAGAGAACATGAATATCTTAGGAAACAGAGAACATGAATATCTTAGGACACAGAGAACATGAATATCTTAGGAAACAGAGAACATGAATATCTTAGGAAACATTGAACATGAATATCTTAGGAAACAGAGAACATGAATATCTTAATAAAGAAAAATATTCAAATTACAATCCAATATTATTATTCTTTAGGTATTTTAGATTACTGTGAGAGATATAGCAGCAATATTGAAAGAATTTGCAAAGAACAAGGTGGATCTCGTCAACTTCACGGATCAAGTACAGCTCAAGTGGTTCACGATGCTATGTGTCGATCAAGTGCCACGGTTGAAAATATTGACGAGCGCAGGGCATGGCGGGATAGACGCTTAGCAGCTTTAGCTTGCCATCAAGCAGAACAGGAGGACTGAAAGGAAGTTATGCTTGATAAATGAGGTGATTTAAATGATTGAAAAACGGTGACTCAGTAATAGCGATGTGTTAGATACTGGTATTCTGTTGAACGCTGGAACTTAGTCCCCACGCCATTCCCTCGAATATTTCATATCCAGCAAATTTTACGTTGTATTTTAGTGGACGAAATTAAGAAAGCCGAAGTTGACATGCGCTAATGAATTTTTGCTTATATGTAATGATTACAACGAGGGTATGATTATTTGCCTTTGGTCCGTCACTGCTGACGGTCAAACAGAATCACCACGCATTTTACGTAATCTGAGCCTGCGCTTCAATTTACTGACAAATATTTGTTGTGATATTGTCGATAGTACCATCTCGCACTACCTTTAGTTTGATCATTTGATGACTAGTATCCTTTGTTATCCTTTTATTTTTTACTATCCTTTATTATCCTTTCTATTTATTACTTAAGAAATAAAAGATGTTTACTGTGTTTGCACGGGCTTATGCTTTGGGAGAACTCGAGAGAAGATCAACGCAAACATTTTAATTTTTCCTCTAAAATGTATTCATAATCGATTTTCAAATTCTCTTTGACTCATTGATTGTTTTGATTGATTTGATTGGTTGAGCTTAGTTTTTTTTTCACAGGCCAACGCAAACACGGTTCTAGACCAATCACTGCACGCGTTTTATTGTTTTTATTTTATAATATCCTTTATTATTATTAACAGCTGCGGTAGCGCACTTCTGTTAAGTAGTTACCTTACTGAGTTTGATGAACCACAATCCCATATCTCTTATCTGCTATCCGCCATCTCTACGAAAGTTCTTTTATGTCATCGTTAAAGTAGTTTTGACTTCAAGTTTTTGTAAATTACAGCGTCCATAGCGATTTTTTATCGTAATGAGTAATTCGGAGATTTGCAACTAGAAGGATTTGGCGAAAAAACATATTCTACTACGTTGAAAAGTTTGATTCGGCTATTTTCAGTATTTTGACAATAAAATAACGATGCATATGAAATAGAGACCGTTTTCTACATTTGTCAAAGATGTTTTCAGTAACACTTGATGAAATAAACAAAACAACTGATGAAATTTTTAGCGACTATTTACGGATTTGACGAAATTTTTAGCGACTATTTATGCATTTGATGAAATTTTTAGCGACTATTTATGCATTTGATGAAATTTTTAGCGACTATTTATGCATTTGATGAAATTTTTAGCGACTATTTATGCATCTGATGAAAAAAATTCCTCGCACAATGTTGCGACGTTTCTGTCAAAATCATTGTGTTGATGTTCGAAGCAATGTTTCGTTTCGTTATTATGGATGTTTTTTGACGTTTGGATTGATATGTTTAGCTGTGTATTTTGTCATTTTCTACAACTGTAGATCATCATTACCGTTTCCGTTCGCGCGATGTTTATCTTGTAAAGTCGAGACGGTAAGGTGTCGTTGGTATGGCAACGTAGATACTTTCGACTGCCTGCATTTTAAACAGTTGTTTCGGATGTAGTCTATAGTCTTCCACATCAGCGCTATAGTAATGATGCCAATGTCTGAGTTGAATAAATCGTTTGAAGAAATCTCCTTCAATTTGTAAAATCTACGGCCATGAGATGTCACAAGGTTTTTTATTGCAGCCGGGGCCGGTTGCACAAAGTCTGGATAGCGTTATCCATTGGATAGCGAGTTTTTTTAAATTTTAATAAAATCTTTTAAAAAGCAAAAAGTAAGATTCGAACTGAACAGTTACCGAAATAAAATATTGTTTCGAAGGATACGAAATTTCTTTATCGGAAGAAAAATATAAGCACCTTTCTTACAAGTTTGAAGATTTTTGCTATCCAATGGACAACGCTGTCCAGGCTTCGTGTAACCGAGCCCAGAACTACAAATGAATTTCTCGAAAATATTTTGACGTCTCAGGCTGGTTTCATTCTTCAGGTGATGTAGAAAGAGATATTTCAGTTATCTTTGCATAGAAAGATCAATAGTTTGCTGGGGGGGACAATATTCGTATATGCACATGTTCTGTTCATGTCTTTCAAATCCATGGTTTACTACGGATTATACCATTCTTACGTATGTGAATACAGTCTCTCTCCCCAATCCCCCCTCCCATCTACTTATCGATCTTGCAATTTCTATTCTTCGCATCGTGTAGAATTTTTTTATTAGTTTTGTTTAAGCGGTGAATACAAGAGTCTTAAAGATCATAGCAACACTCGCTTCTTTTAAAATCGAATGACTGTATACATGCATGAATCACTAAACCAACAATATTTCGTGGATCATCTGCACTTAGCTGGATAGAAGATTTTATCCTGTTAGTCAACCTGCCCATAGAACGATTTAATTTTTGTTTGTTGTTTTTGTACCATGACTGAAATTGAAAATTTAATCGATTGATCTTAATGAGATGATTGTTGCCCTGGTAGTCTGTGGTCAAATCGTATTTACCCGCTAATTATGCCATCATTAAAGAAAATTGACTTTGAAATTATCTAATTTGCATAAAGAGCGCATCAATACGACCTTTTCAAAGCGATATGCCCTTGAGCTAAAATACCGTCCGTTTGCTGTTTTGAGATATTACAATCATCCCGAAGTGAAGAAATCTCAAAATGATCTGTCTACAAAAACATGACTTCCGTCGTACGCACATATCTGCCGCTTTTTATGTACTGATGCTAAAGTGGGATTAGGATTAGTTTCTATTGACTTTATTGGATTATCCACTTAACCTCAAGTCTGCACCGTAGATTCCTGACGTATGGACGTTTGAAATTAGCATATCGTGCGTCAAGACAAGACCGGATGTTGGAACGGCGTCTGGTATTCATTTGTTTTAGCGAGGGAACTGAATGAATTTTAAATTAGAAAGAAACCAGAAAACCATGAATTGGGACCTCGAATACTGTAAATCGTATTCATCGGTTGATATTTTACACATTTTCAAGCAAATTGTCGGTTTTGATTTGTTTACTTAAAGATTTCAAAGTTTTTAATGCGAGAATACAAACACTGACGAAAATCATTCAACTTTTAAAATATCGCATGTTGTCTTTGATTTTAGAAATTTGTGTCAATTTTAGAAATTTCACAAAAGGTTTTCAAGAAATTTTCATTGAAAATTACTTTAGTGAATGTGTTTTCGATTGAGGAGGTGTTAGTTGAGCGGCGAGCTTTCGCGCTTTTCGAGCGGTTAGAAAAACATTTTGTGTCGATTTAAGCAGGAAAAAAGTTTTTACCCTTCACCTTTGTTGTGTAGTCATTACTTGAGAAGTGCTTCAAAATCATACACAATTTTTAGGTCAATCATTGCTCTTTTGTTTGATGATATTTTTATGTTATAATGCCGGCTAACAAAGACATTTATGAAATACAACTATAACTGCATAATGACCGATGAAAGAACTCTTGGTTTCCTCCTAAATGTGTGGTCTGCTTAATAACTAATAAAAGTACTTTTTTTTTCTTCAAGACTTAAAGTGCCCGAGCAACACAGGCCACCGTCAAAGCGCCTGGTAGATGGTATTTTTTTTGCAAGAACCGAAATGGATATAACTGGCGTAAAATTGCTCGTTCTTTTTCTTTTTGCAAGTTTCATTTGACAGATTTCCATACTCTGAGAGACTAGGACATTCTATGTAGACGCTGTAATCACAAATGGAATGTCTTCGGTGCCTTCAAAGACCGCTGTACGCGGAAACATCAAAAGTCCTCTTAAAAACATTTCTGTTCTCCCAAGTGAGCATAAAAGGAGCGCGGGAGGACATCGAAGCTCACAGTTTTCGATTGCGTTTGCCTTGAATCGTTTGGCTTCGTTTCCTCAAGAAAATTTTGGATGGAAAGATTCTTTGATAAAGGAGTTGATATGCATTTGGTAAGTTTCTTTTTGCTTGGATGTTGGTCGACAGAATAGAAGTGTGTTCAGTCAAGGTTTTAGTATAGCTTTGAATGAATCAATCATATAAATATGAACGATAAATTATGGTGAACATACGACATCACGTATATGTATAGTCCGGCTAATTTGCATAAAATGCGTCGTTAATGCAAGGTTAGTTTTAAAGCTATAGAGGGAAGAAAATTAATGCATTGGCTTTTATTGCAGCTCGTTTCATCGCAGGCTAACAAATTTTAAAAGAGTTTTTGCTGTTATATCCCTTATAGATGGAATGTTTGATGTACCATATTTGGGAGAAAAAGATTCTAATTGCCATAAATTTCTTATAAGTATTATAAATTGCATTTTGCTCGAAGCATTATGTAGCGTGCGTTGCTAATTATACTATGCTCTAAATTCCATTTGTCTCCTTTCTCACTCAGCCACTTCCCACGCTAAAAGACAGACAGCATGGCATAACTTTCCCTTTTAATGTTGCTAATCGTCTTCGTTGTTTCCCATCCTCAAATTGAAACTGTCATTTTCGTCTGTCAGTATTTACATTTATGGTTTGAACTTTTTAATGAATGTGTAATTATTTTTAATGAGTTTGGTTATTACAATGTCAGGGTTATGCAACCAGGATAAGTTTTGTTTATGGTTAACTCAGCTATCTGTTTTTAAGCGAGAGTTCTACTTTGCATATTTTATGCGAAATAGAATGTAGGAAAGTTTTGTTAAGAGACCATAAATCATTTTTTTGGTGTTTGGTGCATGTGAACTGTATTTGTTTATAGTTTATAGATCTTCAACGGTATATTTTAACGTGTCTTTTTTATTAAAACGATTTATGTCAACTCGTCAACGACCAGTCACGTTCTGTTTCCATAGTGATTGTAAGAAAATTGTTTTATAATTTCATCTAATTCAATTTTCTTTACTAACATAACAGATATATAAATAGATAGCAAGTCTGTTTACCGGCGGTAAACACGCAACAATATTGCAAAAGTATTCATAAACCATTCTACTTTATTATAAGTTAAAAATACAAAGAAATCAACACTTTATTTACGACAATATAAATGAATGTTGCAGTGCATATGTTGCTGAATAATGCATCAAATCGTTAGATATTCAAGAATTTAACAAAAAAATACTACCTACTTTCTTTTCACTAATAAAACTAGCTTTTAGCGAATAAATATTTCTTTTATGAAGAGACACTTTGAGTTTTTAATATTTTACCTTTCACTGAGAATGGACCACCGTGTTTAGATGCTGACAAATGTTTAAGGAGACGTTCACTTCACAGTTGCTTGCATGTGTTATGATTTTACAGCAAATATTTTTTTAATAAAAATTTCCCTGAGATACGAAGGACATTCTATAACGATTAAATTCGTTTATGGAAGTTTTGGCATTCAGTAAATTTCTTTTGATCTTTTAACTGGACGTTTCTAAATCAATATTGGCAAAAAATAGCAACGGACAATTATAAGATGGTTGCATCTCTTTGATGCACACACTGCTGTATATCAAGGAAATGTTGTTTTGATTATCTCGCAAACAAATAATTTGTTTTTGGCAATTTATTTTCGTCTTGCTTTGAGTTAAATATGTCAGTAATTAATCAAAACACAATATATAAAGCTTTATTTAGGATTGTTTGTGACAGACATTTATGAGGAAGCTTTTTCGAATGTCGTATAACTGCTGAGGTGATTTCTTGTTCATTTTCGAGTGGTCGTTGGGTTATTTTACGTTTTACTAAAGTATATTTAGCTCGCAATAATGGCTGTCTATTGTAATGAAAGACGGCAATCAAACGTAAGTGATAGGACACGCTTTTCACCTTTTAAGTTCTGTATTGTAGTCATTATGAACTGATAAATAGACGATTATCCTCATCATGTTTGCCGCAAAATTTGCGTTCAAACAACGGGATGCCGACACATTGTATTAAGACCTTTACGACACCGTAAATAGCATCACTTCTAAAAAATAGTCTTTCTCGTCGAGAGAGCCGTATACATGCTGTGTTGGTTTATAATTATAATTTATAAACATTTTGTTTATGTACTTGAAAGCGTTTGCAAACGGTATTTCCTTTGTCAAAACTTGAATGGTTTGTTTTGTAAACTATCAATTACTGTATGGTAGCTTTATTACGGTAAAATTTTGGACGTATTTTTGAGAACGAAGTCGAAATGAGAAGTGTGGAGAAAACATCAAAGGTTTGTTGTGCTTTAGTTTCTCGAAGTAATTTCGATACAATTTGCTTAACATTTCATGTTTAAAGTCATGCAGCTAACGCCAGCTATATGCAAGAATTTATAAAGTCTTCGAAGGCAACTCTGTCCGTCTTAGTTTTTGCTGCGTTTTTCTTTTAACCTTAAAAATACCAACATTTCTCTACGACTTTATTCAACGCAATTTATAGACATTTCACCTAGCTAAATATCTTTGTCATGCTGTAGAGTATCAATATCTTTGAGATTGACACGTGGCTCATTGAAGTAGAAATTTTTTAATCACTTCAAGCGTAACTTGATGAACATTTATAATTGCAGCCGACTAACTGCTGAATAACTGAATAACTTCAGCTGAATGACTGAATAACATTTATAATTGCAGATGGTAATTATTTTAATAATATCTTAAAACAAAAACAGTCGTATCAAATACTGTATAGGAAGCAACAATCACGTTTATATATTTATATTAACCTTGGTGATAGCATCTCTTCAAGCCGGTATAGAATTGTATTTGAACTTGAGTCTTGAGCCTCTGATTCCCGGAATACAAATAAAGGTATTTTCGAAATATTTAGTGCTTAAGGGAGTGTTAGATTGAGAACGACTAACCAAGATTCGGTGTGGTGTTTAATGATTGTAAAAGGATCTTGCTTCTTCAGTTATATAAAAACACATTTCACCCCCACCATAGCTGGTTCGTATGTAGAGCATTCCTGTGGCCTTTAAATGGATATTGTGCAATTTAACGTCTCATGAAATCCACACAACGAAGACAGAGATGCTGAACAGTGAGTTTATGGAAAAAAATTAAAACTTTTGAGTCTATGCCTTGTTGATTTTAACTACGCGTGGGTTACAGCTTCATCTGTGAAATAATGGTGTTCAATCTGCAAAATTTTAGCAACAGCTTGTTTCAAAAAGATCCACCTTTCTGATACGCCCTTTCATGTAATAACATAAATGTATGTTTGTAAAATTTAATGTCTTAATCGTAGATGTGATTCACTAAGATCTTTCATTTCGCTTTTTTTAAAGTAATATACATGACATGACTTCGGATTTGGCACATAGATCAAGGTCATATACCGACAAATTTACCGGGGATAAAACATACCGCATCCTATAATCGTTTACACACGTAATCTGAGCATGTTGTTTTCATTCTATATTTGGGACGTCTGCAGTTGAAATTAATGCAATAAATAATGTACTGACACTTTTCCTACTTTGAACAAATGGTTTTGCCAAAAACTCATTTCGTCAGCTGAGATAACGGCCGGGCATAAATAATTATTGTTTTTCTGTTTCGTCTAAACAAGTGTGTGGTTATTGCTTTCTGTAACAGTGTAGGTTATATATTGTTTGGTGTTTTGTTCCCTCGTGATTACTTCATTGCAATAAATGAACAACAGAAAACGAGAGCAGTTTTTACACATATTATACAAGAAATAAGATAACGTGTGTCTGTGTAGGTAGTGATGAATGAACAACAGACAACAAGAACAGTCTTTAGACTATATAAAATATTTAAGAAATATGATAACGTGTGTCTGTGTAGGTAGTGATGAATGAACAACAGACAACAAGAACAGTCTTTACACTACATAAAATATATAAGAAATAAGATAACGTGTGTCAGTGTAGGTAGTGATGAATGAACAACAGAGAACAAGAACAGTCTTTACACTACATAAAATGTATAAGAAATAAGATAGCGTGTGTCTGTGTAGGTAGTGATGAATGAACAACAGAGAACAAGAACAGTCTTTACACTACATAAAATGTATAAGAAATAAGATAGCGTGTGTCTGTGTAGGTAGTGATGAATGAACAACAGAGAACAAGAACAGTCTTTACACTACATAAAATGTATAAGAAATAAGATAGCGTGTGTCAGTGTAGATGGTGATAAATGAACAACAGAGAACGAGAACTTCTTTACACTACATAAAATGTGTAAGAAATAAGATAACGTGTGTCAGTGTAGATAGTGATGAATGAACAACAGACAACAAGAAGAGTCTTTAGACTATATAAAATATATAAGAAATAAGATAACGTGTGTCAGTGTACATGGTGATGAATGAACACCAAGAACTAGGACAGTCCTTACACAACGTAAAATAAATTGTATATAAAGCAGAAAATGCAAAAGAAAATATCACTTTTCTTCTTTACATTTATATAGAAATCGTACTTTGCCCTCCTCGTCCTTTTTCTTCCTCACTTGGCCTGTAATCCTCTACCGAGCAGATTGTTTTTCAATCAGATTCAACGTCTTGAATACAAAGTTAATTATCTCGCAAATGAACTGTTAAAATGTCAACAAAAAGACCATCATCTGCATATGATGCGCTTCCAGAATGCAGATATTACATGCAATGATGGATCGACTGCAGGGTAAGCCATAAAAAATGTACTTTTTGCTTATGACTCACAGGAGGATGAACGAAAAAGGCAAAGTAGTGTTGAGCTCGTTGGGTAGGGTTTGTTCACGAAATATTTGGTCCCGGAAAGTTATGATTCTCGTTCGTCAGGACTATTTTAGTACCAAATATTAAGAAACAAAAAATTACAAATAGCACACTCGAAAACTGCGGGAAAACGCGAATTTATAAATTTCGTTTTCCGTCAAACAATGTTTTGTTAAGTTTTGTGGTTTCTTTTTGGCGATAGAACCACAAAATGTAATGGCATATTCGAAAACCTTGCTCTCATATCATAAAACTATTCTGTTAAATCTCTTTTCGTTCGCAAAATTTCTTTTATATTTTGGAATTATTAATGTCCTCAAATGGCTAAATATCGACAATGATATGTGTGTTTCAATATTTAGGTATTACATTAAAAGATCTTACCAAAGCAAAAATTGGATTATTTATCTTGAAGGTATAAATCGTATGTCACAGTCCACAATTGATTTTATAGCTCAGTTGGTGCAACACATTGAAGAGAATGATTATCTTGTTACTATACCTGAGTACATCACAGCAACGTGATGTTAGTTTCTATGATACTAAGTTATGAAAGAAACTAGAACTGTGTTTTTAAATATCATCATAGTCCACAGCTGGTCTTGTAGAACACTGGTATTATGAAATGTGATGGTCTTTCAGTGCTAGTGACATTTTCTTTAAAAATCGTTTTTGTTAAAGGGGGATGGTATTGCTTCAACGATGCTTCTTGTACCAAACGAATGAACATAAGCGACATTGAGTCCCTAATGTCATCAAAAAATTGGCCGTTACAACGCAGAGGTTGGTGTAAAAAATTGGTGTAATAGTGATTCAAAAAATAAAATAGATGCTTGAAATCTTTTTTTTTACCAAGGTTCTGGCATTCTTTCATCTAAGGCTAGTGAAAATCCTTCCTGGTACGATGCCAATCACGTGTAAGAATCCATTTTGCGTTTTTGGTTGAAATAATCTACTTATGATAATTTTCTTTCTCCGTCGACATTTAAAATAAATCGACGCACTGTTCACTTGTAACAACTACATTGCTCGGTCTAATGGAGTCCAAAGTAACTGTGGATTTTTCGTCCTCGATATCAGATTCGGAAACTTGACCTTTTTTATTTCATGGCCTTTTTCATTTTACTGGCTGCACAACAAACTGCGAACGCAAACTTATGCAAATCAGCGCTGGAAAAAGAAGGAAAATTTCTTCTTGCAACAGCTCAAGTAATAATCAAACTGGTTTATTCGCTGGAGAATGTTAGGAATACAAATGCATCCCAAGCATACGTCACTGTCATGTGACATGTTGAAAGAAGCTTATTAGTCCATCATAATTTTGTCTCGCGTGATTTTCTATCTACAGTTCTATAAGTTATTTGCTGCAGTAGCTATAACCAGCTGAAAATTTTCAACTCAAACTATTATCCATTAACAACAGATTGGTGCCATATTGTTCCAGTGATGTTTGGAGTGGAAATATATCAAAGTCGGAGTCTGGAGGTTAGAGAATATAACATTTTCTTTTTACTATTCTTCGGGCTTTTCGTTTACCATTTCCTCTTCCACGCATGCGTTCATAATCATTCATACAATGCGCATCGAGCAAATAATCTAGATTCTGAATCCAATACAGACAATCCAGACTGGTTCAGCGTGCAGGTTTTCGCTGTAATTAGTTTTGTTAAGTGTCCAACCAACAATACCAAGATTAATTTAATCTTTTTGTTTGATTTAGGAAAATTTTCGTTTATGGGTTACAGAATCATCAACGAAGTTATACGAGAACTTTTAATGAATGGTTTAATGGGTGCTAAACAACTTATCTTGGCTGGAAGCAGGTGGTTTTTATATTAATGATGTAATTGTCCTTTTATGTTTGAACTTTATCCACCGTACATCACAACACTGACGTATATGGAACTGTGTTTCAAATTATCATCACAGTCCACAGTTTGTCTTGTAATTTAGTTGATAGAACATTGGAGATAACTATTGTCTTGTTACTATGCCTGAGTACATTACAAGAACGTGATGTTATTATCTATGATATAAAAATATGAAAGAAACTAGAACTGTGTTTTGAAACATCATCATAGTCTACAGTTGATCTTGTAGTTCAGTTTGTAGAACAGACTTTACGAAACCACAATGACAATATTTACAATTTTCTCGCATTCTGTTTAGTGTTGGGGGCATCGGTGTGATCATGAGCATTGATCGTGTAGCCAAAATGATGTCAACCGCTGGTTCATCTTGCAAAGTTCGAGGTATTGCTGACTCAGGATGGTATCTAGAGAGCAAACCAGACTTAAGTAAATGTAAAATAAATCCAACAGTTTGTAATAGTCCGTCACATGGCATACGCATGGGAATGAGGTTAGTTTTTCTGTAAAGGTTGGAGCAAAAGACTCTTACGTTGAAAAATTGTAAAAATTTTCTTTTGTTTTTATTATTTTTGCAGTTATTGGAACGGTGTTCTGCCAGAAACGTGTAGCAATATGTTTCAACATGAACCGTGGAGATGTTACTTTGGTCATAATGTGTATAAAAGTTTGAAAAGTAAGATAAGGTTAGGTAGAGTAGAAATGAACGAAAATCGTGTATAATATGCGTCAGTGTTGGTAGGGATGAATGAACAACAGAGAACGAGAACATCTTTACACTGCATAAAATATATAAGAAATAAGATAACGTGTGTCAGTGTAGGTAGTGATGAATGAATAACAAGCACAAGAACAGTCTTTACACTACATAAAATATATAAGAAATAAGATAACGTGTGTCAGTGTAGGTAGTGATGGATGAATAACAGAGAACAAGAACAGTCTTTTCACTACATAAAACTTTACACTACATGAAATGTATAGGAAATACGATAACGTGTGTCCGTGTTTGCATAGGCGTAAGCAGAACGTTAATTTGGGGGTGTTATATTCACATATTCCGTGTGCTCTACTGATTTCTCTTGAAAGTGATTTAAATTCAGTCTGGCACAACTGAATATATGAATATACACCCACCCCACCCCCCAATTAACGTTCTAGTTACGCCTCTGCGTATTTAGTAGTGATGAATGAACAACAGAGAACAAGAACAGTTTTTACACTACATACAATTTATAAGAATGGTGTCAAAAAATGAAAATATATGTTATTTAGGTCCTTTATTCATTTTCCAATGGATTTATGATCCCACCCAAGTTTTGGTTCACAATCCAACGTCAATGAACGCCAGTCTTATGAAAGGAGAACTTTTAATAAATAGACTAATGTCAGCAGCGTTGAAAATGAAAAAATCAGTTGTCAAGAACGGCCTTAGGTAAGTTTTATTGAAATTTCCAATTTTATTGAAAGACTATGCATAGCAGTCAATGTCTGTCACACGTGGCTCTAAGGCCTATTTTATACGTCGCATTTTACATGCATCGAATGCATTGGATACTAAAGAAAATGAAATGTAATTCCTCATCATCTTTTGTTTTGAATGCATTCGACTCATATAAAATGCGACGTATAAAAGAGGCCTAAATTACGTTTTCTCATTTCCTTCTAGTGGGGTTTTCTTACCTGCCTGCCTCTCACATTCAATTTTAACGAAAAGGTAAGGCATAATTTTTATTAATAAAGAAAACAGGTAAGTGTGTCGTCAAGTTTTCATACCATAATATAATTAATATTTTAAAGAAACAAGTGAATTACGATTGGTTGTTATCAAATTTCTTGACCAATGACATGCCTTGTCTTTTTGTTTTCTATTCGTATAATTTTATTTCGAAGTTTTGTGCTGAATAGTCTTTAAAACGAGCCTCCTAAGTAGCTGATTAATTAAAAACAACTGAGTGAGCAGTAAATCAATTTCAATTTTATATTATTTAGTGATTGGCTTATGGTGAAAGTCAAAGGTTACACACTTGATCATGCAGTAAACTGTTGGATTTCCAAAGAGGAAAGAACAAACTCGTCCCTCTCCTCCATATCTCGATCGACACATTGCAAATCATTCTTAATCGACAATTGTACTCTTCCGCAGTGCAATTCACGTTGCTCTGCCCCCGTAATCCATTCACCGGCAAACTTCTCACAACATCAAAGTTGTCCAGATTGCCTTTAGGTAGTCAGAACGCATCACGTATTGGCTAGTATTGATGGTGTTTTATGATCAAAAATATTATAAACAAATGGTAATGCTGTTAGTATTATTTCATCTGTTGACGACCAGATGCTTCAATATATATAATTTATTGCAATGTCATTGAAATATTTTCTTATAGTGTGCGCTCGTGTTTATAGGAGACCAGGGCTGGATTAAGATGTGTGAAGGCCTTGGGCAGCAAAAATGCGTAAAGGCCTCCTTTCCCTTACTCTAAAGTCTATGGATTGCCCATTTTTCCAATTGCAAAGTTCACATACAAATTTTGTAAAGCGTCTGATAAAAGTATAAATTTGGTATATAGCGTGTATAGCATTTGCATACGATGATTTAATGTTACTTGAGATAGAGTACTATGTGAGATTTGATTCTAGCAGTTTTGATAAGTTCGTCCAAGTTTATTTCTCTTAGAATATCGTCCTCAATGCTCATCAAAGCAAAATGGCTGAGTTTACTGTGATGTATTGTCAAACGTAGTCTGTTCTTCATCAAATGAAATTAACTTTACGAGTAAACAAATTGCTCTTTAAAGCAACAATGTTTAATTTTCTTTTAAATAATGTGGAGGCCCTTGCTTGTGGAGGCCTCCAGGAAGCTGCCCAGTCTTGCCCATTGATTAATCCGGTACTGTATGAGACGAATATTTATAACTGGGGAAGGCTCATGTTCACATATTCATATGTTATAATTCATACGATTGATCTCTACTAAAACATTAAAATAAGAAATAAGAAACAAACAAAGTAGAGTATACTTTATGTAAATATATGAAATTGAGTCTCCCCCTTCACAAGTAGTGATATTTTGCGGTCCCTGTTGTTGTAAAGCAATTTCAGTTAAACTTTATATCTCTTCTAGCGTCTCTCATACATACACCTGATATCTGGATGTGTTTTAATAATTTAATTAATTTTACTGAAAGTGATGACAACTTTTTAAATCTTGTTGAAATTTCTTAAATATATTTTTTCTTAAATCAGAGCTTTCTATATACTAACTAAATATTTTTTTAATAAAGATCCGAATTTCTATGATTTACAATGATCGCTGCGCGTACCTATTTTATTTTGTCCTCATATCTCTCGGAACTAGTTCGGTTAAAGCTCGGTTTGTCCCGTCAAGTACTTCGGAGGGATTTCGCGCCAAGTTTAATTTAAAACGACGTAAAGAAAACAGATGTCGTCCTCTACAAAAGTTTCCTACATTTTTTCTCATGAATTTCTTCAATGTTGTGACCAACTGCCGAAGTTGAAAGGACGTGTAAGTCTTAAAGATTAAAAATCAGTTAATGACTCCTTCGTATAAATTCAGTGGACCAGATTATCGTCGTTTAAAGAAAGTAGTTTTTGCATTTCATTTCATTCCTCTTTAAGGCGAGCATCGTCCATTCTTTAATTAAAGCTTACGGCTTGTTGAACTTACCCAATTTAAGGTATTTTTTTATGTATTGTATTTAAAGCTACGTGAATATAATATCTACTAATTTTGTTGCCCGGTTATGCTATCATTGCTATGTTAGTACTATGTTTTATACTGGTTTTTAACATCTTGTTGTATTGATGTGGAACTGGTCCAATGGACGTTAAAAATATTTTGGTTTTTAACAATTTATAGTGTTCTCCAGCCAGTTCCAGCCTCAGGAAAAGACTTGGAAAGGTTCCATTCAAAGGGCTACGTTTCGTGTTTACAAAAAGCTGAAGAAAATGAGAATGAAGAAGATTTTGAGAAATTGCTTGAAGAATTTGGAATAGGTATTATACTGTTTAAGAGACTATCAGTCATTGAAGTTACTGGACTAAATATATTACAGGAAAGCTGTCTTTAGGTAAACATACGTGTCCTTGAATGAAACAAAATTTTACCTCCAGGTGTTCTTGTTCAGATTTCTAGCTTACAGTTGTAAATTGACAATATTTGGACTGTACATGGAAAGATTTGGACTTATGACATTGCTGTCTTTAGATTTTGATGGGAGCTTACATTTCAATTTTATTTAGCTCAATTGTATTGGTGAAAATTTTGTAAATGAAAAACTGAAAATTTCATCAACGAATGATTCTTTGCAGGTTATGATTGTCCCGTGTTTGAAGATTTGTATCATTGCTTGAGTATGGTTGCCGGAGGAACATTAAGAGCTGCAGAGTCCTTGAATTCTTCGTTGTTTGCAACAGCTATAAACTGGTGTGGAGGATGGCATCATGCACATAGGTAATATTGGTCATAAATACAAACCTTTTAACTAGGATCTTCACCTAGAAAACAGACGTTGTAATGTTATTCTGAAAGCTTGTAAAAATGATGACTAAGCACATTGTCTGACGCTTCGATTGTAGACTTGTAGCTTGATTGACACAATGTCTGCATGGAGTAAGTTCATCTTATTTTGCATTGAATATCTGTCTTTAATTGTTCAGTATATTTTTTACTATGTTAGTGTTGTTTATTGAACTAAATATGTGTATAAATGGAAAGCTACCTTTATATAAACATTCCTATACTTGCATGAAACATTTTATCTCCAGACTTGTATGCGTTTTGGTAAAGTGATGCATTTAGTGTACCGCCATAAATGCCATAAAACAAGTTAAATTGCTGGATTTAAATTTTGGCAGAAGGTAGTCATCCAGTTATATACAGTTCAATGCTTCCTTACAGATTAACTGGGTCAGGGGTAATATATTGGTGGATATACTGGTAACTGGGGTGAATGACGGAGGGGTATCAATTTCAACAACAAAATATTGATATTCTAAGAAATCAAAACTATTTGTGTTTGATGGAGCACATTTCAAAAAAATCTCAATGATGTTACAAGTGTAAGGGGATTTAACAAAGCATGACATGGTTATGCCTCAAAGGTAGCCAACCAAATTTAACTGTGAGCAACACCAAAAATCATCCTTGATCTACATATCCTTGATTATAAGCTAGTTGCAATTGTTTTAGTGTATACCATGATATTTTTACATGCTAGAAAATTGTAGCTATGTCATCATCATATTTGCTTTTTCTGGTGAGAGAGTAAAAACGTTTCCGGGGAGGGGGGTACGTAAAACATTCAGTTGCTATCTTACCGTAAATGCTCGGTTTAGCGCCGCTCTCGGTTAAGCGCCGCATCTGAGTACTTTAGTACGGCGCTCAGTTAGAGTTATTAGAATTTAAAGTTTACGACAACCTTGTTCTGCATCTATCTGACATTATTTTCATCAAGTTATATGAGATTATATAATGAAAATAGATTTTGTCTTGTCGTTATTGTCTTGGAGCAATAAAAATCTTTAATAAACGCCGCTCCCGCATGAGCGCCGCATTTAAAATTGGAAAAATTAAACTAGCGCTATAGCGAGCATTTACGGTACTCAGTCTTACTGCAGTTTTTTTTTAAATTTTCAGAAGTCTTTTTAAAGTCTTTTCTTGTCAGTGAATGTCATACGTACGTACAGGACGATATTAGACAATGTCGAGAGAATTTTTTTGCTCATGTGTGTATTTTTCGACAGGGACGAAGCGTCAGGATATTGCTATGTCAATGACATCGTTCTGGGAATACTGAAGCTGAAGGAGAAATTTAAAAAAATTCTTTACATCGATCTTGATTTGCATCATGGCGATGGTAAAAATTTTCTTCTTTCTAAAAACTTTTTCTTCTTTCTAAAAGTCGTTCAAATGACAGGCATTAGGTCACGTTTACTACACATTTTCTTACTGTCCCAAATGTCCATATTGTTTCTTGCTTTTTCGGCTCATTTAATGATTGAGAAAAATGTAGCAACTCCACACAAAAACAGTCTAGAGTGACGATGTTTTCGATGAAATGATTTTTACCGATCTTCATACAATTTAATGTGATAAGCTATGCGTAGCCGAGTTTAGATGTCTTAAATAGAATTTAGTTCAAACTTTAACCAAAGTGAAGACTGAAAAAAACGAAGAAGAGTTTGAGCTACTGTCAGTCAATAAAGCAATAATTAAATATACATATGTTCATTGTAATAATCATTTATTTTCCTTGTCCAAATATGAGTGCACCAGGCGTATATTGAAGATAAAATGTCTGGTCGTTCTTTTACCGTTTGAAAATACGTATTGAATGAAAACACGTATTTGAATGAAAACACGTATTTGAATGAAAATACGTATTTGAATGAAAACACGTATTTGAATGAAAACACGTATTTGAATGAAAATACGTATTTGAATGAAAACACGTATTTGAATGAAAATACGTATTTGAATGAAAATACGTATTTGAATGAAAACACGTATTTGAATGAAAACACGTATTCAATATTTTTAGGTGTTCAAGAAGCGTTCTTCTACACACCTTCGGTCTTCACGTTATCCTTTCATAAATACACAGATGGATTTTTTCCAGGTTTTATTTCATGTTTATTATTTTAATGCTTTTTCGCATCCTGCCAAGTCACTTTAAATTACACATACTTTATTAGCATGTGTATAATTCTAATTGAACGTAGTTTAGTAATTATTGTGTTATTCTAATTGAATATAGTTTACTAATTATTATATAATTCTAATTAATCATGGTTTACTTATTGTATCATCATAGTTTACTAATTTTTGTATAATTCTATCTAATTAAATATAGTTTAATAATTATTGTATCATCATAGTTTATTAATTATTGTATAATTCTAATTAATCATAGTTTACTTATTATTATGTGATAACTATGATTCTTTTAGCGCGTACCGTAAATGGTGAGCAGCATGCTACTTGAATAAGTGCTCCTCTCCAAAAATGTTGGGAAAATAAACAAACGTCGCTGTATATAATCGATTATTTACGATATTTTACTCATAATTCTAGTGAAACATACTTTATTCACTTATAATTTTATCGAACATGATGATTTCAGGTACTGGATCGTGTTTTGAGATTGGACTTGGAAAAGGAAAACATCATTGTCTTAATATTCCCTTATTGGATGGAATGAATGATTCACTGTTCGTTCAACTTGTCAATTTGTAAGTAACGTTTGTGTTTACTTCAAGTCTTCATTTCGTATTTTTTATTTTGGCTTCTCTCTGGGTTTTCTATCGCGATTCATTCACCTTCTTCCATAAAATTTCTCTATACAGTACCTACCTCTGGAACTCCTGTGCTGTACCTCTGAAACTCTTGTTTTGCACCTCAGCATCTCCTGAGTCCTGTGCTGTACCTCTGAAACTCTTGTTTTGCACCTCAGCATCTCCTGAGTCCTGTGCTCTACCTCTGAAACTCTTGTTTTGCACCTCAGCATCTCCTGAGTCCTGTGCTCTACCTCTGAAACTTTGCCACTGTACCTCTAAAACAATTTGGGTATTATTTACCTATAAATGTACTTTACTAACTAAGTTTCATTTACGTCCCGTACTCACATCTATAAAACATTTTTACGATGCATACGTATGCATATAACTATATATTTTGTTGATAATATCCATTTGTGATTGTCTAATTGGTCATGAAATTTGTACCCAAGCACCTACGTTAAGGTTAATTCTACATTAAATTTCTAATTATTTTTACGTATTATGCATTGTTCATCATAAAAAAATAATGGATGATGTTTACTGTACTTTGACCCACCCCTCTCCACACACACATACGTACTCTGCACAACTACCCACCTGCCACTCTTCTACTGATTTTTCACACATACGTACTCTGCAAGACTACCCCTGGCTGCCGCTCTTCAACTGATTTTTCACACATGCGTACTCTGCAAGACTACCCCTGGCTGCCGCTCTTCAACTGATTTTTCTTATGTTAAGCGTTGTAAAGGAACTAAATGAAGCTTTTCAACCAGATGCAATTGTATGTCAATGTGGTGTGGATGGTTTAGTTGGTGATCCAATGAATTCATTCAATCTTACACATCACGCTTTTATATCGTCAATTCGCTATATATCATCGCTCAGGAAACCACTTCTACTGCTTGGCGGAGGTTCGTGTCTAATATAAGTAGGTTTACGCTAAATGATGTCTTCAACTAGAGCGGTGTTTCCATTTGACCTTACAAAACATTGATTGCTTCAACGAACTGATTGCACTGAGAAATGTTCCTAACACTGTGTTCAATGCGTTGTCATCAAACATATTAAAGAGACACTATTTTGGAGTGTGTGTAAGTAAATTTTCATGCAATTCTCTATATTCCTTCAGGAGGATATAACTTTCCTAATGCTGCCAAATGTTGGACGTTAATAACAGCGATGATATTAGACAAGAGTTTACCTAACGATATACCCGAACATAAGGTAAAGACACCGCTATCCTTTTCACAGCACAAGGGAAATGAATTTGGGAAGAGTGACTATAGAGATTGAACCATTTCTAACATAACTGCTATCGTTTATCAATTGTGTATTTATATATATAAGTTTAAAGATTGGAAATCCAGGCATTTTAATGTATAAAAATAAAAGATTCTCCGGATTGTATAAAATGATTTTATTGAGCTTTCGACTCGTTGCTTCGAGCCTTCATCAGAATGAGGAAGTTAACCCATGGCAACGCATTTCACCCCATCCAATCACATTAATCCACCCTCTAATCCAATTAGACGCTCTAAGCGTCTACATGATTAAAGCAACTGTAAATAGATAACTTCCTCATTCTGATAAAGGCTCGAAGCAACGAGTCGAAAGCTCAATAAAATCATTTTACACAATCCGGAGAAACTTTTATTTTTATACATTTATATATATGATATATATATATTGTTAAGAAGAAGAAAATACACAAAACTACAATTTCATCCCGACAAGCCTGTTTCGTGATTTCTCAATCTTCAGGGGATAATATTAAATTCACATTTATATATTTTATAGTTCTTCACAAAGTATGGTCCTGACTACACTCTGGCTATCTCACCCCATCATTTTAAAAAGAATAAAAATTCAGCTAACTATCTAGCAAGATTACTACCTGTGTTGAAAGGTAAAATTATACATATGCGTGGATTCGTGATTTTCAATCAAGCATCAATTAGAGAGAATACAGATTTCAAATATAATTTATAATAAAGTATTTCGTTGGTAAGATAAATTTTATAAGTGCATAACATTGTATATTTCAGGTAATCTCACAAACATATGTTGAAAATAAAAATCTACTACTTCAGAAAACAAGATGGTAAAGTCAGCTAAGTAAATAAAGCAAGGTACAATTTTTCTATAAAGATTGTTTATTAGTTGCTCGTGTTCCCACTATATTTATGAGTTGTTAGCTATAATTTAATGCAAAAACACATGTTACAAATCACTTAAATCCAGTAGCGTTCGTTTTCCGTGGTTGTGTTGGATTTAGCATTAGCTTTAATCTCTTTGCTGCTGAACTACATAAAATATTTTATGAGACAAAAAAAGATAGTTTCTTGTGTAGTTTTTCGGCTTTTATTTCAAAACGAAATGTTTTATTGTAACTACACTTTCATTTTTTAATGCCTTGACCAAGTTCATGACTACAAACTTGTTTCAAAGTATACCAAGCTTCTTTTATACGGAAATAATTTGTTGCACCTATCAGCACTATAATTTTGACTCTGAAGATGACTACCGCTAAGGTTGTCGAAACGTCAGTCAACAACAACAAAAACAGTCCTTCTCAGGACTATACAAACCTGGACGATCTACATTTACAAACATGATCAGCACTATAATTAGTTACAGAGTAATCAGTAAAGAAACGATAAATGTATAAGTTTGGTCGCGTTATGTAAAATTTTCTGTCTTCACTAAATGGAAAAAATTTATTAATAAATGATAATGACCTGAAATTTTACATAGTACGACCAAGCTGGCGGATTGGCTATTGCACGATGCTCTGTCCATATCGAAAATTTTATCATGAAATTTTGTTTTCTTTTATTTACGTTTTTTCCATGATTACTTTCACCAGTAGCTTTTGGCTTTTGAAAAGATTTTGAATGCTATCCACTAATTGACCTTTCAGTTTCCATGACCGTTAAAAAGACTTCGTACAAATCAAGTACTGTGTTTATATACAAACCATGAACTATGTAAGGCCTAGTTCAAACGTCGAACTTTACATGAGCCAAACGCAATAAAAACAAAAGATAATGACGAAGTTCATCTCATTTTCTGTTCTCTTTGCGTTCATCGCATGTAAAGTTCGACGTTTGAACTACGCCTAAGTTCAAAAATGCGCTCGTAGTCAGTAATTCAAATGTTTAATTTCGTAGAAGCACTATTGCTAATGCGCATTTAAGACATACGACGAGTTTTTTTTAGAATAGACATGTTTCGACATCTTTTATATAAGCCTTGTATTATTTATTACTTCACTTATACTGAAGATGGCATCATGAGATGTCGAAACATGTCTATTCAAAAACTCGTCGTAAATATTAAATGCGAACTCAAATCTTCACGATGACCGTAATTATTTATGAATACACAATGGTTCAGCTGGCTTCCATTTATCCAAAGCTATAACTTCCTTTATCTCCTTCTCTTTTTCTTTTATTTTCATTTTTCCGCGATAACGGATGCTTTTCAAGTACAAAGCAAAACAACGTTAGGTGTTTAAAGGAAAATTTGTTGATTTAAGGCGAGTCATGTCTTAATTTGCAGACAGTGTCGTCATAAGTACTGTTCTCGTTCAATCTCACAGTTTTTAACGATGGTAGTTGGGAGAAAACCAAAAATAGCAACAATAAGCACAGTGAACTGTCACCAAGAAACATGAATGTTATTTTCGCAAAAACACAACTAAAAAAATTTGGCAGTTTCGCCAGACATAACCTAGTAACTCATCAGGCAAGAAAGTGTTTTAAAGAGAATAGAATCTCTAAAAATTTCAACGTGAAACATTATCTAGACATCTTATTTAAACATTTTTTGGTTAAAAAAGCGAAACAAATTAAACACACCCTTGCTACATTTAAGTGAATTAAGTCCCAACTCCGCAATCTTGCAACGCAAGTTACACCATACCAACAAGTATAAAGTTGATCTTTGTCAAACATAAACTGACAGCAGCCAAGTTACAAAATGACATGACAATATTTTATCAATAAAGTTACCTCGGTTTCAAGGGTGACTTGAGCAAGGGAATGAATGTGTCAGGTGGTTTGATGATCTCACTATATAAACAAAAATTCCATACTACACACACCTTCTTAGTTCAAATTTGATTTAAAAAAAAAGCTAAGGCATTCCTGTAGTAACGTAAAATATTTATATTGCAACCATAGATGTCAAAATATACATTGAAGACCAGTGGCAGATCCAGCTATAGGCAAAATAAATTATAACTGCTAAATTGAAATTTAAAATACCTTTATAACAAAGTCATTGGTTTTAAATTTCTAAAGACTAAAAATAAACCAATCGATGCAATAAAGTCATTTATTTTGCCTATAGCTAAATCCACCCCCCTGTTAAAGACATACCCAAACTTTACTGTTGACATTGTAATTTTACGATTTGCCTATAGCTAAATCCACCCCTTGGTTGAAGACATACCCAAACTTTACTGTTGACATTGTGCTTTTACGATGGAAATGTGATGAACATTCTGGTGCTTTATAACATTTATCTCCTGGTGATCTTTCATTTATACCATTTCTTTTATTACATGCTGAATGAATGACAAACACAAATATTAGAGTGGAACTTTTCAATGTTCATGCTTTTTGAATGCAAATTCCAAAACAAGATCATCACCTTTTCTTTTCTCTCCTAAACATTTCTCTAATGTTAGTTCCCAGTTTTCTTCTTTACAATCTGTGTACCTCATCCTCATTTTTTAAGATGCTCAATTTTTTCAGTTTCTAAATACAAATGTTGTGGACATCATTTCTTCAGCTGCTATTTTGTGCTTTTGATGCATCATATAACCTCAAATGCCTTTTTTCATTCAAAAATGATTCAATTTACAATTGATTGGCATGTTCAGGGCACACATTCTCCCTCTCCCCATTCAAAAAATTTGGGGTGTTGTATGTTCTGCAAGCAAGATTTTTAGTCTCTGTATAACTATATTTCATAAAGAACTGTAGCTCACAGTTTTTTGTTCTCTATCAATTTCTGGAGCAACTTTTTATACAAATAAGTATTGCAAAAGCTAGGACGTCACAAGCACCCTGCACCCATAATATGCACCCCCCTGAATACATTCTCTTCACTTGTAGAAAAATATTGATACCTTGAGTTGCAATCTCCTTGCATGTGTTTCCCTTTGAAATTGGAGAAGGTAGTTTGCTTTGTGCTTTGGTAAATTTCTCTTCAACATACTTTGGTGGACATCTTATTGTTGAACACCAATCCAAACCGTCTCCACCCCTTAAACACAAGGCAATAAATATTTTTAAAGTAAGAGATGATATTAGTAATTAAATCTTAAGAGTATAAGGTAAATAAATTTATAAACCTTCAGTTACACTAATGGGAGGAGAAAAGGTTGTAAAATATGTCTGCTTCTTTACTACTTGCTTTATAAAGTTTTTCCTTACTTTGGTGAATGTTCTTGACAATCAGGGTAATCTAAGGCATTTCGTACATGTGGTATCCAATCAGGCTCTCCAATGGATTTACTTCCATATTCACCATACGAATGCTGGTACAGTCCATGCTTACCACAATAGCTTTGATACATATTGACACATGTAGTCACAAGGAAACATATAAACTCGATTGTATAGAATTTACATTTGAATTTACTCTATGTGTTTGATTATAGTAACAATGTTTTGATCGTCAACTAGATTTTCAAAACCGTTACGTGTTTTGCTACTACCATAGCGACGTTGTTATTTGATTATCAACGGAATTAATCATGCGATAAAGTAATTAATTATTCGAAAATTTATTCTATTATGTATGGTTATTAGGAATGTTTACTTTTGAGTTGAAACTCTACATTATATTTTCGGCGTCTCCCTGTCCTGAACTTAAAATTTGCTTTCAAATGCAGCAAAGTTTTTCAAATCGAGTTATATACTCCGAGTCATGTTGTCGTTTAGTGATGCATGAACTTTACCATAAAATTCGAAATCGAATTGGACAACATCATGCGAGAAAATAATAACGTAACTAACGAAGTGCCTTTTAACAGGATTTGCGAGGTAAATTTAAAAATCAAAAAGTCATTACTAATGAGATAATTGAACACGTTATAGCGTGATTGCTAATCTCTTTATTCTTATTGTTCTACGCAGTCGGTTTAAATGTGACCGCGTGCTAATTTGAAAAAGAAGACCTCGTGTTGTTGAGATGCCGAAACATTCTGCTGTAACTGTTGCCTTGGAAACGTGCACGTGTAACGGAAAATTTGTATATTACGGCCATAAGTGTTGGCATTTAATTAGAATGTTTCACTTGGGAACCGCGGAGGAACTGTTCCTTCTAAAAGATTCAATTAACGAAGAAATTCCTTTTTAGGAATGATTAGAAAGTTCTCCAGAGTTCTTTTATCAATTAAGATGGAACTATGAAATAAAATGCAGTATTTGTACTCGAAGGTTTTGTGTAACGCAACGAATAGAAAGTAAGTATTGCCTGTCTCTGTTCATTTATGCTTTCCTGTATTTTTGGAAACATAGCTTGATTTATATAATTTCAAAAAACTACCTAAAATCAATTGCGTATATTTTCTGCTGATTTCCTACTGTAAGTAACCCACACAAACATAACTTGCATGCACGCATAAGTCATATGATTCATGATGTAGTAAATTGTGTAATATTTCTTGACCTGCCTACCACAATTCTCGTTTTAACGTTAAATGTGATTGGAACTCCAATTAGAACATCAATGTTCGTTAATTGCAACATATATCAGCTGTCGTCATTTCAAGTCAATGCGCACGCAGATTTACTGAAAATAAAGAAAATATAAAATTCCAACATAATTCTACACGTTATGTTCCCCCTGGAGACGTACGGCGATGATGGGGGTATTTAAATCATGCCTGTGAAACCATTTGTAAATTTCCGTTCCGATAACTTTATCACAATGGTTATCATCATGTATTTTTCTCACCGTTCGTTGCTTCACACCTCTGATGTCTTTCATACAGGTACGTCTCATGCGAGATGGCAGAAGCTGGTTCTTCTACAACAACAAAACGTAAATCTACAACTGCTAGCAGAGAAAGAACGAAAGCTAAACAACAAAGACGAAATTGCACTGCGAAAAAATGCCCTTTAAAACGTGCCGGTTATTTTTTATTGGGTCCAAGACTTGGCAATTCACCCGTACGAAGTATAGTTCAATGTCTGGCGAAACGAGACGGAACGGACGATTTTTATTGCTTAAAAATGTTGACGATCGAAGAGCCAGGCCACGAAACGCAAGATGACAAGCAAGGGAAGATGTTATTACACACAGAATATTCGCTTTTGTCGTTATTACATGACCAGGATGGTGTCGTCCACCATCACGGCCTTTTTCAAGACGAATTTACTGAGGAAATTCACGAAAGAGATTTGACTGGCATACACAGGACTCAGCGCGTTCGTAAGAGAGTGTGTCTAATATTGGATTGTCTTAGCCCTCATGAATTTAGTAACGTCACTTCGGAGTTGATAAATCTTCAACATTATGTCATCAGGGAGAAGAAATTAACAGAGAAAGAAGCTATCGTTATATTCTACGATATTGTTCGCGTTGTCGAAAGTCTTCATTCTGTAAGTTCGATATTTTCCCTCGAGATTTTTGTCAAAGACACAAAGTGTTTACGGTCAATATCAATTGGATTAGTTTGGCCACTTGAGCATATTAATGGGAAGTTTTTTTAAGCCATTCTGGTCTTTAAAACTATTTCATTAAGTTTACAATAGATTTGATTTAATTTGCTGTAACAATTAAGGAGAATAATTACTTTTATACATTAATAGAAAAACGTGGCAAATGTTGTGAAAAATCATTTAATACACATTCATATCAATATGTTGCTATTATTTTCCCATCTTATAATTCTCTTAAATACTTTTAATTTTAATAATGAATTTTCTTTACCTTGTAGAAAAATATTGTGCACAGAGATCTCAAGTTGGGAAATATTGTACTAAATCGTAGGTAAGTATTTTAATTTTGTATTTACTCATTTCTAATTATTGCTTTGATATCATCAACCAATTCTTATTTATAGCACAAAGAAAATCACAATCACTAACTTTTGTCTTGGAAAACATTTAATTCGGGAGAATGATCTGTTAAAAGACCAACGTGGTAGTCCAGCCTACATAAGCCCTGATGTCTTAAGTGGTTGGTAAAGGATGTTTATTGAAAATTTGTGACATTTTTTTTCAAATCAAGATATTTTCAATCCAATTGAAACAGATATTGTTACAAGGGAATATATATTTTGTGAGAGTTATCATAAAATTAATGTATGGCCATAATATAAATTTACGATGGGCCCAGTTAAGATGAAAAAAAACAAAGAGAATCAAGACATGTCTAAAGTAAAGATCTGTTAGTACTGTGTAGATAGGGTGAGAAATATAAGATGAAACAAAGGGGTATGGTGTTAGAGATTTTTAAAGGACATTATTCTAGGAAAGTACTTGGTTGGTAGCAGTGGTGCCGAAGGATTTTATTTGTGGTTATATAAGAGCCCCCAAAATGGCACTTTACATGTATTACATATCATTTTTATGTCACTGAAGTTTTAAAGTAACGTATATAAAGATGGGAAATATTAGGAGGCAGTCTCCCTCTCCTTGCCAGCCAAAATGGTTGGAATTGCTAAGTAGGAGAAAGTTTCAACATTAAAACATTGCATGAAGTTATGTTGACCTGTTTCAGATAAGAGGATGTAGGAATAGACAGAGTTTTATGGATGCAAACAATTTACTATGGCAACCTTTAAAAATTGCATTATATATTACACTTGCTTGTATTTTTTAATGAAAACAAAATTCAAAATGAAGATCTTAATCTTGAAAATTTTATTGGAGTAGTGATCTTCCCTTTCTCCATTCTGAGACCACTGTATATCAAAATACATTGCCACCATATGCTGATGAACTAAAGATAAATAGATATTTTAATTATTTCTATGTTTTTTTTAGGTCAGCCATATTCAGGCAAGGCAAGTGACATGTGGGCTCTTGGTGTTGTATTATATACCATGTTATATGGTCAGTTTCCATTCTATGATAGTGTACCTCATGAACTGTTCAGAAAGATCAAGGCTGCAGAATTTGCCATTCCAACGTAAGGAATAAAACAGTGATAACACATGTTTATGAATAACACCCCCCACTCCACCCTCCACAATTATAAACTTGGGGACACTACTGTGTGAAGAAGACATTGGAAAGATTATGGGAAATGGCAGCCTGTTTTTTTTGGGGGGGGGGGATTTCATCTAGATGACATTGTGGTTTAATGAGCAATGATGACATTGTAGTGTGAATGAAAGTCTTAGACAACAGTAAAGAGAGGTTGTTGTTGTTGTATTGAGTTAAGTTTCTGTCCATGTTTGAGACACAACATAGTTGATAAATAGTGAGAAAGTTCTTGTGTGTTGAACTGATGTTTGCTCATCTTAGAAATTTTCTTAAAATTTGTGCTGGGTTGTAATGAAGGGTGTTGAACATTATTGTGCTATTTTGACATGTTTACTATTGAATGAAAGAAGTTGCGCTCATTGAAGTACCTTTAATTTATTGACTGTTTTGATGTTTATTTACATGAAGTACAAATCATTTATTGTCTCTTTTGATGTTTATCTACATGAAGTACTTATCATTTATTGACTGTTTTGATGTGTATTTACATGAAGTACAAATCATTTATTGTCAGTTTTGATGTTTATTTACAGTGACGGACGGGTGACAAGCTCAACGATGAAATTAATTCAGTCATTGTTAATATTAAATCCTAAGAAACGGCTAACTGCATCACAGGTTGCAACTGTTCTTCGTGAAACAATAAGAAAATGGTAAGAAATGTTATAAAATAACACACAATAATTTGATGCTCTTAAAAACCGGAAAACAGGGTTTCCATCAACAGTCGTTCTCAGTGTAGTAGCAAAATTTAGCAAACGCGATGTATCGTTCACGACGTCGTAAAAATCGTGTGTTTTGCCCATATATGGATAAGTATACGCCATATTTAGGCAATTTTCAAGACGATTCGTCTTGTTTGCTAAATTGCCTTAATATGATTGAGGAATGACTGTTCATGTGCTTGTAGGCGCATTGGAACCTGGAATTTTTGGTATTTTACAGGTTTTCTGCCACAGACATTCAAATCCACAAGCGTAAAGTCTGACAATGTGTTTTATTGTATTGGCACTTTTTGCGTAGGTCATTTAATAATGATAGTACCACTCAACTAGCCATCTCAAACGCTGTTCAGTAAAATGAATATTTTCTCTTCGAAAATCTCATAAGCTCAAGGAAAGGGCAGATGTTCAAAATATCTTATAGCCTCGTCGCTCTCATGATTTTACTCACATTTTGTCATGTTTATACCAGTTCTATTCATTTGGATTTGCTGAGCGCTTGTGCTGAATATTTCAGTGTCTTTTGCGTGTAAAGTGAACGCTAAAATTCACTCTTCTTTACTTTGTCTTCTCCTTAGGTACATATCACGTACATTGCTATCACCATCACACGTTGTCTTCTTCTTAGGTACATATCACGTACATTGCTATCACCATCTCATGTTGTCTTCTCCTTAGGTACATATCACGTACATTGCTATCACCATCTCATGTTGTCTTCTTCTTAGGTACATATCACGTACATTGCTATCACCATCTCATGTTGTCTTCTCCTTAGGTACAAATCACGTACATTGCTATCACCATCACATGTTGTCTTCTTCTTAGGTACATATCACGTACATTGCTATCACCATCTCATGTTGTCTTCTCCTTAGGAACATATCACGTACATTGCTATCACCATCTCATGTTGTCTTCTCCTTAGGTACATATCACGTACATTGCTATCACCATCACATGTTGTCTTCTTCTTAGGTACATATCACGTACATTGCTATCACCATCTCATGTTGTCTTCTCCTTAGGTACATATCACGTACATTGCTATCACCATCTCATGTTGTCTTCTCCTTAGGTACATATCACGTACATTGCTATCACCATCACGTTGTCTCTTCTTAGGTACATATCACGTACATTGCTATCACCATCTCATGTTGTCTTCTCCTTAGGTACATATCACGTACATTGCTATCACCATCTCATGTTGTCTTCTCCTTAGGTACATATCACGTACATTGCTACCACCATCACATGTTGTCTTCTCCTTAGGTACATATCACGTACATTGCTATCACCATCACATGTTGTCTCTTCTTAGGTACATATCACGTACATTGCTATCACCATCTCATGTTGTCTCTCCTAGGTACATATCACGTACATTGCTATCACCATCTCATGTTGTCTTCTCCTTAGGTACATATCACGTACATTGCTATCACCATCACACGTTGTCTTCTTCTTAGGTACATATCACGTACATTGCTATCACCATCTCATGTTGTCTTCTCCTAGGTACATATCACGTACATTGCTATCACCATCTCATGTTGTCTTCTCCTTAGGTACATATCACGTACATTGCTACCACCATCACATGTTGTCTTCTTCTTAGGTACATATCACGTACATTTCTATCACCATCTCACGTTGTCTTCTCCTTAGGTACATATCACGTACATTGCTATCACCATCTCATGTTGTCTTCTTAGGTACATATCACGTACATTGCTATCACCATCACACGTTGTCTTCTTCTTAGGTACATATCACGTACATTGCTATCACCATCTCATGTTGTCTTCTCCTTAGGTACATATCACGTACATTGCTATCACCATCTCATGTTGTCTCTCCTTAGGTACATATCACGTACATTGCTACCACCATCACATGTTGTCTTCTTCTTAGGTACATATCACGTACATTTCTATCACCATCTCGTTGTCTTCTCCTTAGGTACATATCACGTACATTGCTATCACCATCTCATGTTGTCTTCTTCTTAGGTACATATCACGTACATTGCTATCACCATCTCATGTTGTCTTCTTCTTAGGTACATATCACGTACATTGCTATCACCATCTCATGTTGTCTTCTTAGGTACATATCACGTACATTGCTACCACCATCACATGTTGTCTTCTCCTTAGGTACATATCACGTACATTGCTATCACCATCACATGTTGTCTTCTCCTTAGGTACATATCACGTACATTGCTATCACCATCTCATGTTGTCTTCTCCTTAGTTTCATATCACGTACATTGCTATCACCATCACATGTTGTCTTCTTCTTAGGTACATATCACGTACATGTTGTCTTCTTCTTAGGTACATATCACGTACATTTCTATCACCATCTCATGTTGTCTTCTTCTTAGGTACATATCACGTACATTTCTATCACCATCTCATGTTGTCTTCTCCTTAGGTACATATCACGTACATTTCTATCACCATCACATGTTGTCTTCTCCTTAGGTACATATCACGTACATTGTTATCACCATCACATGTTGTCCCAGACATAGATGACCTACTTGAGAATGACTGCATTCCGGAACACCAAATTGCAGAAAGACAAAGGGAATTTGAACGGAAAATAAATCAACTTGAAGGTGATTTTACAAGACATGATAATAGCGCTCCGTTTATACCAAGGCTTGGTAACTTGCCCAATGTACGAAGGCTTGGTCACGATGCGAAGAGGCTGACCGCGAGCGAGCTGCGTTCTAACCGTCATCTGTTTTGATGTGAATTTGTGGTAGGAAAGTGGAAGAAAATAAAGTTTTCCCTTGTCAATTTGTGGTAGGAAAGTGGAAGGAGATGAAGTTTTTCTTCTGTGAATATGTGGTAGGAAAGTGGAAGGAGATGAATTTTTCCCTTGTGAATTTGTGGTAGGAAAGTGGAAGGAAATAAAGTTTTCCCTTGTGAATTTGTGGTAGGAAAGTGGAAGGAGATGGATTTTTCCCTTGTCAATAAGAACGTGGAATATTTTATAATTGATTTGACAGAAATCTTTCATGGTAATGATTTACCAATGAAAATGGGAAAATTGCCCTTGTCGGGTGAACAAATGATCGACATTGCGTACAATGTGGGATAAAGAAGTACCGGAAGAAGACTTAAACTGACGAAAAAGGATATGTATGGATGTCGGTAGCGTAGCAAGACTGCAAATTGAGGTTATGATATGTAAATATCAGATAAACATGATTTCTTTCTTTAGAAGTCTGTTGTTTTTTACAGTTACTGCATGAACACATAGCAGGACCACATTAGCTTGCTGGCTACACCTTTAGCGGATTCACATTACGATTATCAAATTTTGTCTTTTATGTAAGTCTTTAAAGTGTGTGCTTCTAGAAATTGTTGTATTTTTACTAGACCTTTCAATGGTGATTGAATAGCCTTGTGCCATAACATATTATAATTTCTGGATTCAGAATATTTTTTTATTGAGACCATAACAACATTAAACGTGTATGAAAACTGTGATGAAATATGTTTTAAATATTTATGTATGTATCATGTAAATATGTTTGATAAATATCTTTACGTTTGGATCGTGTTTTATTTTTTCGGGGAGGAAGCACGGGGGGAATTGAAATCATGCGTTCTCACGTCGCGAGATAATATATCTCCTATCTTCCATGAATACCGTCTGGCCCTTTTTTCTGAAAATTTTCAAATAGTTTAGCAAGTTTATCAGTTGAGCAAGAATTTTGCTCATCGGCCAAACTCACATGCTGTTTGTTGATTTTTCTGAGCGTTAATGATTATTTTAACAAATTGTTTGAAACACCAATCATACCAACACTGATATGACTAGTGAAATACTATAGGTGGTAACTTGCGAATGGTGAGAATTTTTTACAGGTGTTCACGGGAGTAACAATGTCTTCTATCGATGGTTTGTGTCATTTTTCGTCCTTAAAATCATAGATAATAATTACGTCCTTAACATTTTAAGCACTTGTATGATATTAGAAAACGCTTTCCAAGAAATTATGTGGAATGCTGTAGTTATTCGCTGTGGGTTAAAGTTCAATTTATCTAATGAAACCACAGATAAAAAGCGTACTTGGAATGTGAAATCGCTTCAAAATCCCGCTGTAATCACATGTTTTAACTTAAACGGTGCTATGCCTTGGCTAAACCACTTATTTTAATTGCATCGAAATCGTCAAAGAAAGTTAGTTGACGGATTTCTTTTTAACAATTCAGGAAATGGTAATTGGTAGGTTTCTGTGGTTTTCGAAGCGAAATTAGGAACAATTTGCTTGATAAGATAAAAATGCCGTTAATGAAGCCTGATTTTAGGTCACTTTTGCTAAGAAATTAAATCATCAAAGAAATCGCAATTGAAAAGAACTCAGTAAGACCTCCATAAAAATGATAAATTGTATTTAGATTCGCAATAGGAGTTCAATAAACTTTGACCAGTTCCCGTTGAGCTATTTGTCAAAGTATCTATAAAAATTTATTTTTCTTAATTCTGACTTTTCCAGCAGGGCATTTTTCATAACTTTTAATAGCCTCACGAATTATTAAAAGTGTGAAAAAATGGAGCTCGTTAACTAAGATACATATTCCTAGACGATGCGACTACGAAAACGTAATTGTTTGCTTTCCAACGCATTACACAATAAAAATATCTACAGTAAACTGAAAAAATAAACGAAAAAAATATAAATACCATCATTTTACATTTCCCTCATTTTCCAAATGCCGCAACCTGATTGGTCAAAATAATCTTCCTACATGTGCAAATCTACATATGTTAATAGATCTATTACGGTCAGATAAAATGATAACAAATCCGTTTGTTGGGCGACTTATTGCATTGTATGTTAAAATTAAAGACGCCTGTTAATTCCATAAAGGCAAAGTGCTCGTCTGTAACTGGTAAAAGATCTCTTACTATCAGTTATCGTACGGTAGACTTAAATTTTAGTAATATTTTCTTGTATCGGATTACAACTTCTTTTAACGATGGATCGACGTGGATCTTTAACCTCAATTCTGGTGCGTGCATGAAGCGTGTCAAGTTTGAAGCATATGCATGGCTTTACGATGTATGTTTTTTTATTTCTAGACCATATTTGTGTTCCTGTCTATTTCTACAACTGGAATTTCGAAAGCAGACACTGGTATGTGTAACTAAATCTTCACATAAGAACCAAGGTTTTAGGAATTGCCTTTCTCATATTGCTTCATGTTTGTATACAACGCAGAGATCATTATATTATGGAATTAGATACTTTCTAAGACATTTGAAGATTATGGTCTTGTTTTTTCTAATCCCTAAGACATGTATTGCACTTAATTATCATTTGTGGTCATTGGTAAACATATTCCGACTTTCTTGCATTGATAGATAGAGTACTGTTACACTTTCAAACTCTTATCAAAATAATCCACTGTCCTTCTTTTCTTGCTTTGAACATTTTACACTAGATTAGATTTTAATGCAAGTCTATAACAGCGCTGTTGATTTACAATGCGGCGACTTTCAAATTGCATTATCATCATTAGGAGAGAATTTGAAGTCCATAACTTTGAACGCATGCTAATCATTTGTTTATTTGCTTTTATAAATCTTCGCTAATGTTAAACAGAAAAACACCTGGTAAGCAATATGAAACAGACTGATGTATTTTGTGATAAACGCAATTAGACGTCCTTATCCGCGTTTGCTTCAAGAGTATCGTGTTATTTTGCTATGGGGTTTTGAACTTGCGCCATCATTTTGCACCGAGAATTTTTTGTGTTTTATTTTTCTCTCCAGTTAACCTTCTGGTCTTCGTTTTTGAATTTCCAACTTCATGATCTTCGATTTTTGTTGACAATTCAGCTTTCCCGTTAATAGGTTCGGTTCAGCTTGGCCAATTTTTTTTGTTCTTTTAAAATGTGCGTAGGATTCGATTGTTAGCTAAAGCGAGAAAACCATTAACTCTGTTGGAATGAGATAAAATGCATCTTAATAAAGATAAGCTATTTCTTTATTTAAAACCATCGATTTTCGCTTTTACATGTTTTATGAAGCCGATAAGATCGCTCAACACACATTGATTTGATTCATTTTGTAGTTTTTATTTTCTTCCTCGAAAACTTTTCAGCAAGTTTCAAAAAGGCGCAAAACGAAAATAGACATGATTTCGCTTGCCCTTTTTTTTCTTGAGCTGTATTTAATGACTGACGATGTCTGTCATTGTGCTGTTCATTTCAGACGATGAAAACATTGGAATTTACTGATAAATATATTTGTTTTATTATTAGGTCAAGTGAAGTGTATATAGTTCTTCAGTGTTTTCATCGATGAATTGTATCAACATGAGAACACTGTGTCATGGAATTGACATTTTGTAAACTCATAATTTTACAACTTGCTCTCCTGCGTCAGTTCAAACGTTTAAAAATTCGTCATATACCATTTTGATATGACACATTTTGCTAAAATGTACATTTTTCAACGTACTGAGCTGTTAATTGCCGACATTTTGCAGCGCGCACCCACATATTTCTGCACGCGTCCATTGAAAATGATGTGTCTCTCCGTCACAAATTCGTTAAAACTGTTACATATTGAAATACTAAATGTTAGTGATCTTTTTTCTATGGAGTAAGAATTACTGTGAGTCTTTAATCGAAAACGTTATGTCGTATCGTAATGACACTGAAATAATTGCTTCCGACTGTCGTGTATTGTTGAATACCTAAACCAAATTACGTGTTTTATAGCTAAACGTTTGTTTCAAACCGTTTACCTTTGGTATATTATGAAAAAAACTTACGAAAGGTTTTCAAAGTGCATAAATACTTTAGTGTGTTTAATCTCGTTTTAAATTGGCTGTGAATTGCTTGACTCATTGTGCCATGTTGTTGTCACGTGTCAAATCCACGTTTTAACACGTATAATTCGCTAGATTCTTTCGATGCGCAAAATGTCATCGTTTTTCAACACATCTTTTAACACATGATTTCTGTTGCCCAAATGAAAGATTAAAGATTTCGACCATGGCAAAAGCACTTGACAGATTTTGTCTTTTTGAGATATTAATTATTTTTGGAACGTTGGTTTCTCCTGTTACATGCTAAATTGAAATTTGCCCCGCGGTGTTGAATTTTTTCACGTTCTACAAGAAAGACTTATTCTCTTCATGAAGCTGTGATTTTAAATGCATGTTAACTTTGAAAACCGTGGGTGTTGAAAAATGGATCACGTATAAACTCGTTTAATTGATAACGAAACAGCTTGATACTAGTTATATTTAATCGATTTTCTTGTTTCAACTGCATCATGTCTGTCTGAAAGCTCTGCTCAATAATATGAAAATATGTGCGCACGTAAAAACTGGCAATTCTTTAAAGGACACAAACACACACACCAAAAGTTGTGGGTGTCCGAACATCCAGATATTCATGATTTCCAAAGCCCCGTGCGGAGCTCAAAATATCAGGAATTAAACTCAGGAATCGTGACCTCATTAGCTTAAATACATTACTTTTTTAACACGTTCATCACACTTCATCAGTATGGCAATTTCCTCATACGCTCATCCAAATCCTCTACATCACCCAGCACACCCGTCTGTATCTTTCTTTCATCTGAGTCAACTGTTCAAATTTTTTATTATGTTTTGTACTATTTTATAAGAACGTTACTCTGTCATTTTCAGCCGATAATGTTATGAGATGTCAGAACTCAAATGTGAAGCTGAAATGTCTAAATAAGTCCTTCATACTTGTTATCACTTCTGTGTTTTATGGCCGAACACAGCCAGGTTCCATTATTTGCCCCAGTCCTCCTGGATCACATCTTTCTGACGAAATCGTTTGCAACAGACAGCAGAACGATGTTTCTGATGAAGTGAAACAAATGTGTAATGAAAAGAATAGCTGTAATTTCACAGTAAGAAAGCAAACATTTGGAAAAGATGGCTGCCCTTTTATATTCAAGTATATTATTATTGAATATAAGTGTGGTAAGTTTGCTGTTTGTGGTATGGTGTATTGGTGTTGATAGTTAGGGATGAACAACAGAGAACAAGAACAGTCTATACACTACATAAAATATATAAGAAATAAGATAATGTGCGTCAGTGTAGGTAGTGATGAATGAACAACAGAGAACAAGAACAGTCTTTACACTACATAAAATATGTAAGAAATAGGATAATGTGCGTCAGTGTAGGTAGGGATAATAAGCGAAGAATAGTTTTTTCATGTGATCTTATGAGCACGATGCATAAGAAACATTTTAAATAAACGACAACATTTTGCAATTTTATATTTTTAATTACAGACATGTTTAGACTTAACTATAAGTCATCTTCAGTGTGAGTAGTTATGTTATTTAAAGTTTGGTGATATATCACAATATATACCATATATTTATATACAAAGTGTATATACAATGTGCCCTCCCGGCTATCACCATAGTGCAATGGTGACTCCTGCACTTGGGACACAGGACGTACGGTTACGTACATTGTATGGATTGTATTGTAGAGTCACCAGAACGCTCAAACCTATAAGGTGAGCTTTGCATATCGCGAAAACGGTGGACGTCTCCATATGAGACTCTCTGCACAATCCTAGAGTGCTCAAACTACGCACTGTAAATAACAATTTACAAACTTTAAAAAACATGACTATTCACACTGAAGATAACTTATAGTTAAGTCGAAACATGTCTGTAATTAAAAATATAAAATTTGAAAAATGTTTGTCGTTTATTTAAAATGTTTAATAGTTTTTCATATTTGGAATTGTACTAATTGTTAAATATTTTTTTAGTAAACAGCCAAAAATTCAAAAGACATGAGGCCATAAAACATCCAGTCATACCCACGTCATCCGTAGTCAAGACAACAAGCTCAGTTGCTTTAAGCACCCCAGTTATGACCAGCAGTTCAATTACACCAACCGTTGTCATCCAACCATCCTCTACTTCAGTGCTTGGAGTTGAAACAATCAACACTGTTGACCAATCAGATGTACCTCGTTCCAGTTCTCGTAGTAGCACGCGGCTGCACATTGTAAGTATGACTACAATTAGTCATACTCAGCCGTTTCCTGTTTCTACCATTAGCAATTTGAATTTGAATACCACAAAATCTTCATTTCCTTCAATTACACGCGATAATAGCGAAGAAAAGAGACGACTTAACGGAGAGCGTGGTACAATGAAACTGTTTCGTTTTCTTCTCACTTTTTATGTTATACGGGAAGGTATGTTGAATCTGAACATGCGCAAAAACAACACTGCCACGTCACGTTTGAATTTTTGCTAAAAAAACGCTTCTAAAAAACACTAAAACAGTAAAAAACTTCGCTAAAACAATTAAATTCTTCATTGTTACCACAAAACTTTGTTTTTAATGACAAAATTTTCAGTATTAATTGTTAAAGTGATTTGAAGTTAAAATATCAAAAGTTTTTAATGATTTCTCTGCGGACATACCAGCTCAAACTGTCACTAACTTTTCTACGATTTGTGTTTAACCTTGATTCATTTCGTTACCCACAGTTTTCGTTCCTTTCGTCCGCAAACAAAGAGTTTTTAACGGTTTGTCTTTATAACCATTTTAAAAGTAAAACACTTCAGAACTCTAAAAAGTACTACGTCCAAAAAACAGAGCTTATACATCTGTCCCACTGAGATATTTGACTGATTGCTTTCGTTCTTACAAATGCCGGGCGGATTTCTGTTCACGGTATCTTTTTAAGATCTTTTTAACTGTATAAACTTTACAAAAAATGACCGTGTAAATGGATGAAATGAAACAATAACTCAGTAACCATAATTAATTTTTATTTGCCTTTTTTTGTAAAACATTAACGTTCGGGTTGTATAAAAAACTAAATGTAATAAAATATTGGGTTGAAGTCTGTGACTTCGTGCGCTTTACTTAACCAGGACGTAATCAGGGGGCAAGGGGGGCCGCCAGGCAAAATTCTCCCCTAAAATGCTATGTTTTACCCATATTGAAGTCTTTGACTTTGTGCGCTTCATTTAACTTGCATTCATGTAACTAATTGAAATTATTACAATGTGAACACAATGTGAAGATTACTTTTCTATTATTGGGATCAAAATAACCGACTTGATCGCTTTTTTTCTCTTTCTTTCAACAGAGCACATCCACAAACGTACAGCTAATTCTGTGCTTTGGTTTTCATTTGGTATACTGGTTGGCCTCTTTATAACAATTGCTGTAATAGTTTACTATCGTGTCCAAGAAGGGAAGAGCGTAGAAAAGAAGAGACTTTGTAAAGCTGCTTATGTTAAGCAAAAAGACTACAATGACTCCTGTGTTATAGAAGAAAAAGTTGTTTTAAATCCACATAAAATGGACGCCTTAGAGATGGAAAGTCAAATTGGTGAGTCAGTATGATCCAATAGTTCGTACTCATTGTTCCACCAAAATGATCTGGACGCGCGATGACGACATATGTGAGACGTCACGTGACGTCACAACACCGTGCCATCGATCTTGTAAGATGATGTGAAGAAAATTATTTTGAAGTCAACAAGCTTAAAGAATGAAAGGTTTCTCTACGAAGATTCTGATTGTTTTCTTTCAAACTTCCCATGGTAAATAAAATCAAAAATGCCATTATTGACAAGGTGATTTAGACTATGTACATAGCCATCTTTAAATTATGTACTTAGAATTGACTTAAAGTATGCAGTAAACACTCTTTGTATAGAAATTGTATGTATAATGTGATTACACAATTACTAATGATGGTCAGTTTTGATTTTAGTATAAAAGTTGACAGCACAGTGGAAGACAGTATGGTGTATGGTGCTGTATGGTACCATCATATATTGCATTGCAATTTGGTACCATTGTGCATTACTATGTAGTACCATTGTGCATTACTATGTAGTACCATTGTGCATTACTATGTAGTACCATTGTGCATTACTGTGTAGTACCATTGTGCATTACTATGTAGTACCATCATACATTATGTAGTACCATCATACATTATGTAGTACCATCATACATTGTTATGTAGTACCATCATACATTGTTATGTAGTACCATCATACATTGTTATGTAGTACCATCATACATTGTTATGTAGTACCATCATACATTGTTATGTAGTACCATCATACATTGTTATGTAGTACCATCATACATTGTTATGTAGTAGTACCATCATACATTATGTTGAACCATCATACATTGTTATGTAGTACCGTCATACATTATGTAGTACCATCATGCATTATGTAGTACCATCATACATTATGTAGTACCATCATACATTATGTAGTACCATCATACATTATGTAGTACCATCATACATTATGTAGTACCATCATACATTATGTAGTACCATCATACATTATGTAGTACCATCATACATTATGTAGAACCATCATACATTATGTAAAACCATCATACATTATGTAGAACCATCATACATTATGTAGAACCATCATACATTGTTATGCAGAACCATCATACATTATGTAGAACCATCATACATTATGTAGTACCATCATACATTATGTAGAACCATCATACATTATGTAGAACCATCATACATTATAATGTAGAACCATAATGCATTACTATGTAGTAACATCATATTTATATTATTCATTAAGATCATCATCATCAAGGTCTAAATCATCCAAGTCTTGAAACAGTGATTCATCAACTTTAATATCATCTAAACCAAAAATAAATTAACCAAAAATTCAAAATCCAAACAATGACCTAGTGATAATTCATGCCAAATTACCTCCCATAAATGCCTCATCCAATGTCCCCATCAATGCATTCTGTTCAAATAGTTGCCTTCCTAAATTCAAACCGATATGAATAAGTTTATTGTCATCCTTCCATTTTCCTTTATCAAATTTAACATTAAACCTGTCAGCTTGTTTTTTATTTCTATCTTAACTTCATCGGTTTTGCGTTCTTCATCAAACTTCAGTTTCCAAATGATAAAATTCTCATGTGTAACCGGGGTTCCAGTTAGTTTGGCCTTCAGAAATGAATATCCATTAAAATGCAGGGAAAATTGTAAATACAAGAGATTATTTCATTCATAGCTTATTTCACTCACCAATTCTGCCTCCTCCGCTTCCTTCAACTTTCGTTGCCTCTCTTCTTCTTGTGAATTCTTCTCTTTTTCAACAGCTTCATTAAGAAACTCCTGCGTTTCCGAGATTAACGTAAATATCATTACCATTCCAAGATTTTCTTCTGCCTGAGAATGAAAGGCAAAACTCATAGCAACTATTTATGAAATTGGCAAAAATTATCAAAACTTTTACTTTTTCATGGAGAAACTCTTTTAGAGAATGAAGATGATTATCTGTTAAGCCATCGCGAGATTTGAGCTCAATAAATGGCCGGCAATCTGGGTAGTTTTCCACATATGTAAATTGAACACTTACTGAAACTAGAAATACACACGTGTTTCAGTAAAAGGAAATTATTGTAATCCTAAATTGTAATTTACGAATAAAACACGCTCTTACATTTTATAGAATTGTCTTCATCGTGCTCAGAAGCAACTGTAATCTCAAAACAGTTGGGTTCTTCAATCACTACAAAAAGAGTTAGCAACAAAGAATCAAGATTTATGTACTGTAATGTCATGTGAACTATATATTCACATTTCCCACGAAAGTTAATTAAAATACGTCGCCAAATCAAAGATAAACTACATAACAAATGCTTTTAGAATTAATATTCAAAAGACCGTCCTATGCGATAATCTTCAAATGAACTTACGTTTAAATTCCGTAGGGTAAATAGCCTCAAGTGCCTCAAGTTCTTGGCGCTGTTCTTCCTCGTAATCAGTCATTTAGGTAAGATGAAATACCTCTCTCCTATCGTTTACCCGAATTTTTACGTATTAAAATTACTATCTAAGCAAAAAATCACCGACTAGGGCCGTGAATGCCGAATGCGCGCAGTTTTTTCATAGGATTCATAATCATTACAATAATAGTAAATTTTGTCATCCATGTTGAATAAGCTAAGAGGAATCAGGGGGGTGTTGGACCTGTTGGTAAATGTGATGATAAAAATATGCGAAACATACAGTTTTTGGGTGGTATTATATCATTATATGGTATAACATTTTATATTCCACAGATGATGAAATCAATGAAATGTATCATCTGTCAAAACGCATAGAATGAGGATTTTTAATATTTGTGGAGTGCCTATTGTTTTGTGTTTTTATTTGATGGTATAATGTTTGAGTGGTTGCCTCCACAGTCCAAAACCTTCAACGTCGTTTTGAGTTAAAAGGAAGATGGAAGAATCTCGGAATATATTTTTGTTATTATAATGATAGCCATGCTTGAAAACTTCCACTCGAAGCTTCCACTTGAAAAATTGAAAATCATGAGGAAAAAGAAGCATTAAAGTGACGAAGAATTTATAGCTACTGTCTTTTAATGTCATATACTTTCTATAGATGTCTACATCCGGAGAGCCTTAACCGATGGTTAGCACAGCTTCTTGGTGATCCTTTTATCTCTCCAAATCCCATGTCGCAAGGCTTAAGCAAATAAAATCACATCATGTAAGCTTGACGCTGAAAAAGATCAAGGGAGAAATCAAAATAGCTGTTATGATGAAGACGAGTTTCCTGATTTGATGCCTATTCCTTTCGGCTACGCTGCGAGAATTTCAAGAATTTGGAATGAATTTGAGGTGTTGCAAATGCTTGGAAAAAGGAGGTTTGTTTCAGTTGTCAAGGTGACTTTTTATTACCAACATTGTTTAAATAGACGGAAATTTGTTCATGTGAAGGAAATTTTGTTCGTGATTTAGAAATGCTTTATATACGCTTAGGTACGTAATAAATTGGACGGCTGTCTCTATGAGATCAAAAGAAATCCTTTGAATCCGAAAAGTGTGCTGCTTAATCGCAAAATTACTCGACAAGAGAAGTTACTTTCCAGATTGAATCATGAAAATATTGTAAGATAAAACTAAATTTACTATCCAACATCAATCGAAATTTTATAACGTAATAGTTCAAAGCGAGGTTCATTTTAGACGATACAAATTGCTTGGCTTAATAAATGTTATCTATGTAGAAACTATTATAATAAAGTAGATAATCCCTTTTTTCGATGAAGCCCATGGATGCTTTCGTTCATAATGAGAAAGTCATATTGTATAAGGAGTTATAAGAAAGTTATCTTGTATAAGGTAACAAGTAAAAAACGTATAAACATGTTTAGAGTTGGTTTAAATTATAAGTCAAAAAGGCAGAAGTCGTTTAAACCTTTGCAGTATCCTTGGATGTTTTAGTTTCTTTTATGAAAAGAATTCTTGTAAAGAAAAAAGACAAATTTTGAAAACAAAAAATCCAGTTTTCAGTCCATGCCTCCCATCCAGTTTTCAGTCCATACCCTGAGATAGTTAAGCACCAGTGTGTCTCATGTTAATTAAGGGAACCAGATAATCCTATCTGCCATGAAGCCCGTGGATGGTTTGCTCGTGATACAGGAGAAACAGTAAACGAAAGAGTTAAATAAAAAGATATAAACCCATATAAATTGTATACAACATGTTTAAGTTTGTCTTATATTATAAGTGTCAGAAAAAGGCACAGTGTCTGAAGATATTTATTTTATGAGAAGTACTTTTGTAAACAAAAAAATAAAATTCGAAAGCAAAAAATCCTGTTTGTTGTGCGCTCTTTTTAACCTGTTTTCATTCAATTAGCCGGTTAAAATTTAAAACCCATTTTAATAGAAAGTATATTACTTGTCTTTTACAAACTTAACTTATAACAGAAAAACTAAAAATGTGCAGGAAGTATGAAATTTAAATGTAAATGCCGACCATACTCTGATAGTAGGACCATTGAGATTTTTTTTCTTTTATTGTTTTGACAGTGAATGAAGAAAGAAACTGCAAATGCAGAGCACTGACAAAGCAAAGCAAACTGACTACATATTGAAATTTTAAAGTAAATGGTTTAAACGTCAGTCAACAACAACAAAAACAGTCCTTCTCAGGACTATACCAACCTGGACGATCTACATTTACAAACATGTGTTTAAACTTTCATGTTGCGCTGTCAAAGAACAAACATGGTGTCAGATTTCTCAGTTTTGAGCTGAACACAACAGGCATCGCGTATCTCAAATCTTGTTTATGCAGTTTTCGCACGAGTGCGCAAATATTTGACTTTGTTCCTTCAAGTATAAAGATGCTGTTTGCTCGACTCATTGTTGTGCCATGCAAATATTATGCGTAAACCAATGGACCTTGAAGGTTTGGGTATTGAGCCAAATCATTGAAGTATGTCTGTGATACTTAGTAAATAAATTCGCAGTAAAACCTGCTGTTTTTAATGCATATATCATTCGTTTTAATTTGTTGAGTAGTGCGAACAATATGTGCTCTTTAATCTCTCGATTCTTGTCCCAAATCACGAGGATAAGACGATCGGAGAAGCAAGAGAATTTGACTTTTTGATTACGCCTGGGAGTGTTTCTGTATTGTCAACCGCTCAACATTTGCTCGGCGCTTGTTTCAATTCTGGCATATTCGTTGTCGTTGGAATTGCGGTCAAAGAAATCGCTGGACCATCTATGATATTAGCAGTTATTCTTGGAGCTGTATTTTCCATTTTCAATAGTCTATCTTTATGTGAACTTTGCAAAAGATTTCCGTCCAAAACAAGCTACTATGACATTTTGTATGAAAACGTCGGCGAAGCATTTGCGTACATGATCGCTTGGTTAAAACTATCCCAAAACCTGTTTATGGTGGCTTTGATTACTGTAACTGTCGGTAACTACATATATTACGTTGCAGATGCACCATCCCATATTTCGTGGTTACCTCCCCATAAAAGATGGGCAGAAATTGAGTTGGACACGCTGGTATTTTCCCTTGCCTTTTTGGTCCTGGTTTCTGGTGTGGTTGCTGTAGGTTTGCCTCTGTCTTCTGGTTATGTAATTTCATTGTTTTGGGTCAATGTTACTGCATTTATGTTTATGTTAGTACTTTTGTTAGTATATGCTGGTTCTTTTAAATGGCTTTCTCGTGAAAGCTTTCAGCCATTTGAGTTCATGGGCACATTGGAAGGAGCTGCATTGTCTGTATTTTTCTACTCAAATCTTGATGAAATTGTAGAAATGTCCACTCAGTTTAAGACCACCAACAGCCTTGCTGCAATCTCGCTATGTGCAGGCCTGTTGTCTGTTCTAACTTATTACTTTTCGGCAATTGTTTTTGTTGCAAGCTCGTTGCCTTTGGATAAGATTTCGGCAGTGGCTACGGTTCCCAAGATATTTTCATATACTACATTTTATGATTCAAAATATGTCTTATCTTCAATTGCGTTTCTAGTTTTCATTCTCACTGCGATGAGGGCTTATGTCAATGCACAAAGATCTTGCAATTTATTAACTGACGATGGCTTAATCCATCGTAGCGTATCAAGTGTGAAGCAAACACACCCCCTTTTTGTTTTATTCATTGCACTCTTGTCTATTCCTTTATTTGTATGGATATCAGTTGCAAGCCTTATAGAGGGATTCTGTGCGAGTTCTTTAATTATGACCATCCTTATCAATGCCACACTAATATCAGTTCAGTATCAACCACAAGAAAAACCTGAAAATGGCAACTCGGTATTTCCAAGCTGGAAAGCAACAAAAAGTTTGCTTGTAAGACTAGTACTTTGCTGTGGCTGCTTGGCCCATAGGAAGATTCTCTCGAAACTTGGAATCAGTGAAGATTCAGAACCAACAACAGAAACAAGCAAGTTAGTCAACTGGGCCATAATCTTTTACATACCATCCGCTCTAGCCTTGGCTATTGCATTGGTTTATGGGATACCGGCCATTGATCAGGATAAATGGTTTGTTGTTGGTGTGCTGATTTATCTCATGGTGGTGATATTATTTAATTTTTGTGTGTTAGCAACTGAACCACGAGTGAAATCTGTTCATTATGACAATGGTATCATGGCATCATTTATTCCATTGTTTAACATAAGTCTGTCCTGTGTTTTGTTGGTTACAATTCGTTGGAAAGCATTTATTCCTGTTGGTGGGTGGACTCTGATAGGTACGTAATTCATGTTTTTTGTTAAATACATTAACTTAGGGAGGTGATGTGTAAGGAAAAGCTCATGTCATTAAGCAAGAGGTATAATGCCTCCCAGTGCTGTAGAACTAAATTTATCAGATGGGGGGCTATCTTGACGTTTTCGTTAATAGTGCCCTTTTCAATTTACTCATTTCAAAGGTAGAAGGGGGGCTCCTCCCCGAAACGCCCCCCACTTCTACAGCACTGATGCCCCCCACCACCTCACGCTCTGGAAACTTGTGGGATTTTTATGTGACTCACTGGAGGGGGGTTCACTACAATATTTTGAAGTTTTTTGTAATTACAGTTATGCTGAAAAATATAGCAAACTATTTCGCTACGCAGTTATAACACCTTTGATCTCAGGATTTGATATCATTTCAAGGTTGATTGAGTTGCTAAAAACAGAAGCCAAATAAGGACTGCATTATTGGAAAGTGCGATAAACGTGAAAAGTGGCTATAGAAGTTCTACACCGACTGCACTAACTACCATAACATTGTCGATGAAAATTAACTAGTGTTAAGCGTTGATTTCGAGCAAGGCAGTGTCTTATCGTTCGCTAACAATTTGAATATAAAGTAAATGGTTTGAACCCGGGAGTGTCGTTAGATTTTGACTCTGAAGATGACTACCGCTAAGGTTGACGAAACGTCAGTCAACAACAACAAAAACAGTCCTTTTCAGGACTATACTAACCTGGACGATCTACATCTACAAACATGTACTTTGAATATAGTGATTTGCTATGAAAGAAGTAAACTATTTGGCTATTTTTGGGCAAAATGTAGTTTGCTATAACTACATCCACTATTTTAAAAGTATTTTACAACTACTCATTACTTGAAAAAAAGCAGTTCCGTTGCCTTAATGTTTATGTGCCTTTGTCTCTTGTGCATTTGACATCACTGGTTATAGTGCTAAGTACACTATGATTTATTCATTTCTGTATAGGCATACTCGTATACTTCTTCTATGGTTTCAAGCACAGCAATGAAGCAAATTTTAATCAAGGGCACCACTATGTTGAGACGCCTCCTGGCCGTGTGAAATTTCATTCATCACCACAACTTGGTACGAAAGTGAAGCGTATACAGCCAGATAATTTCGTCGATCAAACGTCGCCATCTTGGTCTTCTGATGAAGAAAAAAACTTTGACTTTCCTCAAAAATAATTAATTCGTTGTTGGCTTTTGAAATCGTTGACTTTCTAAAATTGATGATTTTTTTTAAAATGAAATGACAAAAATTTTTCTTACTTGTGCAACTTACAGATTACAGTATTCTAAAATTCAATGAAAGTTTCTAGGTATTAGGTAAGTTGAAATAATTTAAAGAATGATTGTATTGTACTTTTAAAGTGAATCAAACCGCAGACACTAACGAAACGCTGTGTAAATACAGCAAAAATTATGCAGCGGAAAATTTAAATACAGAACACTTTTTGCAAAGTTGTGGAACTTTTAAATCTTAAACACTTTCGACACAGTCGTAGCAAACAGATAGGGTAAAGAGAATTGCTCGAAAATTTTCTTGCAAGAATCTGAATATCATCAAAAGTGAGTTTTACATATTAACGCACTTAAAATTAGGAATGGCGTTGGCGATCTGGCATTAAGCAGTCATCAAATTTTCGAAGGCTTTTTGTATGAAAATGATGAACCCTTAATCTTGCTGCTTTCTTGTATCGTTTGAAAAGTAGTATTTGATTTCTTTGTTAATTAACTTTAAGAAATTTCAAATTTAATGGTGGTTTTTTCAACCAAACATGTGGACTTTCAACAATTTTCTCTTACCTTGACACGAGTTTGGCTTCAGATGTAATTGTATCAACAACGCACGCGTTCAAGAAATGAGATAGCCAAATCCTGCTTGAACAGGTGAAATGCGTTGTTAGTAGTTCGCGCTACTTATTAACTCATTAACATAGCATTAAATTATTAGCATAATGTGCGGCACAATAATGAGGACGTGGAGTTGTTGATGTGAGTCTTGACAATATGGCCACCGTTAAGGGATCCGTTTTACCAACTCATTATAGGGCTATAAATGTTCAAAAAAGTGGTCTTCGGGTACGAGAGAAGTACATTCTGTTCATTATATGTGGCATATTTTGTTTTCTAATGTTTGGAGCTTTTTTTTTCATTCCGGACTACGGTCCTTCTGATTATTTGAATGCTGGTAAAAAAGCTTTATCAAATTTGGTGATTAAAAATCAACGAAGAATCATCGATCCCATAATGCCTCCTATAAAGAACGTTGTTAAAGTATTTAGAGGTATTATTTGAGTGTGTTTTTGATGATATTTTAAGTTTTTATCCGATAAGACATTTATCTGATTATTTATTTATTGTACTTGTGCATTAACATGATAGGCAAAAAGAAGAATTCGCATATTTAATGAACGTTTTTCTTCATAATTACAAATAATACTTCCTAAAAATATTCCACAGGTGTAAAATTGCTGTTTTCTCTTCCTGCATCTTAAAGTCTTTCAGTCTGAACAACAGTATTTTAGTTATTACATGTATGGAAATGTAGATTGTTCATTCCAAGTTAGTGTAGAGTCCTGAGAATGACTGTTGATGTTGATGTTGACTTATTTTTTGAACAACCTTAGCAGTAGTCATCTTCATAATCAAGTGAGAAACAATAGTCAGGTTAGCCATATTTGTTGTTTGGTTTGTATATATTGTCAAATTGTGTGTATGAACCAGACAAATAATACCGCAGAACGTGATGTTTACTCCTCACTTGGCTCTGAAATCTACTGCCGCTAAGGTTGTCAAAATGTCAGTCAACAAAAACACCAAATGTCCCTCAGAATACTCTACACTAATGTAGATGCTCTATAACCATACATCAATACTCCTGGGTCCAAACAATTTACTTCATGTGAGTTGTATTGGCAGTCAGAGATGAATTTGCATTGATGTAACAGACAATTTAATGACAGAGAAACTCATTTTGCACAATTGCATGCTTCAAAATTTGCACACGCAAGATTTTAGGCCAGAAAACATGTTTCAAACACCAATCAATACTCTGCTCAGTACTCAATGGATGTTTGGGTCAATATTTTCTTTGGGGGGGAGGGGCTGTAGATACATTTTGAATCTTAAAGACCTAATTTGCACAACTTTCCAGCAAATAATGTGCCTGATTGCCTTGGTCTTATATGCATTTTGGTTTATGATAATGCTTCATTTCTTGTTTCTCCTAATTTAGGAAATTTAAGTAGTCATGAAGCTCAAGGGAAGAAAGTTGATCCTGTTCAAAATAAGAACGTTTATCCGATCAAAGATGAAAAAATAAAGAATAACAAAGATGAGAATGGCGAAGACAATATTCGCTTAAGGGAAAAGATTCGAGAAAAGAAGAAAGTTTTTAAAGAAAAGAGAAAAGAAGAACATGAGCAAAAGAAGAAAGAAGAAGCTCAAAGGTTGTTGAATCTCAGACCAACCAAACATAAAGAAAAGGCCGGCGGAGGTGAACCAAAGGACAAGGAAAGTAAAAAACGTCGAAATACAGTCAGACAGGTTAGGCTATGAGTAATGGAAAATGTTCTCAACATGTTCACTCAACATGCCACTACATTGTAGACTGAACATGTTCAGAGCATTTGCACACACTTTTGAACAGCGTTTAGTGGTATTTAACTGAAGCAGTATTGAGTGTTGTTGAGAAAAGTTTGAACTTGCTCAAACTTTCCACTCAACACCTCTTGACATTTTCTGTCTTCCATGGTCACCAAACTGCACCTCAACATTGTTTTGTTCATTTGAACAGCACAGTTCAGTGACCTGGAAAGTGCACAGCTTAATTGCTGTAATTTAGCAAGTCACTGAACTTTATATGCAGCTTTATAAGATAAACACAATGAAGCGCGTGCGCTGATTGGTCTAGAGCTGAGTTTGCATTAGCCTGTGCAAAGCACAACTGAGCTCAACCAATCAAATCAATCAGTCAAAGAGACTTTGCGAATCAATCATGAACACATTTTAAAGGAAAAATTTAAATGTTTGTCTGTTTCGCATTATTGTTATTTTATAAAAGAAATAAAATTTGTTTTTTGTGTTCCACTAACTTATGCAAACCTCGGAGACGTTTGTAAGAACTCTTGAGCATATGCAACCCTCTACCTTCAATCTTGGGCTTGCACTGATCTGCTCTCGAGTTCTCCCAAAGGTCTCCACAGTTTGCATAAACCTTTGCCAACACAGTAAACTTCTTTTATTTCTTAAGTGTAGGCACAGATCATTTTTTAAGTCTTAGCAAGTTGTGAATGTTTGCACACATCACTTAACATTGCTCAAGAAACAAAAAACAATTTTGAGGGAATGTTGAGTCAACATATTGATAGCGTTTGCACGTAGCTTTAAAGAATTATTGTTTATCGCAAATTCATTTTGTAAATTTAGTCATTTAAAGCGATATCTTTAATTGTCAAGTTTAAGATTGATGATCGAAAATTTGCGTACATTTGCACAACCATCCAATAAAATTTTGATAAAAATTTCAAGATACTATTATTTTTATTTTTGTTTTATCATAGATGATGGAAAAGGCTTGGAATGGTTACGTAAAAAATTCATGGGGTCAAAACGAATATAGACCGATCAGTCAGACAGGTCATTCGGCCAACATCTTTGGCTCACACTCCATGGGGGCGACAATCGTTGATTCTTTGGACACGCTTTATATTATGGGCTTAGAAGATGAGTTCAAGAAGGCTCGTGATTGGGTTGCCACTGACTTGTCTTTTGATAAGGTTTGTATGACCTAGAACCCAGTCTTCTAGATGTTTGACGCGAAAATTCCATAGTTGCGAGCATCGTTACGAGCAGTGGTAACGAGTGAGGCAAACTGCGTTGCCATCTTGAAAGGTGGCAAAGCAGTCGAAATTCACGACTAACATCCATTTCTAAAATCTGCTTTTCCTGAGTTGATATACAGTTTCAAAATTCATTGTCTAAGTTGATTCTTAAAATGTTTGATAGGATAGGTTTTTTAAACTTTGCTTTAACTTATTGTTCATTTTGAGTTTTGCTTTTGCCACCTTTCAAGATGGCGTCCTTACCTCACCCTGACTCGGCAGTTAGACATATAGAGGACTGGGTTCTAAATCATTGGATTATTATCCAAGATTACGTCGAGGATAATTCCTTGTTTTGCTTTTCTGAATTTGAAGTGACTTAGATTATTTTACCTTTACATTAAACGAAACACGTTCATTTATCCATTTACAACACAATTAACAAAGTTATTAGTAATCGCATACTTTTTACAATAACTTTTTCGTAAATAGTTTCTGCAACTGAAGCTACGCGGCTAGTTATGTTGTTTTTTGTGTACTATAACGTGTTTCTTTAGTATATATTTCTCGCCTCATTTTTCCGTTGCTTTTTCTGATCGCTGAAACGTTAAAAGTTTTAGAAATTAAAACAAAATCTACAGTCTACGGATCTTCTCACATATTTACTGTAGAGGTGGTCAAAGAATGAACTTTCATTTGTATGGTTTCAACTTTTTATAATGGCTGTTTTAAGCACGTGATGGAGCGGTTTTAGGAAGGCTGAGAGAATCATGAACTTTCATTTGTATGGTTTCAACTTTTTTATAATGGCTGTTTTAAGCACGTGATGGAGCGGTTTTAGGAAGGCTGAGAGAGTCATGAACTTTCATTTGTATGGTTTCAACTTTTTATAATGGCTGTTTTAAGCACGTGATGGAGCGGTTTTAGGAAGGCTGAGAGAGTCATGAACTTTCATTTGTATGGTTTCAACTATTTTATAATGGCTGTTTTAAGCACGTGATGGAGCGGTTTTAGGAAGGCTGAGAGAGTCATGAACTTTCATTTGTATGGTTTCAATTTTTTATAATGGCTGTTTTAAGCACGTGATGGAGCGGTTTTAGGAAGGCTGAGAGAGTCATGAACTTTCATTTGTATGGTTTCAACTTTTTTATAATGGCTGTTTTAAGCACGTGATGGAGCGGTTTTAGGAAGGCTGAGAGAATCATGAACTTTCATTTGTATGGTTTCAACTCTTTTATAATGGCTGTTTTAAGCACGTGATGGAGCGGTTTTAGGAAGGCTGAGAGAGTCATGAACTTTCATTTGTATGGTTTCAACTTTTTATAATGGCTGTTTTAAGCACGTGATGGAGCGGTTTTAGGAAGGCTGAGAGAGTCATGAACTTTCATTTGTATGGTTTCAACTTTTTATAATGGCTGTTTTAAGCACGTGATGGAGCGGTTTTAGGAAGGCTGAGAGAGTCATGAACTTTCATTTGTATGGTTTCAACTTTTTATAATGGCTGTTTTAAGCACGTGATGGAGCGGTTTTAGGAAGGCTGAGAGAGTCATGAACTTTCATTTGCATGGTTTCAACTTTTTTATAATGGCTGTTTTAAGCACGTAATGGAGCGTTTTTAGGAAGGCTGAGAGAGTCTACACTATTGCTGTGCAAGTCAGCGATTTCCCGACGAAATATATTTGTTGACGAACCGTTAAGATTATTTTTGTGTTATTTTGTAAAGGGGATGACGGTGTCCGTTTTTGAAATCTGTATTCGCTTTCTTGGTGGTCTTTTGACTAGCTATGCTTTGACCGAAGACGAGGTGACGATGTTTTTAATAAATATTTTGACATTTTCGCTGTGCTTATTTTGCTCTGTGTTTACAGATTTGCGTGTCTTTTTTTTCATTTTGAAAGGTTTTCAAAATCAAAGCAAAGGATCTTGGGAATCGTTTGTTGCCTGCATTTAATACACCAACGGGTATTCCTTATGGTTTGTTAAATCTTGCAAGGTATTTCGTTTATATTGTTTCAAAAGAAACCGTATAGCAGCACATAGGATCGCTTTAACAAGCTGTTGCTATTTTCCTGCTGTATAGCAAAGTTAAATAAATAAATAAATTGTTTGGATAAAGTTTGCAACGAACATAACATTACCGAATGTATATCCATTTATTTATCTGGTTTCTGAAAGCTAATACCAAGGGTAGGGGTAACTTTGGTCTGGAGACTGTTTTTTGCCCTGCAAAAGGGTGTTGTGTAATACTGTATGTATAATCATGCAGCAAAATCGCTTTTTTACACATTTTGTTGATAATTTTGTAGGTAATGTTCAAATGTCGGAATAATTCAATGCTCTTAAAACACTTCTTGCCCAATAGGTTACTAAGTTTTGCCCCACAAAACTGCTAATTTTAATTTTATGAATAGAAAGTACATACAGTACCGCTCACTTATATCTTAACACTTTTGCGTATGATACGCGTAGCATATACATACACTGATTATGTGCGTATGCGCATGCGTCATTCAAGCTATTTGAAGCATTTATACGTGAAGCATTTACGTGAGTCCCCTCATAACTGTGGAACACTGGATCAATGATGTCAGAAAAAGGCTTTCACCTTATGCTAAGGAAAGAATTATTATTCCTAAAAGATGTAACGTAAAAAATGTGAACGTTTTATCGCCGTAAATGATTAACGGCCTGGCGTTAAATAAATCTTAGCGGCTCCATCGGAGCGTTAAATAGATAAAAAATCGTATCATACGGGTAGCGTATGTTAAGATATACGCGAGCGGAACGCATTATTCTAAAAGTCCTCTTCATTTCAACTCTATCATTGAATTATATGAGGGGAATTTTCTTTATAGTGGAACGGGTCACAATTGGGGCTGGGCGTCAGGTGGTTCGTCTATTCTTGCTGAATTTGGAACTCTTCATTTGGAATTTGTTTATCTTTCATATATCACCAAAGATCCTTTGTATGCTAATAAGGTATGTTTTGGTTGAATTGTATCATAATGTTGTCAGATAAAACGTCAGTATTGATATCCTGCAATGCCGTGTCTTTTTGAAAATTGTTATAAAACTTCAGTCCTTACATACTCTAGTCTAGTGTCTTCATCAGGAGTGATCTGATGTTGAAACTTGAGTTCTTATGTACTCCAGTCTAGAGTCTTCATCAGGAGTGATCTGATGTTGAAACTTGAGTTCTTACATACTCCTGTCTAGTGTCTTCATCGGGAGCGATCTGATGTTAAAACTTGAGTTCTTATATACTCCAGTCTAGTGTCTTCATCAGGAGTGATCTGATGTTGAAACTTGAGTTCTTATATACTCCTGTCTAGTGTCTTCATCGGGAGTGATCTGATGTTAAAACTTGAGTCCTAATAAACTTTATATAATACATTACATTGATTTGTATAATCAAATATATATATTTAATAAAATTTCTCAAAACTTCTAGGTTAAAAAAGTGCGCGATGTTTTAGACAAAATGGACAAACCTCAGGGATTATATCCAAACTATGTTAATCCTAACAGTGGTGCTTGGGGACAAAGTAAGTTCAATTTTCATATCCTGTATTTTTCAATTTTATTATTTCAACTAAGGTTCTCCATTAATCAACGTCTTACTTACTTAAAGGTTTTAATACATGTAATTTTTAGTTAGTAAAGTGCCCCTACCAGCAATGTAAATGTTAAAATAAAGTTGACTGTAAATGTTAAAGAAAGTTTGTAAATAAGAGCGCAATTTGTCTTGAAATCAGTGACGTACGTAGCCAGCTCGATCGACGGAGGGGGAGGGGGAGGGGCTAAGTTTCATACATCATGTTCTGTCAAATAAAATTCCTTTGAAATCAATTGTTTTCTGCAGATTGTAACATGTATACGTGAACATTACACCATCCCACCCCCCTACAATTGTAGATCTACCCCCTACGATGATAGATCTACCCACCCCACCCCCCTACAATTATCGATCTAGCTACGACACTTCCTGAAATCATCGAATTTATGATTATAAAGGATATTAAACCATTGGATTAAGCGGATTCACTGTTTTTATTTAGATCATGTTTCGTTGGGCGCGTTAGGCGATAGTTTTTATGAATATTTATTAAAATCATGGATACAAAGTGGTAAAACCGATCACCAAGCTCGTAGAATGTATGATGACACGATTGAGGTATGTTGTTGTTTCGCCGTTACAGCTGAAGATCATTACTTTTTGGTTAAAATCAGGGGCGAGCACTTTATGAAATAATGCGGAAGGGATCTTAACCGTTATGAAAATTAAGAAGGTCTAAAACGTTTGATGTGTATATTCAGTATAAGACCTAAGTCTAAAGCGTTTGATGTGTATATTCAGTATAAGACCTAAGTTTAAAGCGTTTGATGTGTATATTCAGTATAAGACCTAAGTCTAAAGCGTTTGATGTGTATATTCAGTATAAGACCTAAGTCTAAAGCGTTTGATGTGTATATTCAGTATAAGACCTAAGTCTAAAGCGTTTGATGTGTATATTCAGTATAAGACCTAAGTCTAAAGCGTTTGATGTGTATATTCAGTATAAGACCTAAGTCTAAAGCGTTTGATGTGTATATTCAGTATAAGACCTAAGTCTAAAGCGTTTGATGTGTATATTCAGTATAAGACCTAAGTCTAAAACGTTTGATGTGTATATTCAGTATAAGACCTAAGTCTAAAGCGTTTGATGTGTATATTCAGTATAAGACCTAAGTCTAAAACGTTTGATGTGTATATTCAGTATAAAACCTAAGTCTAAAACGTTTGATGTGTATATTCAGTATAAGACCTAAGTCTAAAACGTTTGATGTGTATATTCAGTATAAGACCTAAGTCTAAAGCGTTTGATGTGTATATTCAGTATAAGACCTAAGTCTAAAGCGTTTGATGTGTATATTCAGTATAAAACCTAAGTCTAAAGCGTTTGATGTGTATATTCAGTATAAGACCTAAGTCTAAAGCGTTTGATGTGTATATTCAGTATAAGACCTAAGTCTAAAGCGTTTGATGTGTATATTCAGTATAAGACCTAAGTCTAAAGCGTTTGATGTGTATATTCAGTATAGGACCTAAGTCTAAAGCGTTTGATGTGTATATTCAGTATAGGACCTTTATCAAATAGATAGCTACGTTAGCTGTAGAGGTGTGATTTGTTGCATTTTGTTCAATTCATTATTGAAATCATGTCAAAATATATAAGTCACGCTAAGAAATCAAGGCCCCGTTTAAACTATACCGGATTGCTATCGTAGCAGGTTGAATATTCGTTGTATTAAAAGGCAGTGAAATTGTACAATGTCAGAAACAAAATATAATAGACTAAATCTATCAACTCCGAACAGTTACCCCTTTAAAGCAAATGAAGATGTCGTGATGAGCGAATCCGGTATAGTGTAAACGCAGCCTGATACTTCACCTTCAGACCAAAGAAATAAGCGTAAAGTTATTCAAGTTATTCTTTGTGTAAAGGTTATAAACAATGGGATATTACCACAGTATAGGAACAAACATTCTGGCCACTCTATTGAAATTTTGTCTCATGCATATCTTATTATCACGCAATTGATTACCAACTGGCAGCCAGTCTATGGCCTTTTTTCACCAATAGAAAGACAGTGATGGTCAAGTGAAGTTGATCTAGTCTTTATTCCCTGAACTGTGGTTATATTTTAAACCTTCAAAATTTAAACTGTTTATAATTACCTGTCGTTTAATTACTATTCTCTTTTAATATTAAATAATACATTGTCATAATGATCTGCCGATTTTAAAATCTTTTGTCTTAAATCTTAATATGGCGTAACTTCTTTATAGTTTTTCCAAATGATCGCTAGTTCTCGCGAAGAATTGCAAATGGCATCACAAATGCACATTCAAGTCTTTCATTTTATGTTTAGGCGATTGAGAATATTATGGTTCAAAAAAGTTCGTCCGGACTGACGTATGTTGGAGAGTATCGTTTTGGCAGCATCGAACATAAAATGGGACATTTGGTAAATAATCACAATTATCTTACAGTAGTATAGGCATACTGACAAATTTCTACCGCAATTTTACTATGTTGATTTATTTTTACTATATATTTTATAATTGTTAATTGACATGTTCAATTCTTTGGCGTAAATGTTTTCGTAAGTGTAGTTCTCATTCATCGCAAAGCGTCGCTAGAATCGGTGACGTTTACCGCCGATGATCGGTGACGTTTACCGCCGATGATCGTGACGTTTACCGCCGATGATCGGTGACGTTTACCGCCGATGATCGGTGACGTTTACCGCCGATGATCGGTGACGATCGGTGACGTTTACCGCCGATGATCGGTGACGTTTACCGCCGATGATCGGTGACGTCTACCGCCGATGATCGGTGACGTCTACCGCCGATGATCGGTGATGGCCGGTGAACAAAACGTTCTCATCAATCGGCGATGATATATTAATCAACGCGCTTTGATATTCACACCAAAGAAAAAATGCTCCTCTGAATTTAAAGTTCATAATTTCTGTGCAGATTCAATTGTTTATTATATAAGTTGTCGTCGAAGTTGCCCAACTCAACAGATTCTTGTTTTTAAATATTTTTTAAGCAAGTAATACTCGGCAATGATCGGCAATGATCGGAAAAAAACAAACTGTTTGGTTTCTTGCGATGGCAGCGCTCATGTTCGGCGACAATTACAAAAAGTCGGCGACACAATTTTCAATGCGTTCTCATTAATCGTAAGCACTCGCCGACGTCGTAAAAGCTCTATCGCAGACGCTTTGCGATGTACGAGAACTGGGCTTTAGCGTGATAAAAAAACTTCAGTAAATTTTGCGAATTTTTGTTATGAGTAGAGAAATTACTATGGTAAGGATATATGTTAGACTAAATCGTCTTTTTGGGGTCGCCTGTTTGACATTTTTATACATCTGAAAGCGAGTTTGGAGCCGTCAGGACTGCGGAACAAGCAGACTAGCGTTGTTTGAAACAGATTAAAGACTTTGGGAGTAATGCGTGTGTTGGTGTTGACTGACGTTTCGACAACCTTAACGTCAGTCATTTTCAAAGTCATATCTCGAACATTGTTGAAGATTGAGCATTTTGGCCTGACCAAAAAAATGGACAATAGATACTGTAGAACTGACTAGGATAGCATGAAATAGACCAGGATAATGAGGTGTAGACGTGGATAATGTGGAATAGACTAGCATAATGAGGCGTTGAAATCTTTAGTTATTATCTTTGGTTTCAGACAAGCTTGTGCGAATGTTTCTTTGCAATAGCTAAACTTCAAAACAAGCTAAATACATTGTTTATGATTTATTTTTATGTATTGTATAGGCTTGTTTCTCTGGAGGAATGTTTGCGTTGGGTGCAGAAGGTTCGCGCAGGAATAGAAAACATCATTATGTTGATTTGGGAGCGAAAATTACGAACACTTGTCATGAATCATATAAACGAACAGGTATATAAACCACCATTACTCATTTTCTGTGTATTTCAAAATTGAAAATTTAAAAACACTATCGACATTCGATGATAGCAAATTTAACTACGATAGATTCCGATGGGAAATCGTTAAAAAACAGGCTTAACATGTTTTGAAGAAGTCTCGAGCAAGGATGGATCCAGGATGATTTTGTACGGGGGGTGTGCGGTGTATTTTTTATAAGATGTCATTTGGTCAATCTAGTTTGGATTAGACCTCGGTAGATCTTTTGTGGGTGTCGTTATGTCGTTTACATGTCAGACTTTTTTGTGTTTAACTTGAGATTCTGGGAAATGTGTAGTTTGACAGTCTCCCCCATTATCTCGTAGATTATCTCGTAGACAGTCTTACCCACTATCTCGTTGACTATCTCGTAGGCTATTTCATACACTATCTTATAGATCATGTCGTACATTATTTGCTAGAATGTCTTGTCAAAAATCTATCCCACTATTTCGCAGACCATCTCATAGACTATCTCGTTGATTATCTCATAGACTATCTCGTAGGTTATCTCGTAGACTATCTCGTAGGTTATCTCATAGATTATCTCGTAGGTTATTTTGTAGACTATCTCGTAGACTATCTCGTAGGTTATCTCATAGACTATCTCGTAGGCTATCTCGTAGACTATCTCGTAGGTTATCTCGTAGACTATCTCGTAGACTATCTCCAACACTATGCTGTAGATTATCTACGAGAAAAGTTAGAGTTGAATAATCATGCTTGGAAGATAATTGATTTAGTCGACTTTTGTTCACATGTCGATATTTGTTTATTTAGCCACGGGTATCGGTCCAGAGATGTTTTTCTTTGAAGGACCACACGAGGCAAAAGGACTGAGAGGAAGCGAACGTTATTACATATTACGTCCTGAGGTCGTCGAGTCTTACTTTGTAATGTGGAGGATCACACATGATCAGAAATATCGTGAGTGGGGATGGGAAGCTGTGAAGGTAGGAATTTTATGTAGTTGCTGTCCGTTGATTAAATCTCCGTTGTTTGTGAAACTTAATGTTTAGGGTTACACTCTTGAGTAGTTAGGTCTTGTGATTTAGTTGATGATAGAACAATGAAGACAATGATTATCTTGTCACTATACCTGAGTACATCACAACAACGCGATGTTATTATTTATGATATTGAAATATGAAAGAAACTAGAACTGTATTTTGAAACATCATCATAGTCCACAGTTGATCTTGTAGCTCAGTTGGTAGAACATTGAAGACAATGATTATCTTGTTACTATACTTGAGTACATCACAACAACGCGATGTTATTATCTGATGTTGAGATATGAAAGACACTAGAACTGTTTTGAAACATCATCATAGTCTAAAGTTGGTCTTGTAGTTCAGTTGGTAGAACATTGAAGACAATGATTATCTTGTTATTATCTATGATAATAAAGATATGAAAGAAACAGAAACTGCATGTGTTTTGAAAATTGAAATATCATCATGTTGTTTAATTATGCACAAACAACGGCACCCTTTTATTATTTCAGGCAATCAAAAAGTATTGCGAAGTTGGTGATGGTTTCTCGGGTATTCGTGATGTCGATACCATTCCTGTTCAACATGACGACGTCCAACAAAGTTTCTTCATGGCCGAAACCTTAAAATATTTATATCTTTTGTTTTCTGACGACTCACTAATACCTTTAGATAGTTGGGTATTTAACACGGAGGCGCATCCTTTGCCAATTATTGGAAAACTTAGATTATAAAATAAATTTATGGAATTTAATCATGGAGACTTCAGACGCGCGAAGTTTCATCCTCCAACAACTCGTCTCTTTAAGACATCTTTGTAACGTTTTCTAAACTTGTACGTAAATAGTTTATTTTGCATCAACTGGACGGTTCCACCACCTAGAGTTGATGGGAAATTTTTTAAACTTGAAAAAAATATGCATTTTCTTGCCGCTTTTTTAATCACTTTGTTTCAGGTACATAAACGCCGATAAAACTGGCTAATATGATTCATGATAAGGAAGTGCATTAATGTCTATGTTTATTTCAAGCTGACGTTCAGTGATTTAAAATGAATTGATTGTTAGAAGGGCCCATATTCATGTATGTATGTCTTAGTTTTATCAAAATATATTGTGATTATTGATTGTAACATATGAATGCATGAATGTAATCCCTCAATTATCATTCTTCAGCAGAACCTGTTGTCTACTTAAAACTAAAACATAGATTTGTAAAGAAATGAACCATAGAAATGTAATGTTCAAATACATACACGGCATGACTAAACTTATGTGAAGGCTATGCCACTCATTTAGGTATTGAAGGGAAAATATAAGCAAGTGCAACTCATGTGTTGTTTGGAAGTGTTGACTTTGCATTCCTGCAGTAATTATGTAGTTTGTCTCGAATGAAGTAGTTGTTTTCCATTGGCAAAAACACAAAATTAGAAAAGTCAGTGAATAAATATGAATAAATATTCTCTTATTTTTATGTTGAAAAGTTAATCACATCTTTACTTTTTGTATGTTCCCAGAATTCATGTGTTGACATACTTAATGACTTATTTCTTAGAAGTTCAATGTTATGATTTCCTTTCTTTGTAAGATCACCAATCTCAATGACCTTGACTTCTCCATATTTTATGACATCTTTGTTTGGCTGTCTTTCAAAAATCATTTTTATAACATCACCTTGAACTACCTAATTGAAACCATTCAAGACACTGGTACATAATAACATAGAATGGTGTTACTTGGTGTAGTAATGATTATTGATGAAAGCTAACATACATTCCTGCTTTTCTTGGTCACTTTTTCTCCATTCAGGAAGATGTTACCGCTCAAAAGAGAATGGTCAATCTTTCTTTAACATAAAGAAATGAAATAACAAGTAAATGCTGCCAAGAGAGGTAGCTGCAAGGGCAAATAGACAAAGATGAAGGTTCTAGTGTAGACTGTGATCTTTTAATCACTTTATGCAAAATATTTCCCAAAGATTTAACAATGTTGAAGAAATATTACTGGCAAGTGTAAGTATGAGGTATTTCAATAAAATTTGTATGGGATAATTGCTGACTATAATGTATTTGCTATAAAATAATTGTGAATATAAAAATGTGCATCTTGCCTACTCCCCTCTTTAACCGACCTGTTGCCCTTCAAGGTAGCCTCTTGATTTTTTCTTAGTTTTATTTAACATGATGATAGTAAAATGCTGCTGTGTTGTGTAACCTTTTATCCTCAAGGATTAATTCATTACTCACTATAATGTTGACATTAAACTCTCAACACCCACCACTCCACCACCCCACCCCCAAAGAATATTGGTACTAAATAATACCTTCTCGCTATACCCAGGCCCGAGGCAGCAACTCGGTCCACCCGTAATGACGTAACAACCATAACGATCGTCTTATGAGAGTTTGAATTGTGCGAAGAGGTCGTGAATTTCCTTCGAGTTGCGAAGATACAGCCTTTCATTTGAATGGATGATTTTGCGAGAGTTTGCGGTGATTTCAACGACGCAATACTGCATCTTTTATGGCAGAAATTTGTTCTAAAGGTAGGAAAAGCTAATCGCGACAAGAAATTGTATGTAGACATGTTTTGTATGTGGACAACGGGGGGTTAGCATCAGTTTATTATATACTAAAGTGACAATATTCTAATATGACTTCCACGTCAGCTGGCGGGAATTTAATGGAGAATGTTTTATATTGCCTAATGCACTTGTTTTAGGCAAATGAAGTGTAAACTTAATTCATTCTTACACGTAAATTGATAAAATCGTGGATTATTTTTTTAAATACTTGTCTTGGCTGTTTTTCCGAATAATTTCTTTTATCCCCACTCCGGAAAATCCTTTCGTGGAAATGCGGCTGGCAACCTGCCACAATTGATGCTGTCGACTTTCATTTGATGTAAGAAACTCATTGCTTTAAATTAAAGTGAACATACCATAACATAAACGTGGCAGGGAATCAAGAATAGACAAATTAAAACAATTCAAATGCATTCCTTCGGTCCTTTTATCGCTATGAGATAAAAAGATATGGTCGTTGTTTCAAACTTTCGTCGTATTTTGTACACAGTTTGTTATATGTGGAGTATGCCTGATTTGTGTTCTTTACGATAAGTTAAACGACTTTCCTTGGAAAAAAGTGCGTGTTATTCAAGCCTTTAACGTTTCACGTGTCCTTTATGGCGTAGAGATTTCAGAACATTCACCATCGAGGTTAAAAAACACGAGTTTAAAAGGTTTAATAAATTGTCATACTTGGGCACTTCCTTGTGAAGTTTCCTTGAAAAGATTCATTGAAAATCCTCTTTATCCGATTTCTCCAAATACTCAAACATTAGTTGACAGTTTGTCGTTAAAATGGTCAGAGAAAAACAGCAAAGATGTTAACACGTTGGGAAGGAGGATGTTTGGCTATCTTCTTGCTCCTTACAGTGGTATTTATGTATTTAGCTTGACAACAAATTGTGACGTTGAATTTATGTTGAGCAAAGATGACCAAGTTAGCAATGCCAGACTTGTACTTGAAAGTGATGTACAGAACAATAATAAAAGTCATCTGTTCCAATTTTATTCCTTGGAGATTTATCTAAAAAAAAATCATTATTATTACATAGAAGTTCTTCTTACACAGCAACCAAATGGTGCATTCTTTCTGAAATGGAGAATTCCTACTGGGCAGAGGTTTGAGGCAATTACAACAGATTATATCTTCACCTTCATGCCCAATAACTTGGTTTTTAAGGAGTTTATGAAGCTTGTTCCTTTGCATAATCAATGGCAAAGTTTTATATACCGTCATCCAAGACATTCAATTTTACAAAATACAGAACAATTGTTGTCAGTTGATAAGTATTTAGAATGGGACAATGTTAAAGAGGCTCTACCTTTATGTAAATATCAACCAGGATTTGTTGGTAAAACAGTATTGCATCGCTATCATGCTGTTGAGGACTTTGTTAATCCATCATATGTCTATCCCCAAGTTGCACATTCAAACATAAGTGATGGCAAATGGATTCCATGGTTTCCATTGAATGAGAAAGAAGCACTTGACATTGTTGATTTATTTCTTAACCATCTTGAAACTGCTTATCCACGGTGAGTTTTTTTTATTGCTAATCATTTCAATGTGTGGTCATATGCATGTGTTCTTGTGTTTGAGATGGGATTTTGAAATTTTACTTCTTACTTACCAGGCAGTATAAATTAAAAAAAATCCTCAACATTGAAAAAAAACCTGACTGGCATGAAAGCAACCCAGTATTTTACCAAGGAACTTTGAAGAACGGTGACAGATTTTTCTTGGAACTTTTGTTGTGGGATGAAAAATCAGGAGATGAAAGAGTCTTGTCTGAGTACATTTATCAACCCACAAAGAATTCATCATTGTGTTACCCTGAAGGAATGCAATGGAATAAGAAAGCACCTGTTTATCTGTTGATATCAGCTCGAAAACAAGCCTCGTGGCTGTGGTATTTTATTCATAATGTTGGAAGGATTTATAAAGAAACAAAAGATGAAAATCTTCATGTCGTGGTTTACGACTATGACAGTACTGATATCAATATTGAAAAGGAATTCATGCGTAGTTCTTTTGAAAACTTTGTGATTTTAAAAAATCCTGATTCAATGTACTCTCGGACTTTTTCCCTTAACAGAGCGGCAGAAGCAGTTAAAGATCCTCATGCAATCATATTTACCATTGATCTACATTTAGAAATACCACCTACTTTTGCTAACAATGTTCGCAAGGTTAGTAAAACAATTTGAAATTTATAACATGATGGTGTGATTTACTTCATCAAAAGACAGCGTGACTTAGTTTCATGAATTCCTTTATTTTAGCATTGTATTTATGACAAAATGGTGTACACACCAATCCTTACAAGACTTGTATGTGGTGCATCACCTTCATATCCCTCTGGGTCATGGGATCCTTGGGGATATGGAATGTTTGGAGCATGTAAGGCAAATTGGGATAAATTCAAAGGATTTGACGAAGTACAGTTTCGTACGAAGTGGGGTGGGGAAGACTGGGATCTAGTGGATCGTGCATATCGGTCAGGACTGGAGTTTGAGAGAATTAAAATGGCAGATTTTTATCACTATGATCATTCCAAAGTTGGATTGTGGACATGAAGGTTTATAATAAGATCCATTTCTTTGTAAGTTTATAATACAAATTTACAAAAGAATTTGTCATTTGGAGTTTTTATTAACTTGTGACATCATAAGTGAAACACTTTAAAGAGCAGCCACAAGAAAAATACTGAACTGCATAGATTATCAAAGAACATGAGAATTTCAAAAATACATTGTGAGAAGGTGTAAAGAATACAGTGCCATTAGTAAAATATAATGGTGACTGTTCTTACAAACTATGTAACTTTCAACTCCATCATAAATAAGTCAGGCTCTTGAAGTTATTGCTTGGCTAGAATACATGTCAGATGTTAAAGTTATCTAGTAGGTATAACCTACATAAGGCTCATTCCATAGGTCACAATTTGATAATAAAATATTTGTAAAATATAAATTATCAAGATTACTGTTTGAAATTTTTAATTTCAAATATTTATTTGTACAAACCCCTTGATGAATACTAAATCACGGAATAACAAATACCACCCAAGTAACCAAGTTTAATCTGAAGAGAGTGTATAAGTCTTGTTCATTTTACATTCTAGTTTTCTTATTGCAATAGAAACAGCTCTACTACATAAATAATGTATAACAACTAGGATATGCTTAAAATAATCTTGATTTAGTTTGCGTGCTACTCAGTTACTTCAAATATTAATGATTACAATGTTTATTTTGACATCAAATAAAGTTACGGAGAAACTCATTCCCCCGAAGATTCCAAAATAATTGCAATTCTGTTCTAAGAATACTTGTGAATTCATGTTCAACCCGTCGTCATCCAGCTTAGTCAATTCCCCATTTTCGTTAAGAACGATTCCAGCCAAATGACTGTAAGAATCAACTATTTCTTCTTTGCGTTTCGCGCGTCTTGGCCAAACAAACATTTACATAGATCAAAACACTCATCAAAATACGCTGAGCAAAAACAGACATCTACGAAGGTGTTAAATGTTGTCAAACAAAATGACCTATTCTTGGCCTTTGCGAATCTATTCTTCACATGTTTGTAGATGTAGATCGTCTAGGTTAGTATAGTCCTGAGAAGGACTGTTTTTCTTGTTGTTGACTGACGTTTCGACAACCTTAGCGGTAGTCATCTTCAGAGTCAAATGAGGAGTAAACGTCAGGTTAGCCGTATTTGTTATCTGGTTCAAACCCCTCTGAACAGATCACAGCAATTACCGGCACCTTACAAACGACTTATTCACAATACAAACAAACGATCAACTAAAGACACTTCACACTAATCCACAATGACAATACACAATTGACACCCACACATTTCTTGTACAAACAATACAATAACGTAAGAACCAGATAAAAAATATGGCTAACCTGACGTTTACTCCTCATTTGACTCTGAAGATGACTACCGCTAAGGTTGTCGAAACGTCAGTCAACAACAACAAAAACAGCCCTTCTCAGGACTATACTAACCTGGACGATCTGGATCTACAAACATGTAACGAAACTCCCTGTTCAAACCATTTACTTTAGTCTATTCTTCGTTAGGAAACCTATGCAAGGATATTAATTTTGATTTTTCAAAGAATTGGCAAAATTCAACTAGTTTTATACGCCAGGAGCAGGTTGTTATTATTCTCTATGGAGATTTTACTATAAATTCTATACGCCATTACTAATGACATTAAATCTCTAATGTGTTATTCCTGTGAAGCTATTAAACGCATCCCAATCAAACCCGAAAACTCGAACAAGATCGAGTTCAATGAGATTTTTCCGCAGAATCTCCTTTAAGCGATTCACACAAGAATCGTGAGATCAACAAGAAAAAAGACCAAAAGAAATCGCATGATAAATAGTCATCATGTCATATTTCAAATCTAGACTTACACAACAGAGAATTTTTCCGACAAAATATCATTTATAAAGATTATGTTTCCAGCAATCTGTTTCTAAAGTACTTATTTTAGCATGTAGTAAAAAATAATTGCGCAGGAATCATTTTCTGAACAAAAAAATAAAGAAAAACGACGAGGAACGTGGCATCAGTCAAATAAATCTATAGTTCGTTAACAAAACGTGTTTCACTTATGACGTCATAACTTATTAACATGGCCACTTGAAAAGCTCGCAGATTAGTTCCGTTTTCAGGAGTAAAATTAACTATTCTACTGAACATAAAATGTTCATTTATATATCAAATTGATTGTAAAACTGTGGATTTTTAGTTAAAGGGGAAAAAAGAGAGGGTCTAAATTAATTGCGTTAACACCTCCAACTTAAATCACATACCATAAACGTGGCAGGCAATCAGATTAGATAAATTAAAACAATTCATATGCACTTCTTCGGTCCTTTTATCGCTATGAGGTAAAAAAATATGGTTTTTGTTTCAAAATTTCGTCGTATTTTGTTCGCAGTTTGTGTAGTCTGTGGAGTATGCCTGATTTGTGTTCTTTACGATAACTTTCCTTGGAAAATAGTGCTTGTTAATCGAACCTTAAACGTTTCACATGTCCTTAATGGCGCAGAGATTTCAGGACATTCGCTATCGAGGTTAAAAAACACGAGTTTAAAAGGTTTAATAAACTGTCATACTTGGGCACTTCCTTGTGAAGTTTCCTTGAAAAGATTCATTGAAAATCCTCTTTATCCGATTTCTCCAAATACTCAAACATTAGTTGACAGTTTGTCGTTAAAATGGTCAGAAAAAAACAGCAAAGATGTTAACACGTTGGGAAGGAGGATGTTTGGCTATCTTCTTGCTCCTTACAGTGGTATTTATGTATTTAGTTTGACAACAAATTGTGACGTTGAATTTGTGTTGAGCAAAGATGACCAAGTTAACAATGCCAGGCGTGTACTTGAAAGTGATGTACAGAATAATAATAAAAGTCATCTGTTCCAATTTTATTCCTTGGAGATTTATCTAAAAAAAAGTCATTATTATTACATAGAAGTTCTTCTTACACAGCAACCAAATGGTGCATTCTTTCTGAAATGGAGAATTCCTACTGGGCAGAGGTTTGAGGCAATTACAACAGATTATATCTTCACCTTCATGCCCAATAACTTGGTTTTTAAGGATTTTATGGAGCTTGTTCCTTTGCATAATCAATGGCAAAGTTTTATATACCGTCATCCAAGACATTCAATTTTACAAAATACAGAACAATTGTTGTCAGTTGATAAGTATTTAGAATGGGACAATGTTAAAGAGGCTCTACCTTTATGTAAATATCAACCAGGATTTGTTGGTAAAACAGTATTGCATCGTTATCATGCTGTTAAGGACTTTGTTAATCCTTCATATGTCTATCCCCAAGTTGCACATTCAAACATAAATGATGGCAAATGGATTCCATGGTTTCCATTGAATGAGAAAGAAGCACTTGACATTGTTGATTTATTTCTTAACCATCTTGAAACTGCTTATCCACGGTGAGTTTTTTTTATTGCTAATCATTTCAATGTGTGTTCATATGTATGTGTTCTTGTGTTTGAGATGGGATTTTGAAATTTTACTTCTGTTACTTACCAGGCAGTATAAATTAAAAAAAATCCTCAACATTGAAAGAAAACCTGATTGGCATGAAAGCAACCCAGTATTTTACCAAGGAACTTTGAAGAATGGTGACAGATTTTTCTTGGAACTTTTGTTGTGGGATGAAAAATCAGGAGATGAAAAAGTCTTGTCTGAGTACATTTATCAACCCACAAAAAATTCATCATTATGTTACCCTGAAGGAATGCAATGGAATAAGAAAGCACCTGTTTATCTTTTGATATCAGCTCGAAAACAAGCCTCATGGCTGTGGTATTTTATTCATAATGTTGGAAGGATTTATAAAGAAACAAAAGATGAAAATCTTCATGTTGTGGTTTACGACTATGACAGTACTGATATCAATATTGAAAAGGAATTCATGCGTAGTTCTTTTGAAAACTTTGTGATTTTAAAAAATCCTGATTCAATGTACTCTCGGACTTTTTCCCTTAACAGAGCAGCAGAAGCAGTTAAAGATCCTCATGCAATCATATTTACCATTGATCTACATCTAGAAATACCACCTACTTTTGCTAACAATGTTCGCAAGGTTAGTAAAACAATTTGAAATTTATAACATCATGGTGTGATTTGCTTCATCAAAAGATAGCATGACTTAGTTTCATGAATTCTTTTATTTTAGCATTGTATTTATGACAAAATGGTGTACACACCAATCCTTACAAGACTTGTATGTGGTGCATCACCTTCATATCCCTCTGGGTCATGGGATCCTTGGGGATATGGAATGTTTGGAGCATGTAAGGCAAATTGGGATAAATTCAAAGGATTTGACGAAGTACAGTTTCGTACGAAGTGGGGTGGGGAAGACTGGGATCTAGTGGATCGTGCATATTGGTCTGGACTGGAGTTTGAGAGAATTAAAATGGCAGATTTTTATCACTATGATCATTCCAAAGTTGGATTGTGGACGTAAGGTGCGTAACACGATCTATTTCTTTGTAAGTTTATAATACAAATTTACAAAGAAATTTGTCATTTGGAATAATTCTGATTGGAATATTAAAACAATTGTTCATTACAAACTGTGTAGGTGCTAAATCATTTAACTATGTAAAATAGTCAGATGTAAAATGTAGTGTATAAATAACCATGTTTTATTTAATGAAACCAGAAAAAGTATTGTGATATTATTCTTCAACCAACATTTGTGTATTTCCACATTCAATTCCTGTTAAAATCTCGGAATACAGTTCTGTCATCTAATAAAAAATAACAAAATAAAATGATGTAATATTTTTAGTATAAATATGGCAGCCCAAAAGCCACAAGGAAAGTTGAGCAAAAGAGGGTTTTTAATGATGGCATTTTGTCTTTAACTAATTTCCGACTTTCACATTAAACAATCTAGTTGTACAGTAACAATTTGTGTTGAACTGTCATATATCTGCCTGACTAACCTTTGGCCAACATGATCCTATGTACAATTTTCAACGGACTGAGATACCAGAGATGAACTTTATGGATAGATTATTCTATCATTTAAAGTGGGGGACTATTCCACTCATGCACAACAAATCCTATTTTCTTTTTTCACTTCGTTTCATTTCATTTCTAGTAATAAATACCTTCGTTTCATAGAAATGTTTGAGGTCAGTAAGTTGGGTCATCAATCTCATACCCAGTCCACACCATTTCTCAGCTGCGCGATATTTGCCTGCCCTGTATGATGATGATGTTGATGTTTATTACTCAACACAATAAAGATTTTAGTTTGTATCCCATTTTAGTTCACCCGTATATAAACTCCGCGTACTTTTTCCGTATGCATAAAGTCCGTGTACTTTACCCGTATAAATGGACTCCTGTATTCCATCCTTTAGTCATCAACCATTGAAGTTCAACCTCAGGCACAGTGATCTGATTACAGCAAGAAAAACTGTATTTAATAAAAAATCAAAGAAATACTTAAATACATGTTAAAAGTTTTATACTTGCCTCCTTACTGCTGTCAATAAAGTTCATCATTTCTTGGTAAAAACTCCACGCTTCTTCTTTACTTTCGGGATCCCCACTCGCTCCATTTTTTAAGCAGATTTCAATGAGAGCACGATAGGACTTACTAATAAAGAAATCATTTATTTATTACCTAGACGACTTGACACGGAGAGATATCGTTAAACAAAACAACAAGTTTACCCTCTACAAACAACAGACATCCCCTAAAACAAGTTGAATAATTTACACAGCATTTTTAAGGAAAGTTCAACACGATTTAACTCACCAGCTGCTACGATAATCTTTATTATTACACCTGTTGTGTTGTCTTATCGCTAACACCAGGGCGTTCTTTGTTATCTCAATGTTTCTGGCTGTGTATGGCAGTTCTCTCGATAAAGCTACGTGAATTATACAACACAATTGTCTTGCACTTTACAAGTCCCTCTCCCCCGTCCCCGCTACATTCAATCTCTATCCCCACCCTACCCACACTACCTATAACATTCCCACACCACCCTGTTTATCATTACCAAACAATTTTATTTTAAAGTACGTTGACATGAAAGTTTTTACACAAACCTGCTACAGTTTCAAACGTCTTGCCTTCGATATTTGACAGTTTTGACATAGTATCGAGCAGCTCCTCCAAATCTTCGTGCTTTAAGTTGCCTTTTGCATCAAATTCATATACATACAATACAATGGGTACGTCATCTTTGTTATTTTCGTTATCTGTGATAAGGAAGGAATCATTCTCTACATTAGTCTCGGGAATAAGTCTTTGTAAAAATGTGCAATGGGTGTTCTGATGAGCATTACTGTTTGATTACAAAGGAAAGGAGTTCAACGAATAGAGGACTTAGTTTGGTGTTATTTTGTATCGACGAAAGCTTAGACATTACGAATAATCTAAACAAACACTTTTTTAATTACTTAGGGCCTGTTCACATGAGCCCGGGTAGCCGGGATTCAGCGAAGCGTTTATCATTTTAGCAAATGGAAAAGATTAATTCCTTCACAACAAAAAACTTATTTAAGCAATTTCTCTATGTTCGGAATTTGCAAATTCACAAAACCTTTAAAATGAAAACAAATAATTTGGCCAGATTTGAAAATTACAACTAAAATGACTCATGACTTATAAGAAAGGTTGTAAGTTTTGCGTTTAAAGTTTTTACTCCTTTCAATACCTCAAAATCATTTCACGTCTCGCTGAATCCCGGTTAGCTGGGCTCATGTGAACAGCGCCTAACTAAAACTGTAGGTAATTAGTTTAACATCATGGTTTTAGACATTACCAATATATATATACACTAATAATTTTTTAATTAGTTCCTAAAACTGTATGTAATTAGTTTAACATCATGGTTTTAGACATTACCTATATATATACACTAATAATTTTTTAATTAGTTCCTAAAACTGTATGTAATTAGTTTAGCATCATGGTTTTAACCGAGCAATCATTTTAAACACAATGCTTTCATTTTAAGTGGGCCACGCATATTAAATCTATAACATTTACCTGCATTTACGCCAATGGCGTCTAGTTGCTGTAAAACTTTTCGACATTCACTGATGTGATCCAATACTTTTATAAAATATTTTTCCTATAAATTCAATATTATTGCAGATAATTAATACAACGTGAATACGTTATGATATTTGTTTTTAAAATATTAGAAATTTAAGCATGTCTCTATGATAAATCTCGCAGTGGGAGATTTACTAATTGCGGGGCCTGTAGGCTAAGAGAAAGTTGTTGGACTTTAAGTCAGGTATATATTCCCCCCACCAAGTTCGGTCTCTTGATGACATTTTTGTTCCTTACGCTCCTTGCCTTTGCATTTTCCAGCTTGTTTTTGTAACTCATAGTATCAACAATAAGGAATAAATTTAAATTGAAACCAGGAAAATCCACTACTTCATGAACTCTTATGAACAGTAGTTCATATGGTTTTAACAGCATAAATGGTTTAAATTAAGAACATTCAACTGGACCCTAAAGGCAAAAACAAAAAACTAGTTATGTTTAGGTACAACGGGCCTCTCGAAAGCCCGGGCCTGTAGACTTCAGGCTACGTAGCCGACTGAGTAATCCGCCACTGAATCCAAGACTTTCCAATATAATGAAGTTAAGTTTACAACTTTTGATTTCTTACCTTTTCTTCAATATTTTTCTCATTTTTAGCGATCTCTAAGCAACATCCTGCTGCCATGAAGAGAGACGATTTCTGTTTCAATAAGCTTCCTTTATCTTCGCCAGCTAACTTCGCAAACTGAAAGAATGAACTCATGGTAAGATTCTTAACGATTTTACTTCTAACATGCTTTATGTTAAATATTGACATTAAATTTCAATAGGGACTACATTTTGAATATTGTTTTAAGAAATAAAAGATGTTTACTGTGCTTGCACAGGCTTATGCAAACCAAGGAGACCTTTGGGAGAACTCGAGAGCAGATCAGCACAAGCCCGAGACCGAAGGTCGAGGTTTGCACATGTTCGAGAGTTCTCATAAACGTCTCCGAGGTTTGCATAAGCCTGTGCAAACACGAAAAACATCTTTATTTCTTTTATAAAATAAAATACTGTGAAAAAGCCAAACATTTTAATCTTTCCTCTAAAATGTATTCATGATCGATTTGCAAAAATTATCTTAGATTGTTTGATTGTTTTGACTGATTTGATTGGTTGAGCTCAGATGTGTTTTACACAGGCTAATGCAAACACGGCTCTAGACCAATCAGCGCACGCGTCTTATGTTTATTTTATAAAATCAATTGAGTTTGTATCGATTTATTGTCAGTTAATAATCTCAACAAACATACAAAAAACCGTTTTCAAGAACCTCCGAGTATTTCATTAAACACAAACACAACCACGGTGTTTGTGTTTTCTCTCTAATAATAGTCTTTCTAACCTCGATACAATTCATGAAATGAAAAATTTTTGGTATCCTCTGTGATATCTACTATTATAAAATAAACACTATGAAACGCGTGCACTGATTGGTCTAGAGCCATGTTTGCATTAGCCTGTGCAAAACTCATCTGAGCTCAGCCAATCAAATCAGTCAATCAGTCAAAGAGAATTTGCAAATCGATCATGAACACATTTTAGAGGAAAAATTAAAATGTTTGTCTTTTTCCCATTATTGTTATTTTATAAAAGAAATAAAAGATGTTTTTCGAGTTTGCACTGGCTTATGCAAACCTCGGAGAAGTTTTTGAGAACTCTCGAGCAGGAGCAACCCTCGACCTTCATTCTCGGAAAGTTCTCCCAAAGGTCTCCTCGGTTTGCATAAGCCTGTGCAAACACAGTAAACATCTTTTATTTCCTAAGTGCAATGCATATTTTCCTTTCATGATAATGTATTTATATTTTAATACCAATTTGCTATCAACCCGGCTTGTAGCACACCTTGTCAGTGATGAGAAACAGTTCGCACATTTCGTGGGATAAACTTCGACTCTCCAATGCCAAATTCCACGCTGAAAAAGAAATAAGCCATCTGAAAGCTTCGATAAAATGAAGTTAATTGATATTTGATAATACTAGCCTATTTTCATGAACCATGTCGATTCGGAAGAGTGTTGAGGATGAATAGAGTTATTCTTTTGTGATAATTTTTCCAGGGCAATTTTCAAGTAAAATAACGTTGTGTTCACATCGATTCTGATATCAAAGAAAAATTATTAAGTTTCATTTGGAAAACGCGAAGACACCATGTTTCGTTTTAAAAAAAAATTAAATGTTACGTATTTTCTTACTTTTTGATTTCTTCCGAGAGAAAACTCATTTTCAGACGAATGAGACATCTGAATGTGTAAAAAAGTTTCGAATGATTGTTTGAGCATCATTGATGTTCAATTTATTGCGTTGTACTATCGTTGGATCGTTGGGATAACTATGGTTGTTTAAGTATCAAAGTGTTCCCTGTGCAATGTATTGAGCTATAAGATCGTTGGGATAAACATAGTTGTTTAAGTATCAAAGTGTACCTTGTACAATGAATAAAGCTATAAGATTGTTGGAATAAACATGGTTGTTTATATATCAAAGTGTACCTTGTACAATGGCTAGAGCTATAAGATCGTTGGGATAAACATGGTTGTTTAAGTATCAAAGTGTACCTTGTACAATGGATAGAGCTATAAGATTGTTGGGATAAACATGGTTGTTTAATTATCAAACATGATTGTTGTACAATGAATAGAGCTATAAGATCATTCGGATAAACATGGTTGTTTAAGTATCAAAGTGTACCTTGTACAATGGATAGAGCTATAAGATTGTTCGGATAAACATGGTTTTTTAAGTATCAAAGTGTACCTTGTACAATGGAGAGAGCTATAAGATTGTTTGGATAATGATGATCTTTAAGAATGGTACCAATGCATCCACCATTCTTACCTTATTGAAGTAACGACTTGTTTATCATCAGGAGAATGTTTAATGATGCTTTCTAAGACTGCTATTGATACTTCACGATTGTTGTCCTAGGAAAAGAAAGGAATCGTAATTTGTCGTGTGTAGTTTGACTACAAGATTGTTACTGCCTTTGCTAAGCATAAAATTACCATCTTTTTTCATTGTGCAAGTACAACAATAACAATTTTAGGAGACATTGTCCTCCCCCCCCGTTTCTACTCACATCCAAAGCTAATTGAGCTGCCAAACAGATGACGTCATGTATTGTTAAACCATCCGTGTCTTTAAGTTGATCTTTATTCTCGCTTATTTTCATCATTGCTTCAATGGCTGTAAATTATATAGTGAGATGTGTCACGACGCAAATCTATATCAAATATTTTTTCTTCCTTTTCCGCAAGACCTTATGAAGTGCAGCCTACCAGTCTAAAACCTCTCCCCATTCCCCCGTTGTATTCATAGCATACCTCGGTCATTGTTCTTTTCAAAAAGAGCTATTTTAAAGTCGAAGTAGGCGTTTAATGGATTTCCTTGATCGCTGCACTCCGCCTCCTTTATTGACTGTCTTGCCTTAAATATCGATATGAAGAAATACTGTTTATTCATGTGTAACATGACGTATTAATGTCATCATGTTAGTTGAATCTTGTGTAACATGACGTATTAATGTCGTCATGTTAGTTGAATCTTGTGTAACATGACGTATTAATGTCATCATGTTAGTTGAATCTTGTGTAACATGACGTGTTAATGTCATCATGTTAGTTGAATCTTGTGTAACATGACGTATTAATGTCATCATGTTAGTTGAATCTTGTGTAACATGACGTATTAATGTCATCATGTTAGTTGAATCTTGTGTAACATGACGTATTAATGTCATCATGTTAGTTGAATCTTGTGTAACATGACGTATTGATGTCATCATGTTAGTTGAATCTTGACATTCGCCGAGTATGAATTGTGAATGTGTTCAATGTTCATGGTCTGACCATCTACCGTTTGTAATTTTGTAAAGTTTATGTCTTTGTGTCTCTATGTAATAAGTCTACCATTTTACGCTTAAGAAGGAAAAAACTCGTAAAACAAGTGAAATCTTCACCTTTTCTAAATCTCGTAGCTCCAAGTAACAATAACAAATGTTGCGCTAGAGAATGAATACAGAATTGATATTATTGAAATTTAATTTTGATTGGTTAATTGCATAGTAATTATCTTTATTTAACTAAGAGACTGTTAGAAAGCATTCAAAAATATCTATTTTTGTTGTCATGTTGCCAATCTTTCGGCGTTGAGATTTTGGCTTTTAACTAATTTTGCACATGTATACTTACATGAAGTTTTCTTGCTCGTGCGTACTTACATGAAGTTTCCCCGCATTAACACCTAATCTTTCACTGGGTGAAAACAGGTTCAACGAGTATTGATACCATTTCAAAGCTTCATTGTACATGTTTTCCTGCAATACGGTTATCATGTGATCTCAATGATTGTCAATGATTGGTCAGTGTTACGGAGTCATGTGATAAATAACTGAGTCGTGTGATTGAAGACGTTGGTCTCGGGTTCTGGGGTTACACTACCGCCCGAGACACCCTGTGAGGGCTAACTTACTATAATTTACATATTATATTAGTAGCGAGTGTTTACATGAGCGATTCTTTCGAACAAGGTAACCCTACTGCTAGGGTTAATCTTTTTAGGAAAGAGGGTGTCCCTACTCCGCGAGACAAGTTTTTTGTGTTATAAACACTTTGGCCCTGGCAACAGGGACAAGTTTTGCATAACGCATGCGCAAAGTAATGTGTAAACTGCAGCAGTATGGCGAATGTAAAGTGAACTGAATGTAAAGTGAACTGGGAACGAGTTGAAGAAAGCGCGTGACGTTTACAATAATCTCTCATGTGAACGCTACATAACTTTGTCTCGGCCAGTAGGGTAACCCTAGTACCCGAGATTATATAAACGGCCCCTTAGTCATGAGACAGAATATCGTGTCATGATATGGATGACTAAGTCATGTGATTGATTATTGATTTATATGGTTGATAGCACCAATTGATCATTATTAACTGTTTCATACGGATACTACTTAATGATTAAAGACCTGACACAAAGCAAAGTTTGACGTTTTACCTCAGATTTCAAAGCAGCTTTATCCCAGAGTATGTAATGAAACTTCTTTTTTGTATCTGGATCCAGTTGATGACCATTATGATGTCCTGTTGGCGAACATGATATGATTACTTCGGCGTCAGCTCTGTTTTTATTGGTTTAGAGTAAAAGTTATGTAAGCTTACTCATCCGAGAGACGATTCTTTACCTTCAATGCATTGTTCAACAAGATTTTTTGCTTCTTGTTCTTGATCATGTTGAATCAGTAATTCCTTAAAAAATTGCAGAACTTAAAAATGTGATCGTTCATATGTTAATATGTGGTTATTACTAACAGTATCGAACATTCAGCCCTATTTAGTGATCACTAGAATATCCCGGCTGTTTTATGTATATTACCCATTGAACTAAAATACATCTGGAACGCTACATGTAATAGAAAAGTCTAATAATTTCCTGAAGCCAAATCTTACACCCAGACCTTACACCCAAATCTTACACCCAGACAGTGTGTAGTCAATCAATTTTCACCCCGCGAGAGAATCTCGAAACACTACACACGCGTGTCTGGGTGTAATCTCGCGTGTCTATGTGTAAGATTTGGCTTCAATTATTTGCTTCAGGTAGCGTTCCATTTATTTCAGTTCAGTGATATTCATAACGATGCTAAATAAAAACCCTTGAAGATATCATCATAATGTATCATCAAATAATATATCATCATAGTGACTCAAATGGCAGAGAACACTTCACAGGTTTTTTCAATCACAGCATTTATAATACGTTTACGATATGATGTCACAAATAATAACTGAAGGATATTTTGCTGGACTACGAGGAGATGTGTTACAAAGTCGAACATTGATTTCTATTTTTCTGGATCACCAACGTCATACAGTATTTCTAAAGATGACATTTTTATCATTGAAAAAGCTTTTATTGTATTGACCAATGCTTTTTGATTTGTTCGTGACATTTTGTCGTCTTATTTTTCCGTAAAGGTCCGCGAAAATGATTCCTATGACCTCTGTGTCTACTGTGTGTGTCAATGACGAACCCCCCCCCGGATTCTATAAGATTCCAATCAAACCATTACCAAATGCTGCAGTTGAATTTTCGATAGATCAGGGGTGTTTCGAAATTTGTTTGCCAATTGCTTTAAACCATCGAAGGCCAGCTGCGGTCTATTGATAGGAGAAATTTTTATTTTATAGTAAAATGTATCATTAAGGAATGTGTTAAGTTTATATATGGTCGTCTACGTACTTTTTATATTCTACGGCTAGTTCAACAATGCTTATACCCATGTCAACTTTAATTTCCTTGTGGCTGAGAATGTTGTGAAAGTCTTGAAAAATATAGTGAAAAATTACTCATGTTATAGAAAATCTTTGAAAAGAACACACCTTGGCAAGCCAGGTCTTTTTTCTTCATGACTCACCTGACTGCAGGTCTTGTACCGAGTTGTTTCCAAAAAGAAGTATTTTTGCTTTAAGATAGAGGCCGGCTGGATGAAAGTATTCCTGTCAAATTATTTGATGTAAGACATGTGATCTAATACAAAGTCATGTGATGTAAGACCAAGTCATGTGTTATAAGACTGAGTAATAAGATATACGACATTACTCGTCACGTGACTCGGTCATGTGATGTATGACTAATTCACGTGATATGTAACGACTCCGGCAAAAGGATATTTAGAACTTACGGAGTTAGCCAAATCTAAAGAAAAGAAAGGAAAGTGGAAAGAGATATTTTTCGTAGTAAGATGAACGTAGTGTGGACGATGGTGTATTTTAAACAAAAGAACTGTTGACTATCCTAACTATGGATGTATAAAATATTTACCAACAGCACTTAAAGCCGTGTTCCAATGTGTTGTTCTATTCCATTCAATGTAAGCGTTAGCTAACAACCGCAATGTTGTTGCCTAAGGAAAAAATTGGCAAAAAGGAAACGTTCATCAATGTTTAAAATGTTTTACAGTTGTTTGAGTGTTTTAGGCAAACCTGTTTTGCTTTATCAAGGGGAAACTCGCCTTTTCCGATGTCATGGCTTTCTCTGCATAGATTATAAATTTTGTCAGTTAAACTTATGTCTTTAGACACGGTGAATCGTCATTGTGTTTTAATCCTTGTGATGGTCAAATTAGGCACATTAAGACGGCATTGATTTTTCAAATATAAGATAGCACATAACAATATACTGCATTTATTTCCACTTTCACTCATTACGATCTCTTCGTTTGCTTTCAAGTAGCAATGGTTTGTATAAATGTCTGTTTGTTTGATTTGTTTATTGTCTTTATTTCTGACGTTAAACTGCTTTTTAATGCACTGAAAATTTAACTTGCTTCGATAGCAATCCCATAGAGGAGGCCTCAAAAATTATTTGTAATGTGCAAGAAAAGACCAGGGAGTGGCGGGGGGAGGGATCATACAATGAGATGAAAGCAAGAGCTATTTGGTAAAGTTTCAGTTGACTAAACTTAAAGTCTTGTGTATTACCTTAGCCATTCAACGCATTGTTCGTAATGTTCTCTTTGATATGTATCTACTCCAAAGTTATAACAGACCATCGCCAAACAACAGCCCTAGAATATTCCAAGAAATCCTTTAGCGCATGCGTCGTATAGAGAAGTCAATATGTAGATATATATAATTACAATAACTGCGATGTGTGTACAATAAGACCAATCACACATTTGTTTATATAGTATACCTCCCTGGGATGTTTCGTCAGTAATATCTTGGCCATGTCAATGTATTGTTTCGCGTTCTTGTAGTTTGAGGTCGACATTGCCTAAAATCCACACAGTTGTCATATGAAATAGACCTGAAAAGTTGATATTGTAGGTAGATTTAGGTTGTAGAGTTTAAGATTAGGGTTTAAGATTAGATTCATGTTATGATGGGAATTAGTGTTTGAGATTACGGGTTAGAGTTAGAATTAATATAGTATTGTGACAAACAATCACGTGTTCAATGTCTGCCTTGTGTCGTATTCATCAAATCAACGTTCTATGTTAAATATTAATGTTTATCTTACAACTTCTGCTTGGTAACAATAAGTTCTAAACATATGCTGTTCACATTCGTCCACCAAAAAGAACGTCTCTTGACTTCCTAGTTTTGTACTCATCTTCTGGTTAAGATTATGCCAGGTCTGAAAAACAGCAGCAACAATAGAAATAGGACTAAGGCTATTTTACACGTATCACCTCTCTTTCTGTGAAATATGTATGGTTGTAAAAAAAAGTTCATCGCTGACCTCTTCCGCAAGATCTAACGATATTTTTGCCAAGGCTGCATCGTCACAATCTAAAATCATCATAAAAGATCTCATGTAACCTCTCTGTTGCAACAGATTGTAATAGAAAACATGTTGACCTCATCTTTCTTATATGAAAAGCACGAAATAACGGCAGGAGATTTACTGCATGATTTCTGATTTCTGGCTCGGGAAAATTAGTTTTGGAGTTATAGTTCTGTGGCTGGTTGCACGTGACTTGGATAGCGTTATTCATTGGATAGTGATTGCGATAGTCATTGTTTATAATTTCTTTACGACAAAGAAATTTTGTAATCTTGAGACGCACTATTTCATTTCAGTGATTGCTCAGTTCGCACCTTATATTTTTCCTTTTTGAGAAGTTTTTTAAGCGTTTAAAAAAATTTGCCATCCAATGAATAATGCTATCCATGCTTCGCGCAACCGTCCCCTGTTGTCTGTTCAGTTGTCCAAAATATGTCGCGTCGAAATAACTTATCCCACAAATTTTAGTTTCTCATCCAGTACCTTAAAACTATACCCTTGCTCTTGTTCATTCAAAGTTTTCAAAACACAAAAAAAAATAAAAATATAAGATTCACACCTAACCACGCTCGACCAGTTTTCATCGCCATCTGCAAAAAAGATAGCTGCTGTAATATAATACACTCTTTTTTTATTTATCTTTTGTGTTTAATATTTGACTCAAAATTCATCTATCTAATTTATGTATGTATGTTTTTTTCTCTTAAATTTTTAGATTGAAAATAAGGATGAGTTAGTTTTATTTACAACTCATGGGACATTAAGGTATATATGTTAGTTAGTAGCGTATCCAGCTTGCATGTTTTGGTCCTGCGATGTAAATTTCTAAGGATTATCGTTAATTCATTTCTTTGGAAACCTTTTGTTTTGGCAGTGGCTGAACGGAACCATAACAGGGTCCGATTTGCGGACTAACGACTCCTGTCATTTTAGTCCTGTTTTCTATTATCATTACATAGGCTAGACTTCAATGCAAGGTTCCCCCCCCGGAAGTTATTGGAATTAAATCTCTATTGGGGGGAGGTGTCCCTTGGAATTTTTGTATGATATTATGGTACGTAAAAATATGTTTGAAAATTTTAGTAAACTCACGACTAATTGCTTTTTGAAACTGGATTCTGTACATTCAACAGTGTTAGCGATGCAAACCATGTTACACGACACATGTCTCACTAAACAAAACAAATTTGCTGAAACAACCACATATGTATTTTAAAATTGCTGTGTGTAGTTTTACCTTTTGCATTCAAGATTTTATCAGCCGAGCCTTCTGTCTTCATTCCCACAGCTAAATTCCATAAGGCGACAGCACAAGCGTGAACTTGTATTAAAACAGAGCAGTGCTCTTCTTTGTTGAAAGAAAATTGTTGTAGTTCCTTCACTATTAAGCTTAGGTTTTCTAACTCGATGTCGGAATGAAGGTTGTTCTTTGTCAGATTTTTCGTTGTAGCTGTAAGAGTTAGAAACTTGAAGCATATTGTTGATGATATTTTTCATTCCGTTTCCCCCAAAGCAATTTCAAGCTGAAATTTTCAACCTACCTTTCAGTCTTGAAATTAACGAGTTTATTTTTGAATTTTTGGTATCTTCGCAAAGGTTTGAATTTATACGCTCCATGTTGTGAAGTTCTGTCTGTCTGCTCGTGCTGTTTGCCAGCCTTGGAGGCAAGAATTGTAATGGCTACAAACAAAAACAAGAGAATAATTGCTTGAAAAGGAAGTCCACCATGAAATTTGTTTTCTTTTTAAAACTTTTGGCGGGAAAATTCCTTAATTTATTCAAAGATATAAGAAGAACTTTCTCGAGTTTTTGACGATAAAACAGCAAAAATTTTGAACTGAACAAGGTAGAAAAGATTTACTTAAAACCAATGCACTCATTTTGCTTTATGACCGACATTGGACTATTTTTTGAAATATTATCGTTTGTACTATGTTCTAAACCTCTCGAACTAAGAATGTCTGTATTTTTTATTTAGAAATATCCCAATGGATGTTTACAACTCGACAAGTCATCTTTACGAACAGAAACATTCAAATAACGTTGAAGGCGAACCGATGTTTCAAGCTTTGGCATTGAGGTTTGTGCTTTGCTGTATAACCTTTTGTGAAAACATTCAATACTTCTCCAGGAAAATACTTGAGATTTTCCTGCTGTAATTATTATTACGCTGCACGATAGAAATGTTTTTGAAAGCAGAAGTTGATTCCAAATTGTTTTATTTTTTTCATGATATAGTTATGAAGAAAACGACGAAGAACGATATGTTAGTGAATGCCCGACTGGACGTTCAGAAGTAGATGCATATTTATATGAATGTAGTCGTCTTTGTGATGAAAACGAACCTTCAAGTATTGATCCAGATACTGTTGTTGAACATTTCAGTAAGTTTTCGCTTTTAATAAATCAGCCGCAAAGGTTTTAGATGTTGTAGTTTCTTTAACACCACAAATGTCACTTCAAGTCGAATGAATATCAAGCTTTCGGCAAACCATAATAGGATATTGTGGAAAAGTCATTTTTTATAACTACAATGTTTGCTATGTCCAAGTAGGATAAAGTAGATGTATCTTGTCCTAAAAAACATCATTAAAAATATCTAGGAGATTATTGCACGATCGTAGCTAAAACATGAAAACACAAAATTTGATTGAAAAGCAAAAATATAAAATGTCTGATATAAACACTACACAATGTTTTATAAGTTGATGCAATCTTTTCTAGTTTTAGTCAATTTATTATAAACTATAAACTAGGAGTTTTTGTTCCGATTTTTCAACCCGTATTATATTATAAATATTCTATTTTCTTGCCGCGACGTCCTGATTCCCTACCTGACACTGACATCTGTACTTTTATCCCATTTAAATAATTTGGTGGGAATGTATGAAAGTTTGAAGTTCTTCAACAGAATTATGTTTCTGCTTCAGATGATGTTTTCCGTCAGAGGATTAACACTGAAATCGAGAAATTTCGCGTCAATGTTAACGACATTGTTAACGAACATCAAATGAACTTTCTTTCGACGTTTACAATACAGAAGGATGTCGATCCAGCTCAAGAGGTATGTTTAGAGATCAGTGGAGAGATAGAACATTTAAGCTTTTCTGTTGAGCTTAGACCTTACGACCTGCTTTATAACGTTGCAAAATTGTGATAAAAAACTTCATATAAGATTCGGATGCCTTAAATGACAGAAATTTTTTTTCACTAAATATTGTATGTATGTTGCGGAGAATATTTCTACTTTTGTGTTTCAAATTTCTCGAGATCTACCGTTGCTGATATGTTTAGCTGTAAATAAGTTTAACCTTAAAAGGCGTAATGTTCTTTGCAGCAACAGCTTGATTCACGTCTGCCATGTCTAGTATACTTATATTTCAAAAGACCATCCCTGATTTGGTAGAAATTTGAATGATGAGACGGGAGGTGGTAGAAGAAAACTTTGCATTTACAATGATTATTGTCATCAATGTTTGTGATGACGTCACTTTCTTACTAAAGTTCATTGACATTTACTTTGCTTCTTACACCATTTTATTGTATTTTTAATGATTTTCCGATTTTCTGTCTGCTCTAACAACTTATAATGTTTCCCTTCAAGGGATTTTGAGGAATTTTAAAATTGTTGGTGTTTCATGCTTTTACCATATTGATAATGCTCAAAAGGTTCAACTTTCCATAAAGCTGCTTGATTTTAGTTATTTTTCGTGGTTTTTTCTTTTTTTAGTTTGAAACATTACAAAAATACTTCTCAAAACTTCCTGTTACACAGATGTGACTTGTATATTTCAGCTAGCGCATTCAATCCAGGGGGGTAGGCAATGTTTCTCGACGATTAATGGGAATTATCATTGTTATTTTCAAATATTTTCTTCCATTTTCTAAAATAAACCATCGTAATATATTGGCAAGTATATCTGGGAAATTTATTCATTGTAACGTTTGTAAATTCTTAAATATCCTTCAAGGTACCTATGCATACCTATTCAAGATCATCAAGTATGGATAGCATCTCTCAAGGTATGACATACACCCTGTTCTTAGTTATTCACTATTTTTTTTATACACTCCTCAGGTTTTTTCTATTCCCTTCCCCATGACGTGCGCCTGCTGTTTCTTTGCTCTCACTTTAAACGAATGTATAAACAGGAGGGTGGGTTAGGGGTTAGGTGTTGCTCATGTTTCTAAATGAACAATGGAAAACTTAAAAATATGAAAATCCAAACTCCTGACTTGCTTGTCCTTCGTTTGAAAGCAGGGAGAAAAGTCCTGGAGGTCACTCACTCGGGGATGAGGTGGGGCACTATCTTCTAGGGTGTGTTAGGCACCAACTCTCGGGTTGAGGGAAGAACCAACTTCCGGGATGAGATGAAGCACAATCTTCCGGAATGAGGTGGAGCACAATCTTCCGGGATGAGGTGGAGCACAATCTTCCGGGATGAGGTGGAGCACAATCTTCCGGGATGAGGTGGAGCACAATCTTCCGGGATGAGGTGGAGCACAATCTTCCGGAATGAGGTGGAGCACAATCTTCCGGAATGAGGTGGAGCACAATCTTCCGGGATGAGAGGGCACTAACTCTCAGGGCGAGAGGGCATTTCTTAAAAGCTTGGAAAATTAGCTAAACCAAAACAACCCCTTTTCCATCCAGCTTTTTGTCGATTTTGTCCCACATTTAAAAATCAGCCAGGCTTAGGTGTAGATTGATGTAACGTCTTATATCAAGTATTTATATTGTAGACTATCACAGCGTTCTTGTTGAACATGGAAAAGGGAGTGAACCAATGTCAACGTGAGTGTATTTTTGTATTACTCTATACCTTTATTTGAAACACATATGTTGTGTAATTTTATGACAATCGCTGCTACCATCATAAAATACGCATGCGTCAAGATTGCAGTTTCTGAGATATTTATTAAAGTGACGAATGTTCAAAAGTTTGGAAGGCGAGGGGAAGGGTGTTTGGTCATTGTTAAAAACTCCGTTTGCTTTATGTTTGTTTTATAAAAGAAATAAAAGATGTTTTTCGTGTTTGCACAGGCTTATGCAAACCTCGAAGACGTTTGTGTGAACTCTCGAGCATGTGCAACCCTCGACCTTCAATCTCGGGCTTGCACTGATCGGCTCTCGAGTTCTCCCAAAGATCTCCTCGGTTTGCATAAGCCTGTGCAAATGCACTAAATCTTTTACTCCTTAAACTTTAAACCAAGGTGAACCTGGCCAAAATTGCTTAGAAAACTCAATGTATTTCCTTGGTTTACCCCTTCATTGTACAATGTCCAATATTTTGGACGATCACAAAACTAAATTAAACTCTTGTGAAAAATTAACTTGCGCCATAGTGTTGTTGAAGTTTGAGACATAAAGAAGTATATAGCACATTGAAATATCGTCTTGAGGATAGTATATATTGATCATATTTGTTCTCATCATTACTAGTTGCCAGTCTCCAGCGTCGACATTCAACAGCTACGGTGCATCTGATAGTGACAAAGCGTAAGTACGTCATACTTTAAGGATTATCATCTATCATCTCATTTACTTGTCATTTTTACGTGTTGTCGTGTGAACCTATTCCTTTGGCCAACAACGTAAATGTACAACACGAGCTATTTACTGCGAGATCCAGCGTGATATTTTTTAGTCTGCCTATTTTCGCAATTCAAAAAATATTATTTTTTTCAAAATTGATTTCGTTCGTGTTTTTCCAGCGAAAGACGTCGACATTATCTACGCGACATGACTGAAATTTAAAGTTTATTTCACCACATACTAAATGGCGTTTATTTTCTAAGTTTTATGAACCACTCCAACAACCTTTCCCAACACACCCTCCACTTCACCCATCAAAACCCACCACTCCACCCTCACCACACTCCCACCACTACACCCTAACCTACCCACCCCCACCCCACACCACACCTTCACTCCCGCACACCCACCACCCCACTTCACACTACATGAAACCTGCTATTCGGCATCACTCGTTAAAATGTGATTGAGCGATTTTAGCTATTTTTCTTCGTGGAGAAAATAAATTATCGCATTTATTAAACGAACTACACCCTACTGCTACTCAAATGATTTGTCTTGCGCAACATCGGCATCAGTTCTTTATTTATTCTCATGGCAACTATCTACAGTTTTTGTTCTCCTTGCTTGCAAATCATTGATTATAGTCGCGTTGTGAAAATATAATAACGATGCGAAAGTTGCCGCCTCTACATTTATAGGTTTTTTTAATTTTTTTTAATTGCTCATGCGTCTGTAGCTGATAATTACATAGCAGGATATGAACGCGTCTTAAAATGATAACGTCTGTTGATATAATTTGTAACAGAAATTCGCGCAGTTGTTACAAATATTTGCACTGTTCTCAAACACTTATGCACTATTGTTGAAAACTTTCAAACTGTTGTCTCAGATTTTTGAAATATTCGGAATTTTTGTTGCTTTTGCCAAACTGTGAAGCCAGCCAGCAAACTTGCATTGTAAATTTTAGGACATTAGCTACTGTTATTCTTTTTAAAGAAACCGATAGTTTTTACTATGAGTGAGTACTAAATTGATCAAACCTACGGTGGACTTCGCTGTCTGTATAGCTATACTATAGCTAACTCTATAGTTCCATGTGTCATGCGTAGTCTGATGCAGTTAATTTAAAACCTTTTTGAATGGCGTAAACAAGACATCTTTGTAATTATTACTTCGTTTGTCATTCGCACATTATTTGACTCAAGTTAACTTATTAAAAATGTATATTTAGCAGTCCTTTGACATAAATCCACCACGCTCTTTATAATATAATGATGTAGAGGACGATACTTATCTAAATGCAATACTCAGACTGCTGTCATTCTTATTTTTTTTTGTCATTAGAACAGTTTCATCTTTTTATGAGTTTCTTTAAATGCATGGTTGTATATTTTTAGATTTTCTGATGTATTTTCGTTCGCGATTAATTATTTTTGCTTTTGTGCTGTTGTCGTTGCGATAAAAGATTGACAAATGTTATACGAAACTTGAATTTATCTACGGACGTCAAACTATGATTATGTATAAACTCATTGACTTCTTGTGAGCCATCCTCGCTATGACATATAGGGAGATCAAGTACATTGATATTTTATGTCCTATCCTCACTGTGACATAAGTATAGGGAGATCAAGTACATTGATTTCCTATGTACCAAAGTTATAGATTTCATTTAAGACTCAATCCTATCGAAGAAACAGAAAATTTTTACAAAACGCTTATTCGTTATATTAATTAAGTAAAGCTACAAAATAAATTCGCAAGCTCAAAAACAGACATTTTCCCATGTTAAGAAAAAAGCAACACAAAAAGCGATGATTTGTGATCTTCAATAAAATATATTACACAAAGTATTGATAGTTCAGTGCGAACAAAGTATATAACTGGGAATATTCACAAGGCCAATTGCCGACAAAAAACTTTCTTTTATAATATTGGACTATTATTAAATAGGTTTGAAATTCCTTAAATACTTATTAAGTTGTTGCTATTGTAAATTGAAAAAATGGAAAATATCTCTCATAACAACTTAATGCCTGAATACGCTTTTACAGATAACTTGTTGATTCGAAGCATTTTTGCACGAGTAATAAGAATTTTGGGGTTTTTTCTGTCGCACGACGCATAATTTAACGCGCGCCCCCCTCGAAGGGTTTTCTGAAACTGTCAAAAAAATGTATTTTTTGCAACTTTTTGACTCGATGGCCGATGGCTACGTTGTGATTTCTTATATACATGTGACGAAATAAGATAATATGTCGGGCTGTCTGCTTCAATATAATCCATATGTATTTTAAAATTAAAAACTGTGATTGATGCTCTTAAACGAGGAGACTATAGAAGAATTTAATTAGTGCAAAACTCCATTTCTAAAACTGGCTGTATGTATACGAGTCCTGCACAATAACGATGTTGGAGGTCTTTACGAGAACTGTACAAGATTCCAGTGCAAAACTGTGTTTATAGTTCAAAGAAAAACTACGCGTCTATAGTCTTGTACGAAAAAATGCATTGAAGCTTAGAAAAAAATTACTGCGAAAACTACTTATAAGAATTTAGCAGGAAAACTATAGTACGAGACCTTTTTATGAGAGATTCTGCCGAGCTTACCGCCCAAGCAAAGAGTTCAAATACTCTGACTTCATTTCGTGTAACATGATCTGGATGTAATATCGAAATCGAAGTGTTGATAAAAGGACTAAATCTCCCACGGTGTGTCAAATAACTATTTCCATCATCGCTTATTCGCTGTTGCTAATAAGGAAATATGTAATAGCGCTCATTTTTTTCACTCCCACGCGTTCCATGTGTCCGGTTCTTCTCTCCTTTTATATTTCCTGATTATCAGAGGCTCCATTTATGGTTGTTCCCGAAACCCAGGGGAACGCATGTTGACGCGTTACTATGGGAACACTTTCTCACGAGTTCTTTTCAAATATTGGAAATTTGGATGGTTGGAGCAGTCTTTATATTATTGCATGTTAAATTCGTTATACTTTCTATTTAATTGAAGAATTTACTATTTTCCTTTACATTTCACTGAGAACTTGTATTTACGATGATTTTAATCAAGTATTTTTGTTTATTCATTATGACCAAAACCGACATTTCACAATCACAAATGATTCCATTATTTAGATAGTTCAAAGACACTCGATTTCTTTATTCGTGCACTACCAAAATTGACATTTCACATTCACTAACGATTTTATCATTCAGATAATTGAAAGACTGTACATAAATATATATTCTTAGTTCTGCGTAATTTCTTCCTGTGTTGTTCACCCAATTATAGCAATAAATTGCCTTGACCTTCCTTAATATCCAAAACTATAAAGACCTCAGACAACACATCATCCATCTGGATTCGTTTTCTTAAAAAAAAAGGATCTACGTTCTCTTGCATTTCAAGAAGGAAATTGCTAGTTGCCAACATCAAAAAAAGTTATTTATTTAAAAAAAACTTTGTCTGTCCAGACCGCCATTAAGCGTTTCACGACCTTTGCCAAAGGCATCATCAGATATTCAATACTGATATTTAAAGGAAACCTTTATTGGAAGTGTGCATGGCAAAATAATGTCAAATACAATGAATTTATTTCTTTTGTTAAAGCTTGGGACAGCTCCAGGTAAGTAATTTCACACGTTGCCGTGAGAACCATTCCGCCGCCCACACTTACTCCGCCATAAGAATGACGTTCAGTTAACGCATTTTAAATATTGTAGATTGTGATAATCCTGAATGATTTCCTTCATTTTGTCCTTATTACATGACGTACAAAACCATCGAAAAAGTCCCTCTTGCATTGGCGCGACTGCATTGAAAACAGTTATATAGTACGTCAAGTATTATGTTAACTTAACGTTATTAAATATATTTCTGGCAACATTGTGGATTGTGGTAATCTTAAATTATTTCCCTAGTTTCGTCCATGCAAGTCTCTCTTTCAGCAATTACATTCTTTTAATTAAGCCCTTCGCACTTAGAAAACAAAAGACTGAAAATTTAAAAGCTTTTTGTTGTGCACATAAAAACGGATCTCATTCTATCACAAAGAGCAGCTCTTATAAAATTTCGTAATGAAGAGATTTTTGCCTCGAGACAACCCGTCCACAGCAATCGATTTTTGTTGACCGTATGCCATATACTTATGTAATTGGCCCTGCGTGTCTTCAATATTAAAGCACATCAACGCGATGTTGAAACGGTTTTGTTATTTTCCTTGTCAGGAAGCTTGATGTTTCGGTTCCCCTTCAATACTAACGGAAGTAACCGCAAAATAATAGAGCTTAACTGGATCCAAAATTAATGAAACCACATGTTCAAGTACTTGCTTGTTTTACTCACGAGTTCCGATGTTATATGAACGTCCGTCCTTGCGTGATGTAACAATCGTAATCTACGGTACCATACGCTGGAGCGCGTGATCTGCAACACAGCAGTTGTCTCATAATCACATTACTGCAAAATGACCTTATTCTTCAAAGGTTGATTTGAATGCGATACATTCAATAATAAAATGTGAAAGATCTGCAGAGTTTTCTTGTATATATTATAATACCGCTTTTTTCAAATATTATTGTGACAATAGAAAGGGAAATCATCTTTGATGCATGTAGTGGAGACCGTTAATTGCTTTTATACTTGCCTTTTTTCTCTTGAAAATGAGAAAATATCGAAAAATGTGATTATCATATGACTATACCTGAGTACATCACAACAACGTGATGTTGTTATCTATGATATTGAGATATGAAAGAAACTAGAACTGTGTTTTGAAACATAGTCTATAGTTGATTTTGTAGTTTAGTTTGTAGAACATTGAAGACTAACTAGTTATAGGTACTCCACGAGTACGTGATGTTATTATCTTTGATATAAAAGAAAATAAAGCATCACAGTTGGTCTTGCAGATCAATTGATAGAACATTTGGGACAGGGGTTATCTTACAATTGTACTTTCGTACAACACAACATGTTATTCTTTATATAGTATATTATGGGTTGAAACAAACTACAACATGCAGAGTTTTATAATATCACACGGTCTTATATTTCAGTCAGTAAAATATTGAACCATTCTCAACAAGTTTATAGATCTCTCCAGTCAATATGACCAAACCATGTTTTACAGAAATTTGACAAAATTTGAACAGTCTTTATTATCATCCATATAGATGTCTAAACCAAAGTGTTTGTTTCCGTTGTTTAGATGTGTTAGTTTTTCGCCCAATGATATCAATTTTCATCGCGAAAGTGACGAAGCAATGAGAGATGGATACGTCATAAGATTGTTGACAGCAACCTTGCAGATCGGTAATGCATTACGTCGAAAAGAGTATAAAGTCGTATAGAAATTACGTTTCTCCGGTAAAAACAATATTCTTTGCCAAATTCCCTGTTTGAAAGTGACCACATTGGTAGTCGAACCCTTTTTTCTAGATTCTTGCATTTGGAAGTAATTGTTAAATTGTTCTGCAAACAAAGTGCAATACAGTATAGTGCGAGCCAATGTAATAATCATAAGCATTGAACACAATAGTGGAAAATAAGAGTACCATAATCCATTACCAGCCGACACTTTAATGTGGTACAAAATTAAACATACTCCGAATGAAAACTTCATGTTTAACTCAATATTTGAGAAGGAAACAAGGCAATTTTTATTTGAATAGTTATATTTTGAATTTTTAACAAATTTTTAACAAATTTGAAATATAACTATTCAAATAAAAATTGTCTTGTTTCCTTCTCAAATAATGAGTTAAACACGAACTTGTTATTTGGAGTATATGCTTCATTTTGTATGACAGTGAAGCAACTCCAATTTGTATTTCGATACAGTTGTTTCATTACATAACTCTTCCGTTGTCAATTGAGAACATTTGCGGACTTAAAGTACTTATTAAAATATCAATACCAGAATATGGCTTGAATAGTATACATGAGTTTAACAACGTGAGAAAAGATACTTACAAGACCTCGGGAAATGGTTTGAAAAACAACAACAACATGACATGCCGTGAAAAAACTGAGAAACTGGGTGTAGAGGAATGATTAGCTCGAAAATACTTATTTATTTCCTGTCTGTGGTTGGAAGTTGATACAGAAGGACCACAATTATTTATCCACACACATATTTCTGTAATTGAATTTCGTGAAAAACAGGAAACAGGTCATTCGGAGAAATGCCCACCTTAGGAGTACAATTACATCATGTTGTTTCTTAACTGGCATCAATCTCACAAAATATGTTAGTTTCGTTGATTGAGATTTTTATATATTGGTCAGTTAAGATCAAAACACTCTAGATGGATTTGTTTTTGACTTTTTTATCGAAATATAACGGTCACAAAAACAATTTCATTCCGGAATCACGCAAATTTTTTTTGGCGATTTGTTTTTGGAAACGTTTCCTATGATGTGACCAGACTGCTGTAGACGTTGTTATACGTTGAAATACAAAAATTGTCTTCTGTTTTTTTTTAATTTGTACAATCAGTCCGACTTAGAAATACCTGAAAATATTTACACGATAGTAGTTTTATACACCGGTATGAATTTCTTGATCAAGATTTTCAGTCTCATTTTGTAGTTTTATCCTATATTGTCCTATATTGTTTTATCCTATATTGTCGATAAATTAGAAGTTGTACTTTGAAGTCTTCTATTTTATAGTCTTGTGTCTTCTTCACTAGTGATCTGGCTTGGATTCCTCATCATCCGAAGTGATTTGAAGTTAAAACTTAAGTCCGTATATTATATACTCTAGTCTAATATCCTCACAAGCAGTGATCTGATTTTGAAACATAACCCTACGTATACTCCAGTCTTGTGTCTTCATCAGGAGAGATCTGATGTTGAAACTTGAGTTCTTATATTCTCCAGTCTAATGTCTTCATCAGGAGTGATCTGATGTTGAAACTTGAGTTCTTATATTCTCCAGTCTAATGTCTTCTCAGGAGTGATCCGATGTTGAAACTTGACTCTTTATATACTCCATTCTAATGTCTTCATCAGGAGTGATCTGATGTTGAAACTTGAGTCGTTATATGCTCTAGTCTAATGTCTTCATCAGGAGTGATCTGATGTTGAAACTTGAGTCGTTATATGCTCTAGTCTAATGTCTTCATCAGGAGTGATCTGATGTTGAAACTTGAGTCGTTATATGCTCTAGTCTAATGTCTTCATCAGGAGTGATCTGATGTTGAAACTTGAGTCGTTATATGCTCTAGTCTAATGTCTTCATCAGGAGTGATCTGATGTTGAAACTTGAGTCGTTATATGCTCTAGTCTAATGTCTTCATCAGGAGTGATCTGATGTTGAAACTTGTGTCGTTATATGCTCTAGTCTGATGTCTTCATCAGGAGTGATCTGATGTTGAAACTTGTGTCGTTATATGCTCTAGTCTGATGTCTTCATCAGGAGTGATCTGATGTTGAAACTTGTGTTGTTATATACTCCAGTCTAATGTCTTCATCAGGAGTGATCTGATGTTGAAACTTGTGTCGTTATATACTCCGGTCTAGTGTCTTCATCAGGAGTGATTTGATGTTGAAACTTGAGTCGTTATATACTCCAGTCTAGTGTCTTCATCAGGACTGATTTGATTTTGAGATACAAATTCCAACATATCGCATGCATTTCTGTGTTTTCATCACCTGGAGTGACTGATGTGGTAACTTGAGACTTACTACTTTTACCTATTATCTTCATTTTGTGTACTCTCTCGTGTCGAAACTTTTCTTTGTTATTTCATTGGTCTATTGATACTTAGTGTTGTCTTATTATCATCAATTGTTCTATATTACGTATTTTGATGCCCAGCTCGAAGCTAAAGATTTGTACCATATGACGAAAATATCTCTATAATCGTTTCCCGCATATCATAAGATTTACAATGCTTGCTATAAGCCCTTAAGCGACCTTCAACCGACGTAGCATTTGGTATGTTAGCAAGAGGTATGACCTTCATCAAAAATATTCATTTGGCACAAAAACAATTTTCCTGCAGTAACATTATGCCTCGCCAATCAAGATAAGTAATTCTTTGTCCATAAGCAAATAATGTACTTGATCTACTTTAAATTCTTTTATTACGAGGACGGTACATAAATCTCTATATAATCATTTTATTGAGAACATGGTCCATAAGAAATCAATTTACTTGATCTCTTTTTCGAACAATGATCATTTAAAAGCAATGTAAGAGATTTTCATGCAGAAAATCTGCCCCGGATAACGTGTTCCATACAGAACGTGACTAAGCATGTGCCAAGACACGTGACATTATTTACATATGACAGACAACTTACTCCAAGCAATATTTATGTTAAATACTGAGCAATATTTTGTTTCGACCATGGTACCATTGATGGCAAAGTGAGTTTAATGCCTCCCTAATGCCGTTCATCTTTCAAAACTTTACTTTTTAAAAGGTCTGTGAGTTCAATGCCCTCTAACACCATTCATCTTCGAAAAAATGTGCTTCTCAGCGCCATTAACAAGTTTGCACTTTTTTAGATTCAACTTTAACGGGGTCGATGAGAAAGAGACGTTTGTTAAGGCTTAGCTTTATGCATTCCTCGCACGCAGGGAAAGAAAGTCTGTCTTTCTTAGCGAAATGCTTAGCATTTTGTCTATAGGGATGGAAAAGAGATGTGCTTGTGTTTCTCTCAATTTTTTCAGTGATATTTCTACGCATAGTTTTGGATCAATTTTTTTTTTAAATCAGATACTGTTCAGAAATAAATGAAATGAGCAAATAAATAACCGCTGTGATTTCCTAACAACCATTGCACACATTAATGTCTTCTGTCTGTAATGGCAGTACGTCCGTGGACAGACATTAGCTCGCTTAATTTTCGTAATTTTTCAATCCATTTACACGCACTGATGTGCAATATGCGGCAACTCTCATTCATTTGAGTGTGCAATTACTGTCCAGCTTATCATTCGGCAAGTTATCGATATCATTTTCCAGGTTTTATGCTTAGCAATCTGCCCTTTTTCGGTCAAATTGCGTGCAAAATTGTCACAAATTCATTACGACACAGCGCGCAATCTTATCTACATGTGCGTGTATTTTAATAACGTCAAACTTGTCGTTATAACAACTGTTGTGTTCTATTGCGCTAAGCAAGCGGGGGTTTAATTTATTTCCCAGCACGATATATGATTGAAAATTTTTTTAAATCCCCAGTTTTCCTTTTTGTGTATCTGTTTTAGCGGTTTTATACGAGCTTTACTTGTTTACCTGCTAAACATAGTACATTATCTTCCTTCGGCGGTATGTGACATGTTGTAAAATCATCTCTCCCGTGTACACATGCAGTTCATAATGTCAGAGACCTCACGGTATTTTGAGAATTTATTCATTTTGTCTAGCGAGTTTATTCAAGGGGGATGTATCGTCACGCGTATTTCAGCACACAGCATTCATAGAGCTGTATCCTTATAGGAGAACACTCGGATCTAAATTTTGTGTTAGGTTTTGACGCGCGCCAAATAACACAGCTGGGATTGAATATTTGCTGTTTATATCCGATAAATCAGCGGGTTTCATTGTCGAGACTACAGAGATGGCCGCTCTCTTGCAGATAATCGTAATGAAATCTTTGACATGAAATTATTGCTGATTTTTTTCTTAAAGACTGCAGCTAATTCATTGTCGCCATCTGCATTTTGATTAGTAGCGGGGTAGAATTTCTCATTTGTTTCCATTATCTCTGAGACATCAAGACTTCGTATTTAACATAAATCTTAATCGCCCTCAACCTGTCTGCGCTAGTTTTCTGCATACGGTGTATAAATATATAGGTTGTATTTTAACTTAGATTACATAATGGGGCCATAATATATTTGCCATAATATATATATTTAATTCTTTTACAAGCCTTCAGATATATGTGAATAAAATATCAATAATGTCATACACCATGCATTGTTGTCAAGATTAGGGACCAGAAATGCCTGGTTCGACCAGAGCAATCTGGTTGACATCACCCAGTGATGTCATAATGTAAATAGGACTAAAATTAGTTCAACAGCTCTTCTCCTGAGTTAGTTTTCGGATCAGTTCAATATTTTCATATTGAACATCACCTATTTCTACTATCCCAAGATCTCATTGAAAACAGGCATTATAATATAATCCATTATATTTAACTGTGTTAATGGACCGACAGCATTCACCTGCTGCCAAACCTTTTCAAAATAGCTTGGCTAGAACTTTGAGTTCAGAAACAACCAATGAAATCAATGTACCATACTTCCTGAAATGTGGTTGGAGACAGATATCTCTGGAAGAGAAATAGCTGAAACATAGTTGTCCAAGTTGAAGTCCAAATGGCCATCATTAAATGCTGAATCATTTCGAAGAACGCTCTCTACATCACAAGTAATGTCTCTATCAAGTCTTTCCAAAAACTCGATATCAAAATCACCGGGTAATGGTGAATCAGCCATCTCCACACTTATCATTGGTACAATATCTGGTGTTGCATTCTGATAGTACGGTTGATAGCGACTACTGTGTTGTGGGGGACGATTGTGTATCAGCTGAGGACGATGCATGGAATTATTCAAACCGTATGGTGGAGGAGGTGCTCTTTCATGAGGTATCATAACCTGTGAAACGCTTCTCTGTTCAGGTATTGTTTGAAAGGAATTACCGGAATTCACGTTTGCATGATTGTTGTTGTACAAACTATTCAAATGTTGTTGTAAAGTATTACCAACGAGTTCGTCGTTGTATTGAGTTTTTGGCGGCGGTATTTTCGAGGTGTTGTAACGAACATGCTTTAAATTAGTAGCCGGAAAGTAGTCCATAGAGGCGCTCGGGTACCGGCTATCAACAAACTGTTGAGCAGCCGGTTGTACATTATCAATGTTCATTGAATCGTCATTAAATCGCTGCGCCATGTATGCAGAAATATCACCTTGAGCCGTTGGCTGAGGGCACGGAATAGACATGTTAAGATTTTCTTTCATGCTGTCCATTAACTCATCGACGACGACTGGCGTTGGTTTATCTTGAGGAGGGGAATAGGACATTTCTTGTTCGATGTCGTTGTCCTCGTCATGTGAAGGAATGGGCGACAAACGACCGCTGATACTGCTCACATTTGAGGCATTTGACGAGGAGCGATTTCGATAGTCGGATGGAGGAAAAGGGAAAGAATTGTCTTCTAAAATAACCGAAGGTTCGGTGCTTATCGGTGATTTTGGCGTGACACGAAGCTTTGAGTTGGGACTAAGAGGTTTATCGTCGCCGAGATCACATCTCTTGCCCTTTCTTCCTGGTCGCTTCGTTTTAGTAGCTTTAGGCCCACTGTCTGAATCCAAAGAACTAGAGCGACTTCTCCGTTTCGTCTTTTCAGTTTTAGCATCAGCATCGACCATCCACCATGACGATTTGCCATTGCCTTCGTTTTGTATGCGAATGAAACGATTGTGAAGGGACAAGTTATGGCGGATGCTATTCTGTAAAAGATACAACAATATCACTGTCTTTGTACTCGATTATAACTTGTACATTACATGAAAGATACGGCTGCTGCAGTTGAGGAGATACACAATCATTTGCATGTATCAATAATAAGCGAAATTTAATGCAAATGCAAAATACAACGTATCTTCTCACAACGAAAACAATCAATCAGAAAAATGTATGGCTTACCTTCCAACCAGCGCTGCTCGTATTGTCTCCTTTATCTTTAAAATAGACAACATTTTCCACCATCCAAGTGTAGATTTGCGATAAAGTCATGCGCTGATCCGGTGTGCTTTGTATTGCCTGAGTAATTAAGTCAGCATAAGACTGATTTCCCCAAGCATTCTTTCGAGAACCTTTCTTCGTGCCAGCCTCTGTTTTCGTTGGTGTAGATATTTTGTCTACGACTTCGGGGGATTTTTGCTCTTCGAAATCTTCGGGCTGTGGCAGCGGCCATGTCCGTGAACGCGGCCTATTCCCTTCCATTTCTCGAAGCAGTTCGTCTTCCATGCTCGTTTCAAAACTTTCACAAGGCGACAAAAGCATAATTCAAGCCGAGCGGCACCTTCACACTGAACTAATATCAATGTTTCATGCAATATACCACGAAACGCCGCAATCACCTACATATAGGAAATGCATCTCGAGCGTGACGTAAGAGTCGTATAAGACCTGACGTTGATTGGTTCTCATCTCAGATGACCGCCCAATTAGCGTGCATACGCCTACGTCAAAATATTAACTCAACATTCTGACCAATAGTTGGCAGGCGATCTATTGCAGTGGTCGCTGTATTTCAGTGAGGCGTACCCAATTTAAATTTGTCAGTGAAATTGTGGTATATTATTCGTGTTAATTATGAATCTTATTTTATTTTATGCCGACTATAGATTGCACGCTAAAGGTGCTATGAAAATTGAATTTTTTGTAAAAATTTCACACTTTATTTGTAATGTTGTAGGACGTGGGCGAATATGAAGTTTTAAAGCCCCTTTCAAACTCTAGTTATGCTTGTCGGATTGTACGTGAGAGAGTATAATTCTTTTTAATCCGTAAAAATTGTATGCTTTTCCAACAAAGACATATTATTTGTGATAAAAATTATATGCCCCATTCATTTAGGAAAAGTTAAATTCGTCCATTAAATAACTCTCAATTTTGGTGTACTTTTTGGACTTTGATTTGATATCATTTATCACTTAATGGATTATCCTAGTGAAAGATGTATTTATTCTTTGGAATATTTCTATTTCGACGTCCGACTTTACCATTTTGCCTTCTCATTGGGCGATCATTTTTCTTTAGTAAAAATTCCTGGGAAAATCACTTTATCACAATATCTTAATTCGTAAGTATTCATTTATAGTTCAGCGCTAAGTACGTAATCGCACCTGTTTGACAAAAATCCCCGTAAAAAAGCTTCAGAATCAATCGCGTGCTTGTCAACTCTAATTGCGAACAGTACAAGCAACATTTGCATTGAAATGAATCGTCGCCATGGCAATTTAATAAGGCATTGCAGATGTCGATTGGGGGTATCTACATTTTGTAATATCTTTTTTGTGTGTGCGTAACTACGTTGTAAATCATTTCAAAGCATAATTTAGGCATGGACAAATATAAAGGAAAAGGTTTAATATGATGCGTATTTTAAGAATTGTCATCTATCAGTTGAAGTTTGAACCGCCCACTTTTCTACCAATGATCGGCAACAGTCATCTCAATATAGCGTTGGTATTAGATTAAAACTGCCTTTTCGTTTGACCCTTAGACTGATTTATTGTTGAATTCTTTTAAAACCGGCATCTTTTGCAAGTTCAACGCGCTCTGATATGTTTAATGTAGTGTAAACTGTAAGGTAAAAATAAATCGCTTATGAATATTTTGTGAACATTCCGTGACTAGCACTATATCATGTCATCCTATACAGCAATTAGAGCATATTGATTGACCAATATAGTGCTAGCGTCGCATCCTTTCGACACCGGGGGGATGATTTTCTTTAATATTAAAACTCGATAGCAGCTTTTCCGATATTTAAAGAGAAATGTACTTTATTGGTAGTCATTTATTATATTTTACGGTTTAAAACAAATGCGTGCTCAAAAACCAGTTCCGTATCGATGATGCAGGTATCAACAATAGGACGAAGCTTAATAGCATATTTTGAAGTTTCAAATAACCAAGACTTAAGCATTATCGCTGCTTTTTTATGAAATAGATACTGCAGAAGTACCTATTTATTGCTACTTCGTTTTTTTGCCCAATACTGAAAGGAAGTAAATTAGCGGAATTCAACCACTTCCGTATGATAAAAAAAATTTGCAAACATTCACTCCCTGTGATTTCGTGGAGTTGAAAATCATATGTCATTAGTTTTAGTCGAAAAATATTGCAATCCGGAAATTATGATATGCCATCTTCACACACAAGCGCGATTATTTTTGCACGTGAAAAATTATGTCTTCAGTGACTTCTCTCTTTAGCCAATCGACTTTTAACATTTTATTGTACTACACAAGAAATTTCATAAGTTTTGATTTTCCTTAAAATTTCGTAATTGTAACAACTGCTATTGTTATCCGTGAAAAAAAAGAACACAAACAACGTTCCTGAAAATTCTCGGCTTTTCTCGAATGTTTCGTCTAACTGTTGCAATTGTGATCGTAATTGAGCATTTTGACGTCAGTACTTTGGTTAAAGCGCAAATACGTTTATGTTATGATTTGGTCATTGAGCATCGCTTTGAGTGTGCTTTGTGGCTCAAGTTTACAAAGATTAATCGTATTTTCTGCATTGACGTCAGAGGCTAACACTTGAATGCGGTAAGAACGATCACTTGCATCTCCTTTCACCGGAACTAATTGCTGAGCGCGCAAAGTGGTGTCATTGTACTGTCCGGAAGTTCGTGGTAAGTACACATTGCGTTGTGTACGCGTGACTTTTATACGTTTTTCGTGTTTTTGATAACGTCATGTTCAACAGTTAGTGTTTGTTGTTCTTATTGTGGAATGCCGTCTTTAAACAGTTAACGACATTTTGTCTTCGCAGCTGCCGAAGTTCAAGTGAAATATTGCTTGTAAACAGCGCTTTCTTTGCAAAATATATTCTAGTCCGCTCAAACGCATGTACGTCTGACCTGCGATCTAACGTTTAAGCCTGTAGCCGTAGGAGAACTCCTAGGTCAAAGTGTAGTTGAAAAAGGGCCCTGTGCTCAATCCGATTGCAACTTTGATTGTTTTAATATCGCAATCTTGGTTACGTGTGTTTCATTTTCAGCTACGAAAGATAAACTGCGCTGATAAAAGACTAAGAACAGACAGCTGGGCCCATTGACGCGTTCTTTTTTATCTGTGGAATTGAACAGAAAGCCATTGCAAATGGAATATTTCGAATATCATGAGTATGCATGTCACATCATGAATAAGTAGACAACGTGGCGCGTGACATGCTGAGTAAGCTGATCTCCTCAATTTATTAAATATATTTAATCTTGTGGGAAGACGCTGCATCGAGAAAACGCAGCACAATATCCATAATCTTTGACCTTAAATGCTTAAAAAGGTATTTTTCGTAGGAAATTTCATCATGATCTATTTGAAATCGCAATTTTTATCATACAATTTTCCATCATTTGCAGCATAATTTAGTTTTGCCGCGTTTTCAAACAATTTTGGCGCGAATATATCTGCACATGCGTAGTAACGAGAAACTGGGAGCAATGGAGCAACCATGACCACGGAGCAACCCAGGTACTAAAATGGCGAAATATTAAGTCTATGAAAAGTGTTTATGTTAATAGTTGAGTCTGGAATTGTCCTATTTTGTACCACAATATGCTGCCATCTGATCTAGCAAGGCTTGTTTACGGTGTGTTGTTGTTTTTATTTGATCAATGTTAGCATTATTATGTAGATGTTCGATAGGAATTTAAAGAATTATAATGTACTGTTTTTTCAGGTTATCTTGAAGAAAAGGGTCTTGAGGCAACCAGAAATGTCTTTGCTAAAGAATCGTTCGATCTCTTGGCTGGAGATGTCCAGACTCCTGCTATTGAAGGGCAAAAACTTTCCTTGATTGTCGACGAATATTTCCTGTTGAAAGGCGTTGGTAAGTTTAAATGTTTGCCCTTCATGATTCATCATCACCTTAAAACTGGAAAGCTTACCAAGTGCACGAATTATAAACATAAAAGTGTGCGTATACACAGAGCCAAGTATGAAAGGGAAAAATATTTTCTGTAGGATAAACTTTCTTGTGTGGCATTCACTATACTGGTTATTTTTGAGAGAGGAAGACAAGGGGGTCTATGGTCTAAGACCAACTATTGCATCGTCTATGTTGGATACAAGCCCATGATTTCTGCTGGGCTAGCTTTTTATCCTCTGTCAGTTTCGGGAAAATGTTTTATACACTCAGTGGAGAAGTTCAACCTCCCACTCCCTTACCCAAAATGTACACTCCCTTACCCAAAATGTACACTCCCTTACCCAAAATGTACACTCTTGAAAAATGACATGAAAATTACTGTTTGCTGTGATTTTTTTATTTGTTTATTAGTTAAACTTGTTCACTAACAATGACCCCTAAACCCAGTGGCATAGCCAGTTTTAGACGTGCTACTAAACTTTCAGAACATTATGACTCGCTGCTGCAAAGTGAGTGAATGCAGAATTATTTTCACAACAGACTTGAATTAATTAATTGGCTATGAAACTTTATTGCAATTGACGATGTTTACATTAGTGAAGAAAGCAATTTCAGATCATTAAAATTATTCAGTTCTTTAGAAGTCTATTGTTTTTGCAGTGTGTGAACATTTAAATATTTACATAGCATGAAAAACTGCGGGCTTGCTATGCAATTGAAAGACATTTCTGTGTTCGATCACTTAAAAAAAATGAATCAAATTATTGTTCTAAAGAAATTAATAATAATTTTCTACTGAATATTTATTAAACCCTTTATAGTTTTCCTCCAATTTAGCCAATTTATGCACATTGCTAATTTGTTTACTTATAAAACATTCCAGTTGATGTTAATGGTTTTTAAATGATTTGGTTCAAAGAAAGTAGAATTATTACTGTTGTTTACTTTGCTAGATATGAAAGGGGGATCCTCAGATCCAGAAAATCTTTTGAGATTGTTGTGGAAACAGTTTGACATCGTAGTTGGCCAGTTGAAGTAAGTTCATGGTTCATGATTTGAATTTTTGCCTTGTTTTTGATATATATTTTTGTATAGTAGGATCTTAAAATCTGGTGTGCCAATTTAGTATCTTAAGTATGACATATATTTTTAAAAGCAATATATTTTTAAATGGAAATAACTACCAATATTTATGTTTTCAAATACAATGTAGACTGGGCTTTGTTAATTTTTTCAACATGCTTTTCAAGCAACCACAATTTCATCATTGAGTCCTGTAAATACTATTGATTTTTCTCCTGACTTCCATCTTAGAGACCTCAGGGGAGTGGCTTATATTCATTGTATTCACTGTTGAAAACAATGGATTTCATCCTGCATATCATTTATACATGTATCCCCTATATGTATCCCTAACTCTATATGTATCCCTAACCCTATATGTACCCTAACCCTATATGTATCTCTAACCCTATATGTATCCTATTACCGTATATGTATCCCTAACTCTATATGTATCCCTAACTCTATATGTATCCTATTACCGTATATGTATCTCTAACTCTATATGTATCCCTAACCCTATATGTATCCCTAACATTATATGTATTCCCCTTAATCTTCACTTTTCTGCAATCATTGCATCTGAATACCTAGGCACATTATTTACGATCCAAAATTGGAAATTGCCTGTCCAGTGGATATGGCAATGCTGCAAATGTCAAGCCATAAAGTTTTTCTATTTCTTTAGTCATTGCTTGTCTTCAATGAATCATAAAATTTATCTTTTTATTTCTATTTTAGGCATACTACCATCCCTAGTTTCTCGAAGCCAAACAATCGTGTCAGAAATGTTTACAAAGATCAAAAAGGTTTTTAGAATTTTCCATGTAAAACCAGTGATATAGCCAGTCTGGTTTATAAGTTCTGCTATGTAAGTTTTCCTGTGTTCACTTTCTGTGAAAAAAATACATTTCCAAAGAAATTAATAATGATAATGTTCAGAAATTCACATAGCAGGACCAAAACTTCATGCTGGCTATGCTTTAACAGAGTTTGTTGTTTTTACAATAAAGTCAAGCAAGTTTAAAGCATTTTAACCTGACTTTTCAAAGTTGGACCTAATTTAAGCACTTTTCATAAACTGGACAATTGTATTCTTTGTAAAGGCAGTGTGTTTAAAGCCATTGTTGAATCATTCATTCCCTTCACCAATCTCCCCTTCATTATAGAGTTAATGACATGGTGTTCATTCTCTCCACCAATCTCCCCTTCATTATAGAGTTAATGACATTAACTTGCAAATCAATATTATTTGAGCAATAAAGGATAGTCGATTCAGTGGCATAGCCAGCTTTATAATTCAGGAAGGGGGGCATATTCATATATGTTATGTGAATGTATGAATTTGCCCCCCCCCCTCCACCTGCAACTATCGAGATAGCCAGGTTAAGTCATGTGGTTATGTTCAATTGTTAGTTGCTAGACATTACTGCAATAGAATATAGACATTATTTTATTAGATTTGGTCTGATGAGCTTAGATTCTCCCACCTGGTTTACATAGTTGAAAATATAAGAACAGGGGGGAGTATTTATGCTCATCCGACCGGTAGAAAATTGCATACATATGTATGGATGGATTTTCATATTTTTTTCACATGGCGGCTGGGTGGGCTGGTAAGAAAGTGGTGTACGACAATGTGTAAAGGTCATGAATTTAGATAGTGCAATCATTGAAGATTGTATAGAAATTTCAGTACATAATATACGAAACTGAACTGAAAAAATTTATTTAGGGGGGTGAAGTGTGATGTTTGAGGGTGTCACCCCCAATGTGCACCCTCCTCCCAGGGAATCTCTTACATGTGTAAACGTTACGTGGTTGCACTGCACCGATAGTTGTGAATAAATGCTCAAGGAGCTAACACCCACCCCCTTTTTCCTTACTCTACAAAACACCCCCTTTTTCCTTACTCTACAAAACACACACCCACCCCCTTTTTCCTTACTCTACAAAACACACACACCCACCCCTTTTCCTTACTCTACAAAACACCCCCCCCCTTTTTCCTTACTCTACAAGAATAATCTAAATCCAGTTCTTTTAATGTTATCTTTTAGCAAGATCCCGGCATTTTAACAAGCAAAATTGGGTCACTCTCCAGCAGCAAAAGAGGAATACGCAACCTTTGAGAACGCGCAAAACCGTCATATTACCAGATATCGCAAATGGATCGAAAAGTCGTTCCAAAACCTCTCCTCGAACTTCGTTGGAGCCTCAAATTATTGGAAATGGCGCGACCGTTCCATCTAACAACAAAACCTCGGAAAACCTTCATGAGATCGATCCCAGCAAGAATTGCGGGATTGTTGATGTGAAGTCACCGAAACGAAAAAGGTTAGTTTGTTGAGACGATAATAAAGGAAGCGGATGTTCTGTAGTTCATATTTCAGTCCTATTACTGCACATCTTGGATGAAATTTGATAAAAAGTTGCTGAAATGTGGCTTTTAACATTAAAAATTAAGTCATAAAGCGACGAAATGCTTGTTGTGTGTTGTGTTACGCAGTTCATTACTAAACACCCCACTGATCAATGGTTGCACTTGTTAGCCATGACCCTTAATGCTTAAAAAATATATTTAAAAAAATAAACGCTAGAAAGCCAGGAATATGTACCATAAGAATTGGTGGAAAATGATAGGGAAAGCTGTGCTTTGGTCAAACCATGATAACAGTGAACAGTGCCTGAACACCTAGTCCTGGGTACAATCTTTCACTGCCTGCATACCTAGTCCTGGGTACAATCTTTCACTGCCTGCATACCTAGTCCTGGGCACAATCTTCACTGCCTGAACTCCTAGTCCTGGGTACAATCTTTCACTGCCTGAACACCTAGTCCTGGGTACAATCTTTCACTGCCTGCACACCTAGTCCTAGGGTACAATCTTTCACTGCCTGAACACCTAGTCCTGGGCACAATCTTTCACTGCCTGAACACCTAGTCCTGGGTACAATCTTTCACTGCCTGCACACCTAGTCCTAGGGTACAATCTTTCCTGTCTGAACACCTAGTCCTAGGGTACAATCTTTCACTGCCTGAACACCTAGTCCTAGGGTACAATCTTTCTTTGCTTTGCCACTGGATATAGCCAAATGACTTTGGGGGAAATTATCTGACATAGTTCATATCATGAGTACGTATCAAGGGAAAAATACGAAACGTTTTCTTGTATTTTTCATTTTCAAATGGATGAAATGGGCGACGAAATCCTTCAATAAGATCACGTGTTTGTCGATTAAGATCGCGTGTTCGATAATTTTTTAAACATGTTAGCATTTGTAATGTTTTATTTCAAACATTTAAACGTCCCTATTCTCACATGCCTAATCTGATATAAATAAAGTTAAACAATCGGCATTTATACGAGATTTAGTGAATGAAAAAAGCGAATTCTTTCCTTGACGGCTTGGCCTAAAATATTCATCAAGTGGTTTTGTGATAGTTCAATTTTAAAACATTTGAAGGGATAATGAAAGTATTTGAGATTTGTTCTCCCCGACATAGAGCACGTAGCTTTAATGAAGAGAAAAAAGGACTTCTTTTTATGATTCTACGCAAAACACGAAGCTATTATACTTTTCCAATGATTTTATGTCGTTCAAATCCTGCGGTGAACCCGCAAATCTTAGTCCCGCGGCCAGCCGCTGCACGCAAGCCGCAAGTTTTAGTCCCGCGGCCAGCCGCTGCACGCAACCCGCAAATTTTAGTCCCGCGGCCAGCTGCTGCACGCAACCCGCAAGTTTAGTCCCGCGGCCAGCCGCTGCACGCAACCCGCAAGTTTAGTCCCGCGGCCAGCCGCTGCACGCAACCGCAAGTTTAGTCCCGCGGCCAGCCGCTGCACGCAACCCGCAAGTTTAGTCCTGTGGTCAGCAGCAAGTTTTATCCCTGAGGCAAAACCGCAAGTTAAGTCCTTTTATGTAAATTTCAGTATTTATTGTCAATGTTCGTTTCTTAAGACATCTATCGATTTTGCAATGAACGAGAGGAAGAAACGTTAAAGCGGCAGTGCCAAAAACGTTAGATTTTATTTGTGAAAATCTTAATATTTCCATTAAATGTGTCGAACAGCAGAGCATTTAACGAAATGAAATATGTTTAACCCTAGTGTTACTCCACGGAAAAGAACGACAGAGAAGTTACCCTTGCTGCCTTCACATCAAGAAGGTATCGGCACAACGCCAAGTACCATCGCAGGAGGTGATGGTACCGGTATAATGGTACGTAGAATGGTTGTTAAATTAAAAGGTTGAATGGTGGATGTAAAAAGTCTATACCAGAGGAGATACAAAGTAGTAGCTCAAATCTTTATAATAATTACACTTATTGATAACTCATGTGGAGATGGTGTTTCCACTTTGTGTTCTAATTTTCCTGCAAGCTTAGAAATTGTGCGTTATGTAGAGGCTGGAAAACTCGTCCCACAGAACTATTCTATCTTTAAATAATTAATATCGGGTGGTCATGTCACATTTCATCGAAAACATCGTCTTCTAGAATTTAAAATGTTTTAGTAAAATTATTGGGCGAGTGCTTCTGTTGGGGGGAGAAGTCTGAAAACTAGCCTCCAAATACTGATAATAATGGTATTTTGTTGTTAGCTTTGAAAGTGTGAAAAATGGCAATGCGTACTTCGCGCTAGTTTTCTTTTATTTAACAGGAATATAGGAAAATGAAGGCTAATTCTAACACCTATCTAGAATGTACATAACTTTGTGCCCGTAACTCCTCCGGTCAGCGGATGTCATCATTTACCTAAGTTTTTTAAAACTCTGTAACTGTGTGATCAGTGGGACAGTCATCCAATAGGTTTGATCAAGTTTGCCATTTTTACTGTATTTAATGTGGTTTTGTTTCTTTGTTTTAGAGTCTGGTGGAAAAAATCCTCATTCAACCTGAACTTTCTGAGAAACTTGCAGAGAACATTAATAAAGCAGTGGAGTAGGTTGCTCTAAATATCATCTTTGTTTCGTTAACTTTTTTTTGTTATGTCTAATTTTTCTTCTTTCAGGATTGAAGCGGTTTCTTCGACAAAATCTCCTGAAAAAACAAAGGAAAAGGAAGTTAATGTTGAAAGTGTAAGCTGTTTTTTCATTATCGCGACACTAACTTAAATTAAAGTTACATTAAAACTTAGAGTGATTTTACAACCGTTTTTCTTTCATAAATGTATTATCAAGGACGATGTATTGTAGAATATTGTTGAAAAAGATTGTTTGATGTGCGTGAGTAAGGAAACTATTTCATTTTCAGAATTTTGTTGTCGATAGCAGTAAAATTGATGATATTGTTGAAATGATGAAATCTGATCCCGCCTTTGAAGATATATTTTCAAGTTTTGGTGAGTTTTCTATCTGTTATTGTATGTATGGGTGCATTGTGTATGTATGGGTACATTGTGTATGTATGGGTACATTGTGTATGTATGGGTACATGTGTATGTATGGGTGCATTGTGTATGTATGGGTACATTGTGTATGTATGGGTGCATTGTGCATGTATGGGTACATTGTGCATGTATGGGTACATTGTGCATGTATGGGTACATTTTTATGTATGGGTACATTGTGTATTTATGAATACATTGAATATATATAAGAACATTGTGTATTTATGAGTACATTGTGTATTTATGAGTACATTGTGTATTTATGAGTACATTGTGTATTTATGAGTACATTGTGTATTTATGAGTACATTGTGTATTTATGAATACATTGTGTATTTATGAGTACATTGTGTATTTATGAGTACATTGTGTATTTATGAGTACATTGTGTATTTATAAGTACATTGTGTATTTATGAGTACATTGTGTATTTTTGAGTACATTGTGTATTTATGAGTACATTGTGTATTTATGAGTACATTGTGTATTTATGAGTACATTGTGTATTTATGAGTACATTTTGTTGTATAAGTACATTTTTTACATAAAGTAAAATTACGATAGTAATGTTGTCAACTTTTCAACAATATGGTGAACGGTTTGCATTCGATTGTAAGTTTTAGTAAATATTTAAGAAATAAACATGTTAACTGTGTTTGCACAGGCTTGTAAAACTCGAGAGCAGATCAGTTGACGCCCGAGACCGAAGGTCAAGTGTTTACAGCTCAAACCGAAGACCATACTTCGGTTTAAAACCTGTTGTTAAACATTGTCATGGATAATATCCATTGACGATTAGCTCAATATTTGGAATCTACAGTACCGCTCGCGTATTTGTTAACATACGCTACGCGTATGATACGAGAACGATACGCGTATGATACGAGAACGATACGCGTATGATACGAGAACGATACGCGTATGATACGAGAACGATACGCGTATGATACGAGAATGATACGCGTATGATACGAGAACGATACGCGTATGATACGAGAATGATACGCGTATGATACGAGAATGATACGCGTATGATATGATACGCGTATGATACGAGAATGATACGCATATGATACGCGTATGATACAATGATACGCGATGAATGATACGCGTATGATACGAATGATACGCGATGATATGATACGCGTATGATACGAGAATGATACGCGTATGATACGAGAAGGATACGCGTATGATACGAGAACGATACGCGTATGATACGAGAATGATACGCGTATGATACGAGAATGATACGCGTATGATACGAGAATGATACGCGTATGATACGAGAATGATACGCGTATGATACGAGAATGATACGCGTATGATACGAGAACGATACGCGTATGACACGCGTATCATACGCAAAATTATGTTAACAAATACGCGAGCGATAGTGTAGAGTAATTTAGCTTTTTGTTCGTTATTTTACAACAGCTGACGAGACCTTTGATGGTTCAACTCTACTGGCTAACCCCAGCGTTTCAAATTCTAACTCGGTCTCCTTGGAAACACCGTTGAAAAATATGACAACAATGATTAGTCCCAGTCCTAAACGTGGGAGCTCTCTGTCTGTTGCTCAAAGTCCCAATGTAGAGATTAAGAATGCTCAAGCACCTATGGCGCATGTCAGGCAATTGAATTTTGTCTCAAACACTTGCGGTCACGAGAACGTCTATGGACAAGTTGTCGGTGATAGCGACACTGTGTTCCGGGATCAAATCACCGATACTAACATATCTTATGATAAAACAAGCCCTCCTTGTGCAACGATGAATTCCAAGAACATCGACAACTTCCAAGAAATTGGAGCGAAGAGTCAAAATTCGGGGATTGTTGTTTTTGACAAGGAAAGAGATTCATATTCAGAGAAATGTTTTCAAGAATCAAATGGAAATACAGCAAATGATGCATCGTCAAAGAATGAAGAAATATATGTAAATAAAGATAGAACTATACCTTCACCTTTAAAGATCAGTGCTTTGGAAAATCTCGCCGTTATGGAGTTCATAAATAGTAAATGTGAAGTGACACGAGATAATGCCGTGTCTTGTGTGGATAATACAGTGTCTTGTGTGGATAGTACAGTGTCTTGTTTGGATTCTTCAGTGTCTTGTGGGATACTTCAGTGTCTTGTGTGGATACTACAGTGTCTTGTGTGGATACTACGGTGTCTTGTGTGCATACTACAGTGTCTTGTGTGGATACTACGGTGTCTTGTGTGGATACAACGATGTCTTGTGTGGATACTACAGTGTCTTGTTGTGATTACCCTGTGTCACGTGTAGATGTTACGACGTCTTTTGTTGATAGTACAATGTCTGGCGAACCACCCAGCGAATGTTTATCGAAGAATAACGATTGCACTACGACTACTAGCGATGGTAATGCGAAAAGAAAACACAAAAACGTGAAGGTTTGTGAATAAGTACCCTCTACAGCAACACAATCTACTGTCAGTAATGCGTGTATTTATATTTTTATCTTATTTTAATAGTCGCGTCGAAGCTTTAAGAAAGCGAAGAGGATTCCCAATGATCTGAACGTTGATATGTTTTTATCAAGTTTACACTACGACGAAAAAACGTGAGAATTTTATTTGTAGTAAATATCTTTTACGACGTCTAATAATTTTGAGTTGTAAATTTTTTGTGAAAACGTTTATGTTACTACACTGATTTCCAATATTGTTATTTCCTGTTGTCAAGGATCGCCTTTTATGATCAGTGTTTATGATTGGCTCAAAATGCGACGAAGTACAATACGCTTTAGAAATGTTCAATGGAAAAAGTGCATTAAGGTGGCTCGCAAGGGTCGCTCACAAATAGAAACAATTTGCACATTAAAGAAAGTGAGATGCATTATGAGACACACACCAAGGTTACTATTGGGTAGCACACTAAGGTGTGCTGTAAATAATACATTTTACTATAGCACATTTTGAAAGCTTTGTAGCATCTTTTCTGTTTTATTTCGCTTGAGTCTGAAGATGACTACAGCTAGGGTTATCGAGACATCATTCAACATCATCACTAAGAATCCTCAGGACTCCATACTAACCTGGACGATCCATAACCACAAACATGCGAGCACAAACCATTCACCGGATTTAGCACACTCAATTTTCGTGAACAGATAGTAAGAGCAATGTTACAGTGTTTTTATACAGGCCCATACATGTTTGTACAATTTCAAGTCAAACTTTCATGTTAATGGCTTAATGTCACACTTTCAAGACAAACACACACACACAGATCAAAGATCATCTTTTATTACTAAGAAACAATATTATATTCTTCAACCATTAATTAATTCATGAGGATATCAATTTATATTCAATTTTAGTTTCAATACGATATACTTCATTTGTGAGAAAAAAATCATCAACGATATTTATAGCAGCACACCATATAGTGTTGTTCACCACAACATTTTTCATTCGTAAAACAAAATAAGCGTAGAAATCCGGTTTTCCTGCGGGAGATGGGCACTTGCATGACATGAATATTTTACCTAAAAAACAGACAGAAATAACTGGCATCATTTTTTGATTTCAACCTTCTCTTCTTAAAGAATGAAATTATCTACTTCTTTAACAACTTATATAATTGTCATAGACATCCTAAACCAAAATTTTGTGGGATTATCAGCGCATCGCAATAGTTGGCTAAACGTTTTTCTCCAAATCTCAGTAGCTGGTGAACATCATATCATATATGTAGTCTTTGCAATGTCAATGAATGAAAGAAATTCATTAAAAGATATGTTATACAAAAGATATCGAAATTTTAAATGTTTATTGATTTTCATTTAAAATCAAACAGCAACCACTAAATCTTCCCAAAATCATTTAGCGTCAGGTTTAAGTACATATACAAGAACAAACGGCAAAACTTTACAGTTCAGACGACAGCATCATGTCTTCAATTCTCGAAAAAAATCATATGTACCTGGTTTTTCGACACCTGTTCTTGGAAAGGTTTGCGAACAATGAAAAACAGCAAGCAAAATGATAACATACGTCATACACTTCATTTCGTTGTTCCTGAAAGAGAAAATGTCATTTATGGAGAATAAATATTAAAATCCAGCTCTCAAAGCACATGACATGACGCGCTATAGTTAATCTAAACAACGAAAAGCATATTAAAAAAATCTAAATGTATTATGTATTTTCAGTATTTATTGCAATCTGCTCTTCAAAAATATATCTTTGTTTTAGCGACACCCTATCATGAAAAAATGGGCAAAGTAGTTATTTTTATAAATTAAAAGCATTAAATTGCGACGCTGATTGGTCTATAACTGAGTTTCCATTAACCTGCGCAAACATGAGCTCAAATAATTTGGTCAACAACACTTTTCCAATCAATCTTGAAAGCAAGTTAGATAAAAGCATCAAAACTCTTGTTTTCAATTTATGCTCGCCCATACGGTTCGTGGCCACTTTTTTAGGCCCAGTTCACACGATACCGGATAGGCTTGATACCGGATTACTTTTCGTACTGGATAGGCTTTGCGCTCATGCCGATAGGCCGAGCGATTTGACTGCGCTGTGGAAGTGGTACAAAAACCGATCTGATACGTTCCGCTGTGAACGCTCGAATCCGATAAGTTCCACTTTGGCAACTAAGAAGTCCGTGCGATTTTTCAAAAATAAAAGCAAACAGAGATACAAACTATGTTTTCAATGGATATTCCGCCAGCAAATGTAATTTGTCTTCAGCATGGCATGTTTAAGCTTTTAACAATGTATTATCGTGGTGTGAAAGGCTTCTTTCTAGTATTATTCTGTAATGGGCAACATATATTCGGTCGTATTTTGAATTTATACTCTTCCAATCCTTGCGTCCATTCGAAAAAAATCTTAATACGCCCAAGAAAAAACTCTACTTAGTTATCTGTAAAAAAGTTCTCACGAAAATTTACTTACGAAATATTTGAATTAGCAACCATGGCGGTTATTATTTGCACGTTCAAGTACTGGGGCGAATTAAGAGCAGTGCAGTGCAGAGATAGGATGCAATTAAAATGCTTTTTGACTAAATTTAAAACAATATATCAACTTATGGGACATGACCAAAAATTACAGTTCATAAGATGAAACTTGTCATCTTCAATTATTATTGTGCAATCACCAACTTGCCTATCTTTCTGCCAGTTAACTTATTGAAAAAAGCGAGCACTGCAGTTCAAAGATAGGACGGAATTAAATTGCTTCTTGACTAGATTTAGAACTCTTACATTACTATATCAACTTTCGGAACATGACGAACTATAATTCATAAGATAAACCATGTGATACTTAATCATTATTGTGCAAGGACCAAGACACCCGGAATTTCTGAAATGTTCATTTTTCAATTCGATGTTTTATTTCAACGAGTTATATAATGTACAATGTATAGAAAAACAACAACAAGAAGTAACCATTAAAACAGCTAAATTTAAGAGGTCGCCCGTTCCGTGATAACACATTTTATGAAGAATAAATTGCTGCATATAGCAATGGTTTTTCTTTTTAAACAAAAGTCAGTACATGTTATAAACGTTTCTTACCTTGGTCAATTGACTTCTTCAATATAATGATGCACAGTGGAAGGTTTTACGGTAAACTAAGTGACTGCTCTTGGCTAGATGATACGTACTTAATATATAGCTACATTACGAGATCAAATTTTATGCATGACAGCCTTGTGTTCGGAGAGAAAAGTCGTACGATATGAGATCATGGCGTCATGTTAATCATGAGATGCACTAAACTTTCTTAAATCTCAACAACTCTATGGTTTGAATCATTTACATAAAAAGCACAATCAAGTGCACAGTATAAAAAGCGACGTTTCTTACCTTGGTCAGTTGACTTCTTTAATATAAAGATGCACAGTGGAAGGTTTTACGGTAAACTAAGTGACTGCTCGTGGCTAGATGATACGTACGTGATATATAGCTACATTACGAGATCAAATTTTCTGCATGACAGCCTTGTGTTCGGAGAGAAAAGTCGTACGATATGAGATCATGGCATCATGTTAATCATAAGATACACTAAACTTTCTGAAATCTCAGCAACTCTATGGTTTGAATAATTTAAAGAAAAAGCACACTCAAGTGCACAGTATATAAAGCGAAATTTCAAGCTCCTGTCAGTTTTAACTCTTAAAAAAGACAATTGGGTCAAAAAAATAGCGAGTGATTTGCCTGGCGTGAAACGGTTCGTGTTAAAAAACAATTGCCCAACATAAAACTCCAAGTATAGCCATTTAGTAAGAATTCATAATTTAATTAAAGTAACGTTTCGTCTTTACACAAGACATCATCATAGTAATGATTAAATGATCAAGGAGGTGCGTTTATATACTTATGTAAATACAAAGATTTACATAATAAGAGTTCGGCAATAAGTTTAAAATTATAAGTGCGATGAAGAGGACAAAAATACATAAGAAAAAAACATAAAATATAAAGTGTGTGTGAAGATACAGATGGTGCAAAAAAACAAAAATGTTGCGGGGTGCTTTCAAAAAGTAAATGAGATGGAACTGCCTTGGATATTTAATGTGGGTTTAAGTTCAGATATCAGAAGGCTTTTATGGGTCTTTACGTCTGGAATGTAGGGTGAAGAAAAGATGATGTGTTATTACGGGATAAGATGCTGGATGTGGTAGGGTATGATGACTGTATTCCTGTCAAAATTCCCAAGTGCTCTGAAATTCTGGTGTGAAGATGGCGAGTTGTTTGACCAACATACGACGCGTTACAGCGTCAACACTTAAAAAAGATGAACAACTTCGCCATATTAAACAGAGGAGGATAATGGATTTAACAGGATACCAAATCTATTATATACCAAATCTATTATTAATATGTTACAGGATACCAAAAAGAGGTTTGCCCATTAAGTACGTATTGCAAAATCTTTTTTGTATACAAATGCGCCATGTTTGGCTACATCTTTCCTATTGTTGGTACGCAAATGCACTTCTCTACTTCAAATTTGCATATATATTGCAGTATTGCAGTCTTTAACTATCAGCTTAGGACTACGGGAGCTATCATTTCTTGGAAGGGGCAGTAAATATTATCCCCTACTCACAATGAAGGTGCCACTATATTTTCTCCTGACTGACGTTGAAAGTTTGCGCACCTTTTCAAATTTTTAACTTTCCCGGCGGGCAACTTCCCCACCGTCCTGTTCGCTTATGACTATCAGCTTTTATATTTAAAACCAATGTTAAGTATTACAACTGATTACTGTTTCTGTTGTCATTGCCAGTATAGGTAAAATAATTGACAATCATAATCTTTATATATGTACAAGTAACAAGTACTATGCTTACTCAGAAATATAAAATAGTTTTCAAAATTGCATTCGTACGAGACGATAGTTCAGTATACCCCACACATTAGAATCGTACCATATCACAAATGTATGCATTGATCACGTATAATTGATCATACACCCTCCCCCCTTTTCTTCTTACACTTTAAATGGTCAACTCCCCCCAAGACATAATTTAAACAAAAACGCATTCTTTCTCATACACGTGCGTTAGATTGTATAGAAAAATGGTTAAAGTAAAAGGTTTTTACTGTCGTTCTGTTGACAACACAGCCTTACCGACAAGTGATTTGTCTCGTTATGTAATGAAAGATTCTCAAGAACGATTCAATAACGATACTTTGGAAACTTATATTTACTTGCAGAAAGATATCAATCCAACATTTGACATTAACGAAAAGCAAGCAAAAATTAAATTTTCTGCTTTACATTGGTCAACGCTTTAGAAATGTTCAATCAAAAAGTGCATTACATTGGCTCGCAAGGGTCGCTCACAAATAGAAACAATTTGCACATTAAAGAAAGTGAGATGCATTATGAAACACACACCAAGGTTACTATTGGGTAGCACACTAAGGTGTGCTGAAAATAATACATTTTACTATAGCACATTTTGAAAGCTTTGTGACATCTTTTCTGTTTTATTTCGCTTGAGTCTGAAGATGACTACAGCTAGGGTTATCGAGACATCATTCAACATCATCACTAAGAATCCTCAGGACTCCATACTAACCTGGACGATCCATAACCACAAACATGCGAGCACAAACCATTCACCGGATTTAGCACACTCAATTTTCGTGAACAGATAGTAAGAGCAATGTTACAGTGTTTTTATACAGGCCCATACATGTTTGTACAATTTCAAGTCAAACTTTCATGTTAATGGCTTAATGTCACACTTTCAAGACAAACACACACACACAGATCAAAGATCATCTTTTATTACTAAGAAACAATATTATATTCTTCAACCATTAATTAATTCATGAGGATATCAATTTATATTCAATTTTAGTTTCAATACGATATACTTCATTTGTGAGAAAAAATCATCAACGGTGTCTACGGCAGCACACTAAAAAGTGCAGGGCACCACACATTTCCTCATCATTATGACAAACACCGCGTAGAATTCCGGTTCTCCCTGCGGGTTCTACGCATGGGCATGACATGAATATTTTACCTAAAAAACAGACAGAAATGACTGGCATCATTTTTTGATTTCAACCTTCTCTTCTTAAAGAATGAAATTATCTACTTCTTTAACAACTTATATAATTGTCATAGACATCCTAAACCAAAATTTTGTGGGATTATCAGCGCATCGCATGGCTAAACGCAGTAGCTGGTGAACATCATATCAGTTGGCTAAACGTTTTTCTCCAAATCTCAGTAGCTGGTGAACATCATATCATTCGCAATAAATGGCTAAACGTTTTTCTCCAAATCTCAGTAGCTGGTGAACATCATCATATGTGTAGTCTTTGCAATGTCAATGAATGAAAGAAATTCATTAAAAGATATTTTATATAAAAGATATCGAAATTTTAATTGTTTATTGATTTTCATTTAAAATCAAACAGCAACCACTAAGTCTTTCCAAAATCATTTAGCGTCAGGTTTAAGTACATAAACAAGAACAAACGGCAAAACTTTACAGTTCCGACGACAGCATTATGTCTTCAATTCTCGAAAAAAATCATATGTACCTGGTTTTTCGACACCTGTTCTTGGAAAGGTTTGCGAACAATGAAAAACAGCAAGCAAAATGATAGCATACGTCATACACTTCATTTCGTTGTTGCTGAAAGAGAAAATATCATTTATGGAGAATAAATATTAAAATCCAGCTCTCAAAGCACATGGCATGACGCGCTATAGTTAATCTAAACAACGAAAAACATATTAAAAAAATCTAAATGTATTATGTATTTTCAGTATGTATTGCAATAAGCTCTTCAAAAATATATCTTTTTTTAGCGACACCCTTTCATGAAAAAATGGACAAAAATAGTTATTTTTATAAATTAAAAGCATTAAATCGCGACGCTGAATGGTCTATAACTGAGTTTCCATTAACCTGCGCAAACAGATATGAGCTCAAATAATTTGATCAACAACAGTTTTCGAATCAATCTTGAAAGCAAGTTAGATAAAAGCATCAAAACTCTTGTTTTCAATTTATGCTCGCCCATACTGTTTGTGGCCACTTTTTTAGGCCCAGCTCACACGATACCGGGTAGGCTTGATACCGGATTACTTTTTACAGTACGAAAACTGGATAGGCTTTGCGCTCATGCCGATAGGCCGAGCGATTTGACCTCGCTGTGGAAGAGGAACAAAAACCGATCCGACATTACAAAATTTAGTACAGTTGAGTCAAACGATGATTATATTTTCATATATGCGTAAAGTATGTTAAAATTGGTTATTATTATCAAACAAGAAACTTCACATAAACGTGATAACACTTTTTATGAAGAATAAATTGCTGCATTTAGCAATGGTTTTTCTTTTTAAACAAAAGTCAGTACATGTTTTAAACGTTTCTTACCTTGGTCAATTGACTTCTTCAATATAAAGATGCACAGTGGAAGGTTTTACGGTAAACTAAGTGACTGCTCGTGGCTAGATGATACGTACGTAATATATAGCTACATTGCGAGATCAAATTTTCTGCATGACAGCCTTGTGTTCGAAGAGAAAAGTCGTATGATATGAGATCATGGCATCATGTTAATCATGAGATGCACTAAACTTTCCTAACTCTCAACAACTCTATGGTTTGAATCATTTACAGAAAAAGCACAGTCAAGTGCACAGTATAAAAAGCGACGTTTCTTACCTTGGTCAATTGACTTCTTCAATATAAAGATGCACAGTGGAAGGTTTTACGGTAAACTAAGTGACTGCTCGTGGCTAGATGATACGTACGTAATATATAGCTACATTACGAGATCAAATTTTCTGCATGACAGCCTTGTGTTCGGAGAGAAAAGTCGTAAGATATGAGATCATGGCATCATGTTAATCATGAGATGCACTAAACTTTCCTAAATCTCAACAACTCTATGGTTTGAATCATTTACAGAAAAAGCACAGTCAAGTGCACTGTATAAAAAGCGACGTTTCTTACCTTGGTCAATTGACTTCTTCAATATAATGATGCACAGTGGAAGGTTTTACGGTAAACTAAGTGACTGCTCGTGGCTAGATGATACGTACTTAATATATAGCTACATTACGAGATCAAATTTTCTGCATGACAGCCTTGTGTTCGAAGAGAAAAGTCGTAAGATATGAGATCATGGCATCATGTTAATCATAAGATACACTAAACTTTCTTAAATCTCAACAACTCTATGGTTTGAATCATTTACAGAAAAAGCACACTCAAGTGCACAGTATAAAAAGCGAAATTTCAAGCTCTTGTCAGTTTTAACTCTTAAAAAAGACAATTGGGTTAAAAAGATAGCGAGTGATTTGCCAGGCATGAAACGGATTCGTGTTAAAAAACAATTGCCCAACATAAAATTCTAAGGGCTCTTTTCCACTCATCGCAAAATGCTCTCGCTGCGAGCTTACGAGTCTGTTTGCGGCATCAAAAAATTTTGTTCAATTAATTTAACTATGCTGCAATTCATTGTCAGCTCGCTGCGAGTAACTCGCAGGCGTTTTTCGATGGGTGGAAAGGAACCTTAAGTATAGCCATTTAGTAAGAATTCATAGTTTATTTAAAGTAAGGTTTCGTCTTTACACAAGACATCATCATAGTAATGATTAAATGATCAAGGAGGTGCGTTTATATACTTATGTAAATACAAAGATTTACATAATAAGAGTTCAGCAACGAGTTTAAAATTATAAGTGCGATAAAGAGGACAAAAATACATGAGAAAAAAACATAAAATATAAAGTGTGTGTGAATATACAGATGGTGCAAAAAAACAAAAATGTTGCGGGGTGCTTTCAAAAGGTAAATGGCAGGTCAAACTAAACAACACTTTGTTACGCCACTCGTAATAACCGTGACAATGTAAGAGATGTTTTTATTTTTCTCTATAATTTTGTATTTGCGTATTTTTTGCATAAACAATGCTCTAATATTTATGACAGATATTGTAATTCGTGGGTTGAGGTAGAAGAAATACTTGAAAATGAAACTTCTAACAGTGAAATAAAATCATGCATGAGGGAGGAGAAACAACGACGCCAGGTTGAAGATAGCTTGAAAATGAAACTTCTAACAGTGAAATAAAATCATGCATGAGGGAGGAGAAACAACGACGCCAGGTTGAAGATAGCTTGAAAATGAAACTTCTAACAGTGAAATAAAATCATGCATGAGGGAGGAGAAACAACGACGCCAGGGTGAAGATAGCTTGAAAATTTAGACGATACAAATTGCTTGGCTTATTAAATGTTATCTTTGTTAAAACTATCTTAAAAAATTCGATAATTCCTTTTTTCCATAAAGCCCATGGATACTCTCGAGTTATATTGTATAAGAAGGCTGTCGTTAATCACGGGAGAGTTATGAGAAAGTTACATGCACTGTAGAAAAGTAACAAGTAAAAAACGTATAAACACGTTTTGTGTTGGTTTAAATTATAAGTGAAGAAAGTAGAAGCAGTTTGAGCCTTTGCAGTATCTTTGGATGCTCTACTTTCTTTTATGAGTAGAACTCTTGTAAACAAAAAGATTGAACTCGAAAGCAAAAAATCCCGTTTTCAGTCCATGCCTTCCGATACCACAGAATAGATATTTATACAGAAGGTGACTCATGTCGGAGCCTTTGATGTTTTTGTCCTCGCGCATGTCGAGCCACGCATATCGGCAGCCATAATTCCAGAAAGATATTCAGGGCTTTTCACTTGTTCCCAACCACTGAAATGACACGACATCATTTATTATATTGAAATCTTTTCGATTTAATTGTGAAGAAATGACGTCATGTAATTGCAGTGGTTGGAAACAAGTGAAAAACCCTAAGTACCTTGCTGGAATGATGTCGGACTTGAGGACGCGGTACACTCTTAAGTTGCCCTTCTGTATATAACTATTATTCTGTGCCGATACCCTCTTAAGCGTAAGGCACTAGAACGTCGCATGTTAACGTTTCGGTAGGAGATTTCAGCCCCTCCACGCTATCCTACTTGGGGATGTCAATAGAGGGCTTCCGCCCATCAGACCCCGAGATCACCTGCATCAGGCTTCGCTCAGGGTAAACAGGGAGAGTGCGGTCGCGACCCGAAACGTCTGGGTTCCTAAGCCACTGCATACATATCGCACCCAGCTTCCACTGCTAGTTGACATTTATTACATATATGCATAATATACTAGGAAATAATTCGTTTTTTGATTTTTCCGTTATACAGTGCTCAATACATATAAGTAGAGCTAAACATATTTGGTGAAGGAAAAAGTAAGAAATACTGTAATTTTATCCCGACAAGCCTCTCAAACCTAAAGATATGTAATTCACGCTTCGTGAATATTTAACGTCTTTCCTAGAACCGCTTGACTTTATTAAACGTCCCGTCAATGATAAAATCCAACCCAATATCGAGATAAGCTTTGCTAGGTTTGATTCTGCTTACACAGCTTTTAAAATGGCCCTCCTTTGCTCTCAAAAGAAATTTGCGTCTAGTATTTATACAAGGCAAGACTGCTAAATCGTGCGACCGTTTGGCCCATCTTTCAAAGTCATCAACAACAAAAAGTTACGAAAGTTAAAAGGTAAATCTTGTTCTCAAAAGTCGAAAATTTAACCAGTCAATAACCCATATTATTGACAGTTGACGTATTTTTTCTTAAATAAACATTACATAGTACAAGGATTGTTTTTCTTTTCTATTGGTCATTTGTATATTATCATGAAAAACAAACAGAGAACAAACACTGTCTTTACTTTACCTAAAATATTGTTAAGCAATGGCATAGAGTCTAATGTAATAATAAAATACAAAAATGTCTTTCATTTAATGTTTCATTTAATGTTTCATTTCTGTTGTTTTTAGCATCGTATTCAGAGCAAAACCACATTTAATCCACTCTCGATTCATCTGGACTTTGGTTACACTGTAAATCATCCTGGTGGACGCTGGGAACATGATGGATATGGACGTATAACATAGCACAACTCAGACTGGGAGAGGTATGTACTTTGTATGGATAATGTAAGTTATCAATTATCAAGATGAAATAAAATCTTGGTATTTTAGCCAGCAGAAGGGAACCTCACCGTATATGACCGGAAATGTATTATTGTACGTATGAGCTGTAATTTTGTTGCTTTGCAAAAGGACAACACGAATACTCAACACATTGAATTTGGGAGATGGATCGTGGAATATAATTTCTTCATTTTTAAAGTCTATAAATCTTCTGGGCTAGAAAGTGACTTTAATCTTCACGCAAGAGTATTATCTCTTTTTACTACTGGTGGCATGGACGTTGAACGATTTAGGCATGCCTGGGGAGTGGCGAATAAAATCTTTTCAGCCGACCTAGAAGTCGAAAGCTTAACGGAGCGTAAATTTTTTCATTTTTGTCATACAAAAATAGGAATGTGGAAAGATTCAAAACAAAAGTTACCATGAAAATTTATTCCTGTATGGAGATTGAAAATTCTTTAAAAGAAACAACGTACAATACCGGCTACAATACCACGATAAAAAAATAAAACAATGTATTGTAATAATATTTTTATCCGATTCATTCCTTTGAGTATTTAAGTTGAAAACTATGCGTGCAAAAATAGTGGGTCAGCCTTCATTCACCGTTGAAGACTTTTGTATAAATTAATGCCTGTCACTATGTGAAGTACGCAGGTGCATAAATTATTGTTAGAAACGTTGAGTACAAAAGCTCTTCCCCCATTGGAAATGTAATGCACCAGTAAGATTAGCACAGTGATTGAGCTTTGAAATTTTACGATAGTTTAATTGACGAAAGTCGTTTTCTATGTACACCCTGCAGAAAGCTAATTAAGGCCTTTTTCAAACGTCGAACATTACATGCACCGAACGTGTTAAAGAGAAAAGAAAATGGGATAAACTTCTTCATTATCTTTTGTTTTAAATGCGTTGGGCTCATGTAAAGTTCAACGTTTGAACTAGGCCTAAAAGAAATCAAAATGTTAACGTTGGTGGATAAATACATTAAGAAAATGAGATGAAATTTACTCAAATCCTTTTTGATATCGGTTGACATTTAGAATGTAGTATTTGTTGCCCAAGAAAGCTCAAATGTTTGGGATTTGCTATTTGCAGTAGCTGAAATATACGTCTTCTTTATATTGTATTTAATTGTATTTACGGCTCTATGGGGATTAAATATTTCTAAATGATGAATCATGCAAATTATAAATGTCGGCTGATTCCAATGAGGAGCAGTTTTTTGAGACACTCTGTATTGCCACAATGTACAATTGACGACACACCTAGTATCTGACCAATAAGAACATAACACGTTGACGACACACCTAGTTACTGACCAATCAGAACCCAACACGTTTGTGAAACATGGCCTTAGTTTAAGACCACGAAAGAGCATGCCATTTTGAACGTGAACATGAAAGTCGGTAGATGCACGAGGAATCGTCAGCCGAAGTTAAAATTAATCGGTGAAATATCTCTTGGAGTGCTTTGAAACCATGTTAAGGTAAATATGTTGTTTCATGTTCTTTTACAGAGAGTAAATTGAGTTGGGACACTGCTTGTGATGTTCATTCATGCAAAGTGCGGTATGTCCTTTCCATAAAATTTTTGTCTTTCTAAATTCTGTTTCTTCTGTGCTTGATTCTAGATATGAACATTCTTCTGTTAAACGATAAATGATCATTAACTGAGATTGAGAAACAAAAAACAAATGTTGGTGTATTCACTATGATGGTGGACTTTAAAATTCAATTAAATGGTTATTGTTCACAGTGGTGGCCAAGAATTGCGGCCGTTGTTGACCATTTCTTTGGAGAATGAACAATATACTTTGATGAAGTCCTCTGAACAATTATCAAGGATGATAAAGTCCTCTGAATAATGATCAAGTTTGAACAATGTACTTTGACGAAGGCCTCGGAACAATGATGAAGAATGAACAATATTCTTTGATGAAGACCTCTAAACAATGATCAAGAATGAACAATATATTTTAGTGAAGACCTCTGAAGAATGATTAAGAATGAGCAATATTCTTTGATGAAGTTGAAAACTTGACTTCTGTTGTTCTAAAGGCAATCACGACAAAGAATGGAAACACTGAACTCTATTATTAAGCAATGCATCCATCAGCCCTACGCCCGTTTCCATTGACAAGTCAATATTCTGACCGATTCTAAAACAATTTTCTTGGCATTTTCCTGCAAAGATCACCACTGGTCAATCAATCGCAAGAGAAGTCGATTAATTACGATGAATAAAACGCCGCCATAAAACGCCCAGATTTCGTCATTTTTTAATGTAAAAGTCTTTCTGAATGAAAACATGGAATTTCTTCAACATGAAAAAACAAAACCTAAAAATCCTAATTTTCCGACTGACTGTCAATATTTCCGACTTCATGCCGTAGGCGACATGCGCAGTTGCAAGAAATGGCCAATCTTGCTTCTTTGCTTGCCGTCGTCGACATGAAACCAGGGATATTTGTCAGTTAGCCTGAAGATTGGATACGATGGTTTCACCATCAACGTTCTGAATTTTTCAAAAATTTAATTTGGGCTTTTTTGTGACTATCCGCGCTCTGGGTCTGATCAAATCGTCTTCACAATTGGAAAGGGATTCGTCGTTGATCGTAGTCTGTCGTCGAACTGCCAAGGATTCTGTCGTCAAACTGCCAAGGATTCGTCGAAAACCGTGAGTGTAATAACAATAAACCTTTTACTTAGTTAGGCCTGCTAACAGGTCAAATCTTTGATATATTTCGGGCAATAGCCACAACAAATCCTGGTGTGCAGTATATTCCACTGTAAGGCTATTTTTTTAATGCAGGAATGCAAATAATTATATTTAAAAAAATTGACATCTGCATTTTCAAAAATAGTCTTGATTAAGAGGTGATAAAAATGTTCTTTCGGTTGAAATAATCCAATTGTGTTTTTCGGTGTTGCTTTATTAGTTTTAAAACATGTATATCAGTAAGCGTGAAGTTGTATCAACTATTTTAAATCTGTGACTGACATGCAACTGTTTTTGTTCTATAAAATTTACTTTCGAAAAACCTCTGTGTGAATATACTGATTTAAGGAGCTACGCATGATCGCAGCGGCTGTTGCCTCGCAGAGGGATAGACAGGACCATAGCTTAGAATCGGAAATGCAAGTGAAGTTTGGCCAAAGGAAGGCAACTTCAACTTGGGGCTAGTGGGTACAAATGGTACCTTAGCGTAGAGGATGCAAATTGCATCTGTAAGAAGACCTTTGAAGACTGGATCAAGCGAGCAAGACCTATTGAAGACTAAGGAAAGATGGTGGCTCTGGTGGAAAGAAAAATTATCTCCCCTAGTACGGTAAAAGCATGCAGTCGTTGTAGTTGGCCAATTTCATGAACGGCTTTCTACAGTGACTATTAAGGCACTCCTGCATGGATCCC